ATATTAACAAAATGTTTTTACATAAAGCTACAATAATAGTATAATTCGAAAACAAAATGTTCTGTTCTTTTGCTGGAGGTGGGTGGGAAGAAACAATAAATTTAAGGGAAAAAACAATGATGTATGAGAAGCAATTATTGGTTGCAAGCAAAGGTTGATGAGCGGAGCGAGCACTAAGTTCAAATAAAAACTTCAAGAGAATATTGAAGTGAAACAAATAGAATAATGAAATTGATTTACAGATTAATTTAAAGAAAACAAATCTATGAAAATTATTTAATCACACAGTGTAGATCAGACAAAGGCTCTTACCTGAGAAAAGAGCAGCCACAACGCAATATTTACATTTCCCAAAAAGAGTTAGGAGAGAAAAGAAGACTTATTTTAAGTGCACCGATTTTTAGAACGAGCGGGAAGAGAAGATCTGGAGTCAATCTTCAACACTTCTTTTTTAACTACACCCAACGTCACAGTCAACGTCAAAAAGGTGAAAAGGCATATTCACCATGTATCCTAAGGAAAACAAATAAACCCAACAGCAAATCTTGCTGTCCTCCCCTGACGTCATAACAAGATATGACTAACGTTTCGGTTCGATAGAATGTGCATCTCAGTATTTAATTTAAAACGATTTATGCTTTTTTAAAAATTTAATATTATAAATTATTAGCACATAATCAGTGAGAATGCAGTTAAATTAAATAATAACAAATCTAAACTGAATTTCATTTGCATTAAAAACATAGTATTCCGAACTGGATGAGGAACAAATACAATTTTAAAGCATTGCCTCATAAATTTAATACTTACTTTCTCTTCTTAATTTTTTTTAGCAAATAACACTAGACTAATCAAGTTTAAATTCTCAGTAAGTTTATCGATAAACAGTTAAAATAGATAACTGTAATTACTTCACATTGCACTCAAATATTTGGAGAAACTCACCTTCTTACAGGTGCAACGTATAAAGCTATATAAATAACAGTTCCATTATTTTATAAAAATACAAAAACTTTTATTCACAAATAGTAACAAATATGAAGTACCCGTAACGGGATAGTTATAATCTTGTAAAACAAACGAGAAAAACCCGTATTCATAAATAAAACTAATCTCTTAAAAACCAATAACTCTGTTGTTCTAAAAATTGTTATTCTAATTTTATCGTATGTCATTATTAGGTTAATAAACGACCAGTTTAAATTACTCGGTCAGCTTTAATTCTGAAATGAAGACATTTATTTTTTTTTTTAAAAAAAAGGGGGATTTGCAACTAATTCGCATTATTTTTTATCTTTGATGCATTCATCAAGAAAGCTCTTGATAAAACAATTCTATTAATACTATGAGTACACAATTCTTCATTAGCACTTGAAAAGTACTTTATTAGCATTCGAATAAATAGTATATTTGAAAAGTACTATTTATTCGTTAAACACGCTGCTTTGTAGGTTTGCTAAGTAGGTAAAAAATGTATATATTCATGTAAGCAGAAAGGATACAGATTTGTTTTGTTCAAGTTAACAGTAAGATAAGTTCACATTGGTATTAACTTATGTTACTTATTTTAAAGTGCCTTTATTGAAATAAAACGTAAGTAAACTTAGCAATCACCTTTTTTTTTATTGCTTGAACATAATTATTTGTTCTTTGACTGGTTCCTTTGTTTCCCAGATTATAAAATATGTAAGATAGAGTTATAAAGAAATATAACCTCATTTAATATTCACAATTTTACAAACCATATGAAATGAAAATAAAGCAATAAGATTTTGTTCTCCTTAAACATTTACTTTAATTACTTAGCTTTTCAGCAACATCAAAAATTTTAGACACTTTATACAATTCCGAAATTATATTTCTTAGCAGGACTATTCTCACTACGCGTGTTTATAAACGAGAACGAAAATTCCACCTATCAGATTTGAAAGTTCACTTGCTTTTTCGAATATGAATAGTACAAATTGCACTTCGGTCAATGCAAAAAAAAAATTTTTTTTTCCAGTTCCGAATAGAAATGTCTTGCTTCACTTCGTAAAGAAATAATAAACAAATAGAGAAAACGGAAAAGGAAAAAACTGAAATCTTTTTCACGATAGCAAACAAAATATTTTAGGGAACGGCATTCCCTTGGGTTACCCCCAACTACAGTACTGCTCTAAGCTCATTAACTGTTTTATATTGTCCATTACAAGTTTTATTTTATTACAAGTATTATAACTCCCAAGATATTGTAATTTAGATAAATATTTAATCAGAATTTATAACTGCAAATTTTATTAAAAACTTAACCAAGAGATACAAAATTATAGAATAACCAATATTTTAATTAAAACAGTAAGAATGACTGAAATAAATTAAAGGCATTAATATTCTTAGCTTGTAATGAGGTCGTGTTTTGCACAGTGTTTAAAAATTAGCTTACTGAAGTGAAAATAAAATTGGATTAATTAACATTTCTTATTTTAAAAATAAAATACGAACCCTGAAAATATACTGCTTTTTAACTAGAATTTTAAACTGAAAAAACTCAAATGACAGACAAACAAAAATTTTATTTGATTGAAAAAGTTAAATGGATTGAATTTTTTTTAAATTAAATATTTATTTCAAATAAACGATAAATTTTAACTTAATATAATTAAATTTATAAAATAAATTATATTGAAATAATAAGTATAATTGGTCTCTATTTAATTTTTACCTGATTAAACTATACAAATTTTTACAATTACTGTTATAATTACTTATTTTTTCATGATGCACCGATTTTACTAGGCATTTATAACATTTTTCAAATATTTATCCTTTTTTTCTGCTGCACTGGCTTTAGCTTTATGTTTAAACTCGCTTAAATCTTAATAAAAAATCAGGGACGCAGAAGCATTTAGGGCCTGTGGTGGAAATTCAAGATTCAACCCCACTGCCTTTTTGGTTAAGGAGCGAATTTTGGAGACAAGTAGTTCATGTTTGCCTTTACTTTATTTTCATACTTTTGTGTTGCAAAAGCATACAAATGTGTAAATATGTCCTTTATTTTCTAAATTTAAATATTAATGATCATATATTTTGTGTGAAGACTTATGAGATTTTTAAAATACAATTTTTTTATTTAAATTAGTACCTTAATTTAGTTACAGTCATAAGTATAAAAATCTATTTTCACTGTTTAATTTAAATAATAATGAAATAATTCCAATAAAATAATAAAATTAAACTAAATAAATTTGTATAATAGCAGTAAAATACTTTAAAACTATTGAAATCTAATTTTAGTGAAATTTAATTTTTTATCTGTTGATTTTTTTTTATTATCATTAAGATTTATTTACGAGTTTTTAGAAGTTAATATTTTATTTATCAAAGTATTATGAGCAATGTTAATTTTTACACAATTACTCTTACTTTGATTCAGTATTAAAAAAAATCCAGTTTCTTCCGCTTGTATTCGCAACATAACCAGGTGACAGCTGGCTAATATACCACATAACTAATTAGTTAGAATCAAAGGAGAGAAAAAACAGTATTATTATATGTTCTAAAAGAATAGACAAATACAAACAAGACTGTGATTTGTTTGAAAATTTTTAATTAACTGAAAAACATGGTTCAAATAATATATAGTACTTTTTCCCTTGAGAATATGAACAGAGCACTGATTAGTCGCAGATATAATAAATAAAACATATTTTAAAAAAATATACACCACTCTCAGTACACTTCTTTCTTCTAGATTTTTTTTTTGGCACATAAATAAAATAAAAAATCATTATAAGAAATTTAGAAACAACAATGTATTAAATCAAAATTTTACCCTAATTTATACACTGAAGTACAAGCCAAAGCTAATTTTTGAAAGATAAAAGCTTCGTATACAGTAAACATCATTGGTTTCCTTTTCTGTCTGTTAAAAACACACTGAAGGATTTCCTACAATGTCGTGAAACTAATCTTGGGCCCCGCAATGTAAATTTTAATATGAACTTTTCCCCACCCATATTTTGAACTTAAACTGAAATATTATATCATTTACCGTATCTTATTCAACTATAATGTTAGAAGCTTTTTTTTTTCTTCTTTTTTTTTTTGATTTTCAGGAAATAAGAGATTATTTAAATCCCTGAACTAGTATGTTCAAAAAATAACTATTCAAAATGCTGATCATGGTGAAGAATGAAGCTTTTGATATAATTTCAAAAGCATAACACACACTGGAGTGTATAACTTTACAATAACTTTGAACTCAAATAATTAACAGTTGACGATTCTTTGAAATCTGATTGAAATTTTCAAGAAGTCAAAACTAAGCACAATTGAATGAAAATTTTTCATACAAATTGAAATATAAAATCTTAATATGTAAGTATAAAATCAAACGAATTCGAAAAAGAAAAAAAAGTTATTATGTATGAAATTTTTTTACTTCCTTCATATACAATCAAATCGGAAAAAAAAAGAACTTAATATGTATTTTTTTACAGATAGAATTAAACAAATTAAAAAAAATTAACTTAATATTCATGCAATTTTTTTCAAATAGAATCAAAAAAATTGACAAAAAAATTTATATGCATGTTTTTTTAAAAAATTCTTTTAAGAAATAAGCAAAACATTTTCGTGTTATAAAATTTTTCAACTCTTTCTTAAAAAATATAAATAATTCAAAAATTAAAGCTAATATATTACGATCCTTTAAGCTAGATCACTAAGAGAAACGGTTCAAGCGTTATAAGAATATTATAATCAATAAATCCAATAAGTTGATCATACTAAGTTATTAAAAAAAAAAGAAAGAGAATATGAAGACTTTATTGGAATTGGAACAGTATCATTTTGAATTTAATCTAGATGCATCAATCAGGAAAACGGAAGAATTTAATAAAAATAGAATCGGCCAACAAATTAATAAGAATAAAACAAAAACCACGAGAATAAATGCAAAATTTAATAAGAAAATAAAAAGAAATTCTGTAGTTAAAGAAATTGATTCTTTCACATACCTTGAAGCAATAGCAAATTAACAAGGAGGCAGCAACGATGATGTAAACTAAAGAATCATAAAAGGTAGAACCTATTTCAGAAGCCTTCAAAAATTTTGAAGAGCTTCAAACGTAAAAATCTCCACTAAAACAAATGTTTTTAAAGCTGTTGTTCGCTCCATACTTTTATATGGTGCTGAATGTTGAAGCCACCACAAAACCGAAAAACTAGAAACATTCCAGAACAAATGTACAAGAATAATTCTTAAAATTTTCGGGACAAACACTATTTCAAAAAAAGGTCTACTAATATAAGCAAAATTGCAGGGCTAAATGTACGGAAGGAGGAAAGAGGACTGGCTCAGGACAGGAGTGGAAGCAAAAAGACTTGAGGCCTTGTGTGCCAGCTGGCGTGAAGAAGATAAGTAGGTAAAGTACTAGTCTTAAAAATTATAAATAGAAACACAGAGCTAGGACAACATTACAGAGTGGGGTTTGAAGAAAAGTCATCAATCCAGTTAGTCAGTGATTTTGCAATATTTCAGGAATTTAAGGGAGTCTCAGAATTTTTCACAAAATTATTTATTGTTTAACTGGATAGTCATTGAAAGCTTTTAACTTGTAAGGTATTTACATCATTTGAAGTAATGAAATTATAGATGACAAAAACACAAATTACATAATTCAAAATATAGTAATTTGTAGACCTTACAATATAGGATATTACCACTCTTAAAAATATTTCAAAATTGAACTCTTTTTTTTTTAACCAATTAACACAATCTAGAGTTGTTTACTAGAATTTTCAGAAATTTATAGCTCACTGACTCCAAAATGTACCTTTCTATGATAATGACTCATATATTAAATTAATTATATAATTTTTTTAAATTTTATTAATTTCTATTTTACAGCAAACAAGAAAAAAATAGCAGATAAATTTGTAGATCAATCACAGAATAATAAACCACTAATTTTTTCATGAAGCTATATAGTTTGTCTAAGGTAAGAACACCCCTCGTAACAAAGTCCGAGACCATCTGTGATATGGAAACAAGAATAGTGCATTATCTTCTCTTCACTCTAGGACTAACACAATAGACCAAAGAAAAAGATTATTTTTCTCTAGCTGACCCAAGCCAAAGCCTGTCCTAAACAGTGACCCCACGCCCCTACTTGAAATAGTTATACCTCGTTACCATAGTCACCGCCACGGGTTCAGACGAATGGCTAGGGGAGTTCTTACTTTAGACAAACTATAGTTTATTCCCTTTACAATGACATATTTCAGAAAAATTGATAAAGAATGGAAAATTTGACTCTTCAATTTTGTTCTTTAGATTATAATAAAAGTTAAAATGGTTTCATTACAAAAATAACATTTTAAATGCAACAACTACTGTATTTATAATTTTTGCATACACATAAAAGGTAATGGATTACACACACATCTTATTCAATTAAACAAANTTTTAAATTTTATTAATTTCTATTTTACAGCAAACAAGAAAAAAATAGCAGATAACCTTGTACATCAATCACAGAATAATAAATCACTAATTTTTTCATCAAGCTATATAGTTTGTCTACGGCAAGAACACCCCTCGCAACAAAGTCCGAGACCATCTGTGATAGGGAAACAAGAATAGTGCATTATCTTCTCTTCACTCGAGGACTAACACAATAGACCGAAGAAAAAGAATATTTTTCTCTAGTCGACCCAAGCCAAAGCCTGTCCTAAACCCCACACCCCTACTTGAAATAGTTATACCTCGTTACCATAGTCACCGCCACAGGTTCAGACGATTGGCCAGGGGAGTTCTTACTTAAGACAACTTTTTACATTTTTTTTTTTTTTTGCCTNCTATAAATTTCTTTAAAAAATAATCATAATAAAAAAAACTATAATAATAATCTCAATTTCACTTTGGTCAGCAATTCAAAACGTTGGGGGGGGGGGGAACAAGAAAATTTAGATACAATATTAGAAATTTTGTGTAAGCAAGCAGGTATTTAAGTTGAATCAGACAATCTCATTTTTCATAGCTGAGCTATATCATAACTTGATTATTTTGCAATAATTATGAAAATTAACAATGTTTAAAATATAAAGTATTATTTATTTTTATTTAACAGAAAATATTTGTTACATTTTTAAGGAAAAACAAAAATTTTACTATTAAAAACAAGTGGATTAATTTATGAAACTTAATCTTCCGATTTTCTTGCAAGACTGATTTCAGTCCCCAGAACTGAAGAGTGGCGCCCATGCTTACAATGTAATCATTTTTCAATCGTTATTATTATTAAATTATCTAAACAATAAAAAATGTATTAAAAAATTAAATTGTAAAACATTTTTGCTCAGAATTATTTCTGAAAAAACCTTTTTTATAACTGCAATAACACAATCTTTTTTCTTTTTTTTATTCATTTTAATAATTTCATTTGTTTTTAGAAAGAAAACTGTCAAAATGAATGAAAATGTAAAAAAAAAAATTATCTTTAATTGAATGAATTAATGTATAAGCGAGGATTGTAAATTAAATAACTGCATGTTGAAAAAGAGTTACTGCATAAATACATAGTTATAGGGTGAAAAAAAGTTTTTTTTTTCCTGGATAGATAAAACTGTGTTTTGCTAAATAACCCTTTCTTAAAAAACTCTTATTACATATACTACAAGAATATGATTTTCTTCCAGTATGAGAAAGGGTGTGTTCATTTAAATTACTGCTCAAAACAAAACTCTAATTGCTTATGTTGCATTAAAAAGGTTTTTCACTTGTATGGACCATGCTGTGTCTTCTTAAATCACCCTTTCTTAAAAATCTCTTATCACATATACTACAAGAATAACGTTTTTCACCAGTATGAAAAAGGATGTGCTCATTTAAATTACTACTTGTTGAAAAACTTTTATTGCATATGTTACATGAAAAAGGTTTTTCACCTGTATGGACTAGGCTGTGTTTACTTAAATCACCCTTTCTTAAAAAACTCTTAGCACATATACTACAAGAATAACGCTTTTCACCAGTATGAACAAGAATGTGCTCATTTAAATTACTACTCGTTGAAAAACTCCTATTGCATATATTACAAGAAAAAGGTTTCTCACCTGTATGGACGTGGATATGTTTAGTTAAATCCCCCTTTCTTAAAAAACTTTTATTACATAAACTACAAGAGTAAGGTTTTTCACCTGTATGAATTAAATTATGCTTAGTCAAATTATTTTTATTTTTAAATCTCTTATTACATATGCGACAAAAATGCTTTTTCTCCCCACTATGAACAAGGTCGTGGTCAATTAAACTACTTTTAGTGGAAAAATCTTTATTGCATATAGTACAAGAATAGGGTTTTTCACCAGTATGAACTAGTTTGTGTGATTTTAAAGTAGTTATTTGAGAAAAACTTTTGTTACATATACTACAAGAATATGGCTTTTCTCTAGTATGAACTAACATGTGCTTAATTAAACCATGTTTTCTTGAAAAGCTCTTGTTACACGTACAGCAAGAAAATGGTTTTTCATCAGAATGAACAATGCTATGTCTAATTAAATATCTTTTTATAGAAAAACTCTTGTTACATATATTACAATAGTAAGGTTTTTCTTCCGTATGAAACATACTGTGTCTTTTCAAAGCTTTAGTACTTATAAAAATCTTATTACATATGATACAAGATAAAGGCGTTTCAGCAATAGGAACAATATTTTGTGGAGATAAAGCACTTTTTTCAGCACAGAAATAAGGTTTTTCATTAGTATCATCAGAGCTGGGGCAATTTAAAAGAGGTTGACCTAAAAAAATTTTGCTAGACATGTTGAAAAAAATATGTCTATTTCTAAACCTTTACAAAAACACAGAAGTATTTTGAGAATAATATTTTTGTTGTGAACATTTATATGTATTTTTTACAATTAAACTGATGAAAGGAATAAAAATTGGACAAATTACAGATAATTGATTAAATATTTATCATATGACATTCAAGAATGAGTAAAATAACAGCAACGTTAAGAAATAAATTTTAAAAAATGGGACAAAAAAAGCGTCATTATTAAAAACAGCTAACAGATTTCTTCAATTTACTAACAGTACTGGAACTTCAAAACCACTTTGAAAGTTTACTTTTAGACAATATAACATATCAACACGCAAAATGGATTATCAGTTAAATTTCTCATTTTCAATACAATAGGGATATTGATATTGAATTTTTTTAAATTGGATTTTAATTATGCGGCTTAAAAATTATGACAGTGCAATAAATTTATGCATATCTTCTTTAATTTTAACTTCTATGATATACATCCAATGATTTTGATTAAACCTAAAAATTGAAAAAATAATTAATGCACAGAAAACATAAAATCTAAATACATAAAAACTAAAAATTACAATAGACATAATCATTCTTAGCATTAAAATCATTACACTCATACACCACACTACATATTCATTAAAATTTGAGAAAATAAAAGTTAGTGCTTTGATTTAGTAACTTAATTTTTTTTTTTAATGTCAGAAGAGTTATTACAACTGATTAGAAAAATTGTGGAGAGTTCAAATATCAGGTTAAAGCTAAAATATTTTCATCTTATGCCTCTTTAAAATTTCTATTTCTAGAGATGAATTTTTATCTAAATCTAGCTAACTCTCAGATCCATGTACTAAAATTAAGGGAATAAAGTTTGGTACCTAATACTGAGCAACATTCATAGATGATTAACTTAATTTTGTAATCACATTTTTTAACATTCTAGCAGTATTTATATGTTATGAATGAGTGGATTGCATTTAAAGTTATTCACTAACTAAGTAATCAGGGGTGGATCCAGATTTTACTTTTTAAGACCAGTCTCTCTGAAGAAGAAAAAAAAAGTGTGATGACAGTAAATATTTTTGTGACAATATTTAATGCGTAAAAACAGTCATTTTTAGTTTATTTACCAGAAAATACAAGAGAGGTAGCAATATGTTAGGTATACAATAGTGCGATATCTTTTCAGTTTATTGATGAAATAGGGGGACCTGAAAAGATTTCTTCCGATACTTTATTTCTCAGAAAATGTTTACATAAATGCCTGAACTTGTTTTAGAATTAAGCAAATCAGCTGCGAAATAATTTTATAAAGAATAATTTATTTAAATTTGAGATACGTAAGGCAGCGGCGTTTTCGAGATATAAATTTTGTAAAGTTTCCCAAACGTATTTCGTGAAAATGGTCCTAATTTTCACCAAGATAGAACCCTTGATAATAAACCTTAACGCATATTTTTTGTTGAGTATTATACAGAGCTATTTAACAAAAGTAGTAATTTAATATATCTTTGATACAAAAGAAATGACTAAAACTTTTACATATTGTAAAAATGTAAAATTTCTCAAATAAAAATTAAGTTATAAAACTCACTACTAACAGATATTACATTGTCCACAATTCTAGTAGGTAGTGGTTTTTTATAACCAAATAAAGTTGGGTTTAATTAAATTATTTTCAACACATGTAGAATAGTGTATCTTTTATTTATTTAAAAATATTAATTAAACATCTTTATTCATAATTATAAGGGTAAGTACCTGGCTTTTTAATTATATATATCAAAAGTGATTTTTTAATTAACATAGATAACGAGATTGTCAGGAGTAAAGAACAAATATCAATCGTAAACTTTGTAATATTTATAGATTTTTTATGAAGTAGCCACTAAATTTAATAGCTCTAGTTACCATTGACTGTTAGATTAGTCTTTCAGTTTTTATTCCTTTACTCATTTGCATACATGATAAAATATACACAAACGTGCAGTTGTAGAAAATTTTTTTGTTATTAGTCATTATAAGAAAAAATTTCAGATATTATGATGTTATATATACAAGCATTGATCAGTCTTTTTCTTAGATAGTAACATCATGTATATAGTTTGAACATAATATTTTTCTGTTATAAAACATTTTGACACAATTCAGTTTTAATACTCTTTATTTTTATACTGTTATATAGGGTAAAATAACTATCTAGAGAAAGCAACATTATTTAAGCGTAGAAAAATTGAAAAGTGGTTCTTATAAAAAAATTTCTGATGAAGTTAGTTTTTCGCTTTTTTAAAACTAAATATTAATCCTGTATAAGGACCAAGCAGAAGTTACTGTTACATTTTTCTTTTTTTTTTACCGATTTAATTCCTCGTAATACTTGAAATTATATTTTTCCCCGAAGTATTATATTCGAGAGAAATAAAAAGACTTCATTTTCAGTTCAATAAAATTTTGTTCTTATTCAAAATAAAGAATAAATTCTGAACTATTTTAGAGTTTACATCTTAACCTCTCCGTATGTAAATGCTAAACAAATCAGCAATATAAAAATAAAGATTTACTTAATACATATGCGTTTATAAGTAAAAATTGTTTTCAGTTTGATAGAAATGTACATAAACATAATTTGGTCGTAAAACTAAAATAACTTAAAATATAAAGCACCGCATATATTTCAATATTAATAACTCCATTTTTAACCTAAAAAATAGATACAATTAACTAAATAGTTAAAATTCCTAGTCATTACAAATTTAGAAATTGATATTTTTCTTCAAATAATTAGGACAAATTTTCACCAAAATTGAAAAAAATTTTAAATCAAAGAATTTTAGTAAAACTTTACTTTTAAATTATTTTATCACAAAAAGAAAACTAGAATAAATATTTTTTCATTTAATTGAATTTAAAAAAAGACACTCATGCAAAGTTGTCGTATGTGTTATGTAGTTAATGTATGTAGACGTACTAAGTAGTTTATGCCAGTTGTTTATGTAAAGTTAAACTGCGTTATAGGTACTAAATTAAAAAGGTATCGAAGTGTTTAATTTAAAAAAAATTTAAATTAAAAGTATATATTCAAATACAAAATTTAAAATAAATAAACATGGAAATGTAAAGTAACGCCAATACGAAAATAAGGTATCAGATTATAGCTAAGCTCTTTACGGGCAACTCTGCCACACAATGGCCTATGACATCGTAAGGCAGTGGTGGATAGCTCTTGTGTAGAGGTACCTCATTTATTCGCCGAAGCTTGTAACGTAAGGACGTTTTGAAACATAATAGTTTAAGCCCAATCCTTGTTTTTTCAATTTCTTTGTTTACCCATCGTTAATATGGCCAGTGGTCATTGCTTAGACAATGGCACAAGATGGCGAATAGTTGGAAGAATCACTGGCTACCTGTTCCAGGGAGCTCGGTGTTATGAGAAATGTGGTGTCCACTCTGTGGAAACAGTTCACGGAGATAGGAACAAAGGTCCACCGACCTGGTCAAGACCACAGAAAAACAACAACACTGACTCAATACCGTTATTTGAGACCAACGGCCAAAAGCGATACAACTGTCTCGCAACACGTATGATGCAACAGAAACATCGATTTCATAGATAACAGTCTCCCACAAACTTAATGCAGGTGGCCTATATGCCAGATGCTCTGTAATCTGCATCTCTTTGATTATGAACCTGAAAGAATGACCGCCTAGCATGGTGCGGGAATACAGAGGGTGATACGGAGCGGGTTCTCTTCAGACATAAGTCGCGATTTAGTCTGGACAGTGACTACAGATGTTTTCTCGTCTGAGGAGAATCAATACAGGCCCTCTAACATTGTCGATACTATGACCACAATGGTCGAGGTAGTCTGGGCAGTCATTATGGCACTCTGACTAGTCAATCGTACAGGAACGAGATTCTCATATCTTATGTAAAAATTTTCCACGTAGCATATCGACCGAATTTCATCTTCATGGACGATAACACCCATCTACACAGGGGTGGGTGAATACCTCCAATCGAAGGATATTCAACGATGGGAGTGGCCTGTGATATACCCTGACCTTAATACCAACGAACACGTATGGGACGTCCAGTTGCAGCTCGACGATCAGCACAGCTCGAGTTGTGCTAATCGTTAGATCTAACTACCGTCAACGAGCTCAAGGTGCCGTTAATACCGGCAAGGATAAGGACTCTTGTAAAAATATGAAACACCGGTGCGAGAGTTGTGTAGGTGTTAGAGGCGATCATACACCATATTAGACATGTTTTTCTTTGACTGTTCAGTCAGTTGCTGTGCTGAACAAGTAACCAGTATCCTTATTTGGGGAAAAGGTACTGCCCACGTTTGTTTACCCACATAGTGGTGTTATAGCGAATAATATTTTGGCCAGATTTGGTTCGATTCGCTTTGTTAATTTTTTGTGAACGGAGTTTTTATTGAAAAAAATTGTCCACCGTAATTGAAAATTTTTAATATAAAACAAATTAAAATCTTAAAATCATGTTTCTCTAATATTACATCTAAAGTATTTCTAAAAATGGTACATAAGATTTGATAATTCTATACGCAATTTTCTTTTAAAAAATAATAGTTTTCTTAGAAAGAAAACTTAGTCCCAATTATCACAAATGTTGTCTTGGAAGGGGAGAAGAATCTTTCAGTGGCGTAAATAACACCCCCTTGATGCGGGGGCGCGCGATCCACTTTTGAAATACTGCTCGAGCAGCACTTGACCGTAATAAAATAAGCTATTTCATTTTATAACAGTCGTTTAAATGCCGACCCGGGTTTACGATAACTAATGTTCAACTACGTAGCCTTGTAATTTTGAACCCAATCCAGAAGACAAGGGAATTCCTAGATCCTGGAAATTGGGAGAAATTTGCCTTCGTGGGGGACTTCTTGATGGAACTAACCCGCATTTGTGTTACATGGAGAAGAAGAAGACGAGAACTTCACACGGTTAGCCAGACGACAAGGGGACTCTAACCCATAATCCGTCCACCACTGAGGATATTTCACGTCAGCACTGTGGTTGGTGCAAGCCGGATGCGGAATTCATATCGACCAGCTTTCACTGGGATTTGAACCCGGTTTACCTCATTGGAAGGCGAACTCACTATCCTCTGAGCCATCGAATGAATCTTTATGAAGTGCACATTTGAGTTTTTAACGCATCAAATCCAAGGTTCTCGATCGCTTTTTACAGAGGATATCGCTACGAGTTTCCAAAGTTTAAAAAATTCCAATAATAATTCGACAAAATTATGATGCTTGAATTTCAAATTTTAGCAATCAGTTTTAAAACTCTTTATCTATGTTCAGTTTATAGTTAATCCAAGTGACTTTTTGATCGAGTTTTGGTTTTCGTAGGCTACCGAAATCCCTATCCTTTTAGTACATACATCAGACAAGCGAGTTTCGAATTCTGCAAACAGTAATCACTTTTGACGTGCCTTCTTTGTGTCAATATTATCATACTATTTTGTCAGTACTAGTACTGACAAAATAGTATGAGCTCTCTTTTTAAGTACTATTTCTTTCTTGTTTCTCTAAGTATGTTTACATAAGTTTACCTCGTAACTAAGTTTTGACCTGTACTCGTTTTTCTAAGTATCGTATCATTTCTCTAAGTATTTTTCTGTTATTTTTCATCACTCAATGCTACTCATTTCCACGAGATTATGTAAATCCCGATATATTTAATATCTATTAATAAGACACTCGAATCGCGCATTTAAATGTGCGCTTTATTTGAGCAGATTTCATCGCAAATCTAAGAGATTTATTTATTTTTTATTGTTATTTCAACAGTTATTGCTTGGCTTTTGCACGTGGTTTCAAGAATTCTGATATTTTTAATCCGGTTGAACGAATTTAAATGAATTTTTATTTAACAACATATACTTTATAGACACGAAAAATGATTTTTTACAGACGTGAATAAATTTGGATTTATTATAAAAAAAATTACACGTCAAAGGTTTTCTAAATGCTTTTACACGACAAGACAGAATTAAGACATTTAACTAATAACAATAATGTTGCACTCAATAAAATCATTACATTTTCTAAAATGTTGTAGCACAGATAATTTACAACTCATACTTACAGCGCACATGAGCATGATTTTTTTAAAATTTTTATTGAACATAGTTGTATTTAATTCCTTCAGTTCATTCTTAATGTTGAGTACTCCTCCAACAAATATAATTAACAGTGGGTATCACAATCAAGCAGGCTCCAGAGAAGTTAATGAATATTGTGAATGGTCTCAATTTTTTCCCCTCATGCCTTGTGGAATAAGTAAATCAAGGGTAGTCATCTGCAACCCGTGATTTAGGAGATAATTTTTTTTATGATTTAAGAGGCTCTCCTGACCAAACTTAACTGCCGAAAGGGTTAAAAAGAGACTGGAAGAAAAAATTCTAAATATGCTGGAAATCCTCTTTATTTAATTTTTACAACGAAACTGATCATGGATATTTACTCTATTTTAAGTATCTTTTGACGCATGTAAAATACAAGACCGCCACCTAATCACAATTGGAGACATAAAAGCGTGCAGTATTTTAGATTCTCTATTAACTTTTTCTGACAAAATTATGCCAATACAATTCTGCAATTCATACAATTCTACAGTTTTTAATAGGTAGTTAAATAGTATATAGTTGCCTGTTTTTCGATTTTTGATAAGTATCTTTGTTTTTACGTCATTAACGTTAAAGGAATTTTTAAGCATCATCTAAATCCATTTTCCTAAATTTAAACTGTAATAAAATTAAAATTTAACAAATATAAAAATTAAGAAACATGTAGTTTTAAATTACGTTTAAGTTTTGAGGAAAATTTCATAGAAGTTCTAAAATTATCAAGTTATCAATTATTATTTTAATTAACAAAATAAAAATTTAACTTAAATTTAAAGATGGCGAGGGTAGATTCTTCTTAAAGAGGAGAAAAGTAAATATTTTCATCTACACTGAGCATCGTTTCCGATATTTTTTATGTTGAATCGAATGAAACCAAAACCTTAGTAGATAGAACTATTAGTTAAGAATTATTAAGACTATATGAACAAAGAGATCACTTTTGTACTTATAAGCATGTATTCGACTGACATAGCTACAACATATACTCGCAGGGCCTGATCTAGAAATGTGGACGCCCTGGTCCTTACCTTAAATTAAATTTACAGGTTATTTAATTCTGAAATTTTTAAATTATAATTTTTATTAAATTCTTAATTTATAACACAAGTATTTTAATATATATTAGTAAATTAGAGCTTATCGTTATTTAAATTTTTTTTAACTCACAACTTTAAAAATTCTTAAGGAAAAACACAAAAATAAATTATTTGTAACATTAAGGGGACCCTTAGAAATGTGGGAGCGCTAGACCTGGGTCCACTTGATAAATCAGGCGCTGTATTTTATATGCAAATAAGTATGGTTTCCACCTATAAAACACACGTCGATAAGAGTAATTGCTTAGTTGTATATAAAAGTACTATTTATGATCTTTACTTAGTTACACATCTAACATTGTTATATAGATATATAACATATTATGTTCGACATACTTTCTTTATATTTTTTGACGCTAATTCGAAAGAGATTGAACACGAATGGATAGTGGACAGCTATATGGGCATAACTCTTTGGTAAAAGGAAAATTAAAAATTGTAGAACATATTTTTATAATTGTTGAATGTTTGGATTTTGATTATTTTTGAGCTATTTTAACTGCATTAAAAGTAGATTAAATTATAATTTAGTATATTTATACACAAAAAACCTTATAACTTCTAAACTATCCTATCGGCTCGCACTTTATCTCATTAGATTCAGCCTGAATTATATAAATATGAAATAATACTTCAGACATATTCATAGAAAAGAAAAAAAAGCAATGTTAGGCCAATGGTCACAAATGAAAAAAAAAACCGAAGTTAATTTGACACGAACTGAGTAATGACATATTCAATTCAAATACCGTTAAAGCAAATAATTTCAAAATAAAGTTTCCTATAACCTATCAAAATGTGCAAAATATCCTGATAAAATTAATGGTCAGCAATCTCTCACAGTAAATAAGTTTGCATAAATAAGTACACAAATCAAAAATAGAAATTATTATGCATAACAATCTTCTAAACTCATGTTGAACAAATGACTCGTGTTTATCTAATTGATTTACCTTTAAAAAATACACATGAAACCATGCATTATTAGTCTAAATAACTATGTCAGATGTGTATACAAAACCTTAATAACGTCTGAACTATTAGTCCCTTAGACTAGAATATTGTCTTATTCAATTCAGCATTTAAAAAAAAATGCTCTCCAAAACAATACCCCTTTTGTCTAAAAAACAAAATATATGTAAGTTATGATTGATTAAATGATAGATTACTCATAACTCCACAGTTATGAGTAATCTATCATTTTGATTACTTTACAAGTACAAAGAAAAACAAATAAGAAATTAGAACACTAATAATATTTATTCTCAAAATTACACAGTGGTTTAAGAATAAGTGTAGTTAGGAAACCCACTAACTGAAGAATAAGGTTTTTATTGTCAGCAGTACAGATGATGCGGTTTTTGGCTAAACAATTGTTTGCATGAAAAAAAGCCTATTATATAAACTAAATTTTATTATCAGCATGAACAAATTTATTATGCTGAGTTAAGTGATTTTTCCGAGAAAATTTTCTATTGCATATATTACAAAAATGAAGTTCTTTCGCAGTTTGGACAGTATGTACAAGATTGTGTTTAGTTAAACAATATTGCCTTGAAAAGCTTTTATTACAGATGCTACAAGAATAAGGTTTTTCGTTTGTATGGACAATGCTATGTTTAGTTAATTCACTGTTTGTTGAAAAACTTTTATCACATATATTACAAGAAAAAGGTTTCACATTAACATGAATACGCTTATGTACATATAAAACAGAACTTGATGAAAAACGCTTGTTGCATATGTGACAAGAATAAGGTTTCTCACCAGTATGAACAACACTGTGAGTCGTTAACTGACTCTTATGAGCATAACTTTTATTACATAAGCTACAAGAATAAGGTTTCTCACCAGTATGTACAATGCTGTGTTTTAATACAGCACTTTTTGTTAAGAAACTCTTATTACATATGCTACAAGAATGAAGATTTTCACCAGTGTGAATGAGGCTGTGCCTAGTTAAATGAGTTTCTTGATTAAAACTCTTATTACATATTTTGCAAGAATAAGGTTTTTCTTCAACATGAACCAGACTGTGAGAAGTTAATTGAAATTTACGAGCAAAACTCTTATTGCATATGGTACAAGAAAAAGGTTTTCTCCCTGTATGCAGAAAACTGTGAGTAGTTAAATTACTTTTTTGAGAAAAGCTTTTATTACATATATTACAAGAATAGGGTTTTGCATCAGTGTGAATACGATTGTGGACATTTAATTGACCTATTTGAGAAAACTTTTTATCACATACACTACAAGAATAAAGTTTTACCTCCATATGACTAAAGCTATGAGAAGTTAAATGACTTTTTTGAGAAAAACTCTTACTACATATATTACAAGAAAAAGGTTTTTCACCACTATGAACATAACTATGAGAAATTAATTGAGATTTACGATAATAACTCTTGTTACATATGCTACAAGAATAAGGTTTTTTTCCAATGTGAAGAAGACTATGACTAGTTAATTGACTTTTTTGAGAAAAACTCTTATTACACATAGAACAAGAATATGGTTTTTCTCCCGTATGAACACGAATATGAGAATCTAAATGACATTTTTGAGAAAAACTCTTGCAACATGTATGACAAGAATAAGGTTTTTCATCAATATGGGCAAAACTATGAGTAGTTAGCTGACTTTTTTGAGAAAAACTCTTATCGCACACATTGCAAGAAAAAGATTTTTCCCCACCATGAACAAAACTGTGAGAAATTAACTGAGATTTTCGAGCAAAACTCTTATTACATATGCTACAAGTGTAAGTTTTTTTACCAGTATGAAGAAGACTGTGAGTATTTAACTGACTTTTTTGAGAAAAACTCTTATTACATACAGTACACAAATAAGGCTTTTCACCAGTATGAATGCGAATATGAGAAATTAAATGACAAGTTTGAGAAAAAGTCTTATAACAAATATGGCAAGAATAAGGTTTTTCTTCAATATGAACAAAGCTATGAGTAGTTAAATGACACCTTTGAGAAAAACTTTTATCACATTTATCACAAGAATAAGGTTTATGACCAGTGTGAACCACACTATGAGAAGTTAATTGAGATTTACGAAAAAAACTCTTAACACATATATTGCAAGAATAAGATTTATTACCTGTATGAAGAAGACTGTGAGTAGTTAAATTATTTTTTTGAGAAAAACTTTTTTGACATACATTACAAATATAAGGTTTTTCTCCGGTATGAACACGAATGTGTGAAACAAAATGACTATTTTGAGCAAAACTTTTACAACATATATGACAAGAATAAGGTTTTTCTTTAACATCATCAGAGCTGTGATTTGTCACAGAAGGTTCATTCGAGCAGCTATTAGAACTTTCAGTAAACATAATACCTAAATTTTAATAAATAAAACTATAAAGGATTTAAAAACCAGGAAATTAAGTATGTACAGAAATAATTTCACATGAGCACACAATTTTTATTAAAAAAAAAAGAAAAGATTCCTTTGAATTTAAAGCATTTTTTCATTCGAATAATGCTTTACTAAAATGCATGCATAGTATTAATGTAATTCATATTTAAATGACTATTAATTAGAAAAGTATTAAAAGAAAAAACAATAAAATTTGCACAAGGTTTTTTTTTCAGTTAGTTAATCTTTCAAAACAACTGTTTTGAGTAAATTTAATCGACATCTTATATAAAACATGAAGTAAAAAAAATAAAGAGTTATAGGAGTTCACAAATTATTATCAAACTGAACCATGATATCTTTCTTTTATTAGCTGATAATAAAATATTAAGTTAAAGAGTTGATTAAGTTCTAATTTTATTTCAATATCAAGACACGTTCTGAAGGAAAGATAACATTTCAAACTGAATTGTGGTATTCTCACTATCTTTTATTGCACAGCTTCAGAAGCTATAAAAGAATTAAACAACATAAGGATACCTCAATTTCAAACATAAAAGATTGATTACAAAGCTAAAAGATTGGTATGCTATAAGGGTTAATAGTCGCTTCTAGCATACCTTTTATTCGTTTTTATATCATGATAACACTTCTGCTTGCTTTTATCTAAAAGAGAATACAAATATTTAATAAAGTAAACTAAACAATGCTTTACATTAAAATTAACTTATAAACACAAAAATATCTTACAACTGAGCAACTTATCTTTTAACTAAGAAATTATCAATATGAAGAGGTATGTAAGTGATGTTTAATTTTATAATTATGATGCAACAATATGTGGATGATTTTCTCCAAAAAGTCAATTTTTGCCTAAGACAGTTGGAAAAATTCATCCTTTAATTACCTTAATGTTAATAATTTGCACTTATTTAAAAATAATTAAATTTTACAAAATAATTATAATAACATGTAAGTGTAATTACATTAGATTTACATATTTATATTAATATCATTGATATATTTAAGTATGCAACTCAACGACCAGTAAAGTGTCAGTTAAATTTTTACTCTTTTACTGAAACGTTTTGAAAGCATGGAATTCGCAGAAAAAACTTTTTCATTGCGATTTTATAAAATCCAAATATATTACTAAGTGACAAATTTGTCACCTATGAGTATGATTTTAGCAATTTTTGAAGAACATTTGGTGACAATTGACACCATACTGGCTAGAACCTTAGTAAGAATATTCTTGTAATTTAATACTAACAATACTTATCAGCTAGTCAGGTGCAATGAAATTCAAATATTTTAATTAAATTTTAATCAATTTACAAATTAATTTTTTTAACTTTTTATATTTTGTGAACTCCCCCCCCCAACTCCCCTTTTAATTCAATGATTTTTAAGAAAATAAATGAAATAAAAGTTTGCACAGAGGTCTATATTTTGGGGATTGTAGAGGTTTATAGTATTGTCATCTGGTGAGCCAACAACATTCGCCAAGGTTACAAATGGACTTTAAACTTGCAAAAAATTTTAAAAGAAAACATGTAGATGTTTGCCCGGGGGTGGCTACGATTTTAACCTCTCGAGATGGTCCCTTTCTGTGATTCTTTTTCACTTTCTTGCAGGTCACTGCCCAGAAATTGCCAAGACTTGGCAATTATTCTGTCACAAATCAAGATACGGAAATTTCTCCTATATTTATTGGCGACTCATCGCTTGCACCATGCTAATCGAAAAGTATTATACATAAAAACTTTATTATTTTAAAAAAAATTAACAAAAAACATCATTATCATGTTATTAGATATTTGTTCAACATCTACAAACTCAAATAGTATCATAAAAATTAACTTTTTTAGCTCAGAAATAAACCGATGCATACTTCTTGTTTTCAAATTTTGGAAAATTTTTTATTTTTTAGCGCTTGGAGTTGTTACACGACCGACACGAAAATATTTATATACCCTTTCAAACACTTGAAACTGAAAGAAATTATCTATAATTCAGTATCCAGATTTTTCACACCAACTACATTCGCTAAACGGGTTTTTATTTATTTTTATAGTGAAATAACGTATTACGAAATTATTTCCATACCATTATGTAACTACTGACTAAAAAATTCTTCACTTTCCAAAAATCCGAAGGTCTTAGGGGAAACAATTCAAGCTTGAATGTGAGTAATATTGTTATACTCTGTAGAATCGGGTAATTTTTTTTATTACGGTCAACAAATCTAATTTAATTTAAGATTTAATAGCTATTAGATCTTTGGTAAAACAAATACAATAACAAACTTGTGGAAATCGCTCTAAGCTGTTTATTTCTGTAATGCTAATTAACTTAATCCAATACTTCAAATAATGAAAGTCTTGCGACTGACGTCAAGTCCCCTGATGAAACTTCATTATACGAGCTGTAGATGGCGCTAGACAGAACTCTCTACCTATGGTAATACTTTACCATAGGTAGAACCAGAAGAACATTCCTCCAAACTGGGAAAACGAAAAAAAATCTGGGAAAGACTCGTACATTGGATTCAAAAGAAGGCCCGGTGTTATGTTTTCACTTCGAAAACCAGGACCAACTGGTACTTCTCGAGCCACCAGCTTCAGAACGGACAATGTGAGCAAGTTTCACGAAAATTTAGAATTAACTCTCCAACGTAAGAACTTTTCAGGTAGTAAAATTTTTAATCTTGGCGAGTCAGGGCTCACAACTGTTCATGTACCACCAAAAGTTATAGCTGGAAAAAGAGTAAAGCAGGAGTTGCAAATGACACCAGGAATGCTTGGTAAACTTATAACAATTATTTCTGCTTTAAATGCCATTGGTAATTCAGTGCCACCATTTTTGATTTTCCTTAGAAAGTTTTTTAAACATCATATGCTAAATGGGGCACCCCTTGGTACCATTGGGGCTGCAAATCCACGTGGTTTGTCAACATTTCAAACATTTTTGCTTTATTTCAAACACTTTGTAAAACAACAAAAAATAACAATATCATCCTAATAATTGACAATCATAATACATTTATAACTATTGCAGTCATTGATTTCTGTAAAGAAAATAGAATTATTGTGCTCACTTTGCCACCTCACACAAGTCATAAACTGCAGGCTTTGGATCGTACCGCATTCAGTTCTGTTAAAAAACATTATAATATTGGTTGTAATAAATGGATGCTTGCACATGCTGGAAGGCCTATAAAAATCTATGATATTGCTGAATCTGTAGGCATAGCATATACTATTTCCTTAATACCAAAGAATATTGTTTCTGGTTTTCAAGTAAATGGAATCTATCCCTTTAATCGAGATGTATTTGATGACATTCTTACATTTTTATCAGCTATTGTGAGTGATACGCCAATTCCATCAACAAGTTTATTTATGCAAAATATGAATGAGTCCCTAGTAAGCGATTCGCTTCTGACAATAATACCTGAATGAGTGAGACTATTTCCAAAGGCAGAAACTCAAAAAGAAAATAACCAAGGTCGAAAAGGGAGGAAGATCTGCGATTTATACAGACATTCCTGAAGAAAAAAAAGGCACTTGAAGAATAAGGCTATTAAGAATAAAAAGGACTCTCAGGGAAAACAAAAATAATGAATGAATAGAAGAGGTAAAAAAGTGATTGAAAAGCTCCGGTTTAGCAGTAGTAAAGATGAGGATTTTATGCTCTCAAAATTAGTGGGAAATACATCTAGAAGAAAACCAGTAATTAGTGATCTATATAATGATAACAGTGATGATGCTTGTAGCTTAGATGAAATGAGCAGTGAAAGTGACAAGGAAATATTTAATGATAAGAAAAAAGTGGTTAAACAAAACCATTTCTAATTGCAACTTTAATACTAATTTGTGTAATAAAATTTTTAAAAATTTAGTTTTTTCACAATTGGTTAGGATCAAAAATATTTGCAATAATGTTGAAAGTTTTCGGGAAGATGTGAATAATTTGAGCAATAATGATTTTCCTTTTAATTTTTGTAATGTTAATTTTTTAATTAAGAAAATGATTGAAGAATTCTAGGTTTTTATATATTTTTTTCTTTTAACAGGGCGCGATTCAAGTCTTAACTGAGCAGCCCCAGTTAAGCATTTTATTAATTTGTTGCGTATTTCTTTCTCTTGACTTCTTTTATTTTATTTTCTATCTGCGCATAGAAGGAGTTGTTTTCTTTAGTTTTCAGTGTTTCCTTTTCATTCGGCTTGCTTGTGAAATCGATGTTTGACCTGGTTAAGTGAGTTTTTACTTTCTGATGATTTTGCTTGAGTTTCTTTTCTAAATTGGTTATTTGTACTTCATGTTTTTTCCTGGACTTCTATACAAAACCATCGGGGTACTGAGGGAGTTAATTTAGGCATTTGCTTCTCCCTCAATTAGAAATGGTTTTGTTTTATGGCTACCGGGGCCGGCACCCCCTGAAGACGTCGGCTTCGGTGGTCATATTTTTATTTCCTTCGTTTCCTTTATTGCTACTTTTTTGAAATTTCTGCTGCTTTTTAGCGCGTTTTTTTCAAAGAAGTTTTATCTATTTAGAATTTTAAAAAAAAATTTGTTTTCTTTTAGTATTGTTACTTTTGTAGGTTGCATTGAAAGAGTTGATGGTGTTATTGATAAATATGAGCTATTATTTTTGAGAAGAGTGACTCAAACTACAACATTTATTTATCCCGAAAAAGAAGACAAATCATAGGTAGATTCAAATGACATTTTGTTAAAACTTAAAGAACCTGAGCGAAGCAATGAACAATCTTTAGGTTTGGTATTTGATTCTGAACAATTGACTACAAAATTTGTTAATTGGATTTGCATAGAAGTACTTGAGACTAACAAAATAAAGCTCTACTAGCAAAATTAGATAATGTAAACTTATTAGTTATACTATTTTTAGAAAATTTATACCTAACTTTTCACATCAGTTTAACTGTCCCAAGGCGCCACACTAAGAGGTACACCTTGGGACAAATAACAAGATAACTAAAAAAAAAAATTAAAATTTTTTCTATGACAGATACAAAACCGAAACCTAGGTAAAAATGCTTTCAAATGTTACAAGAGTACCAGGTAAAATTTGTTAATAATTGATCAAAATAAAAAAAAAAATTGAAAAAAGATAGTAAAAAAGTGTCCCAAGGTGAGCAACTCTGCCCTACTACAAAAACAGTTTCTTAAAGTTATCTAACAAAGCTCTCAATGTATTTTAATGTGTTAGAATAGCCATAGATAGAAATACATCGACCATGAACTTTTGTGTGATCTTTGATACAATACTGCCCATTGGCCAATTTAATAATTATCAGAATAATTGTGGATTTTCCTGACAATTCTGTCGATATTTTCAAATTCCCATAAAATTCTAGGTGCATCCTGTTTCCAATGAAGAGTCACACTTTTGGATTAGTTTCAGTGTTATAAATCATATTTTTTCATGAAACTTTTAAATTTCAATTTGATTATAATATTATTATTTAAAAGTTAAAAAATAAATTTGACTAGATGACACAATATTTTAACTCCAAACATTATAATAATACAGATCCAACAGAAGAGCTTAATCATACACCCAATTATTTCGTTAGGGACTTGTGGTTTTGATTAGAGAGCCCCCCAAATGATTGATTACCCCCAAACTGATTATTGATGATTATTGAAATGATTTTGATTGATTACCCCCAAACTCACTTCATAAGTTAAAAAACTATATTTCAGAAAAAAAGCATACAATTATAAATAAAATTAAACAAATATAAATATGATGCTTTTTTCTGTGAGGTGTTTGTTCTTTTGAATTAATTACAGTAAAATTGGATGCAACAACATTATTTGTTTTGCAAACTGCATGCAATAAATTGTACTATGCTTTTTATTGAGCATAGCTAACTAAAGAGTTTTTCTTAAATAGACAAGGCATAAGACTTTTTCAGTCAAAATTCAGTTTGTTCTTTTGAAGAAAACACAATGATCACTGATGCTAAAGTAGAACTTCAAAAGTAAAAAAAAAAAAATAATAATAATAATTAATAAACTCTGGAAAGTATTTAAAAGATTAGAATTCAATAAAGAAAATAAACTTAGTTTTCTTTCCTTTGAAAACATAAATGGTAAATAGTAAGATATTTCTACAGGTCTTATATACCACATCACTACCTCTCTATGTCTTATTTTTAAATAAATTTAAATAGTATTTACATTAATAAAGGGGATCAGAAAACTTTAATGTAGATTACAAGGGAGGCAATGCAGTGAAAAGTTTTAGAACTTCAGAGTAACATTTTACAAAAAGGTGTTATACACTAAAATGCTAATGTATATTCTCAATAGATGAGTAATGAAATGAACCTAAGGTAAAATATAATCAATCAAGTATAAATTATAATTTATTTTAAATAACAAAATTATATTAAAACATATTACTTATTTCATTTGAGTATTAACTGAAAATACAAATCACATAATATAAACATTTAATCTAAAATATAACAATGGAATAGATGAGTTCATTTCTTTACATTCAAATGTTGAAAAATTACTTACATGAAAGACTGAGTTTCTCGATTTATTTGCTATTTAAAGGATATAACATTTTATAGTGCTTATGTATGGTGGTGCAAAAAAAGAAAAAAAAATTAAAAAAAAAAAAAAAACCTATTTTGAGTAACATTAGATAAAATTTTATTGATGTTACTCATATTATTTCTTTTTCATCTAACTTAGTTACTATATTAATTAGTGTTGGTAATTAAGTAAAAAATTAAGCACAAAAACCTACTTTCCCTAATTGACATAACTTTTTGGACCAAACTAGAGAGTTCTACCTGCTGCTTGCAATCCCAACAACAGAGCTGCAAAGCGCAATTCATATCAGATTGCTTTTAATTAGTCTTCAAAAAATAAATATTTATTAGAGGCAATGCTTCTTGCTTTTTCCTAACAATCATTAGAACTACTTGCATAATTTTTTCTAGATCACTTCTCACTTCACCTGCCCAGTTCCCAATGAGAAGATTATAGATAGAGCAACAAAAATTCAAGATGCTGGTGTGGATTAATATTCTTTTAAAATAAAGCAACTTTACAATTTATTTACTCAAAAATTTATGAAAAATTTAAATAAAGCAAGATGCATTGTTAATAGCCAGACACAAGAGAAAGTGGCTGCAAAAGATCATAAATCTAATGCTAAACTAAAATACCCTACACCTAGAAAAATAATAATATAAAATAAAATAAAAACTTGACTTAGGCATAAAACAACTCAACTAACATTTTCTACACACCTTCTTATATAATAAAATTCATAAAATTATATTACGTCTATATTAATCATGAAGTAGGGAAGTTTTCTAAATGGGAGCAGTTACGTTTTAAATTATTTTATTCATTCTAAAGGTATGATGAACCTATGATAATATTTCAATAGGATAAATAAGCTCAATGTTTTTGCCAGTCTCTTGAATAAACTATTCAGAAATTCAGCTACTAATTATAATTTTCATAACTGAATTTGGAATATCATATGTGGGTCTTTCAATTATTATCATTATTTTATAATATTGTACATTAAAAGTACATGCAGTGGTTTATGCACAATTCAATTCGGGAGAAGTAACCAAAGAATTATTTTGATTTGTAATAGACTCCTCTACCCTTGGCTATGCTGTAATTAAACTATCGAGCCAAAAGTATTCAGACACTGAGTGGTACAGAATTGGAGAGTTCTGAGGCATAATATGATGTCAGCCCCCCTTTTGCCTCAGTGACAGGTTACACACGTCTGGGGAGACTTCCCACATTTTTAGTAAAAAAGAATACTTCTCCGCATCATCACAGCTGGAGTATGAGCTACCAGTGAGTTTGGTTGATTTGACTGGCTACATAATCTGGTTTCTAATTCAACCCAAGATGTTCTGCGAAGCCATGATGGTTCAGAGGATAGGGCACTAGCCTTCCAATGAGGTGACCAAGGTTTGAATCCCAATTATGGGTTGTATTGATAACATCGCTGATGCAAAATATCCTTAGAGGTAGAAGACGGATCATGGATTAGAATCTCCTTGTTATCAGGCTAACCTTGGAAGATTTTAGTAATTTTCCTCTCAATGTAACATAAATGCAGCTTACTTCAACCAAAAGTCTACTACAAATGGTAGCTCGTCCCAATTAAGTTTGGGGTACTCGTTTCCTGGATTGAGTTCAAATTTACAAAGATATGGAGTAGAACATTGATAGTTGTAAACCATAAAATGGCTTGGTTGTTCAACCACTGATTATAAAATAAAAGTTTCTATGGGATACAGATCAGGGTTCTAAGAAAATTAGCCCAGTTTTTGAACATTCATTCAGTCTAACCGAGGATGCCCAGGTCTCGACGTGTGAATGGTCCCATAATCTGGCTAGAAGAGAAATCGGCTTTCCCTGAAATATTGAAAGAATAATATTGAAAGGGATCTGAATGTCCACATGCATCTCAGAGTTCATACTTCCATCCAACCACAATAACTAAGGGAACCGGGCTAAACCATGATAAATATTTCCACATAATGATGATTTAGATGCCTGTATGTATACATAAAATTATTTCATTTTTATATATTTTCCTCATATGACTTGTAATAAAGTTATTATTTAATGTTCACAGTTATCTTTTTATCTAATATTAAAAAAAAAATATATAAATGCTGGTTCTAAGTTTTTGGTAAAGGCAAGAACAAAAATTTTTTTCTAGTGTTTAAAATTCAACACAAGGAAGAAAAATAAAGAGGATAATAAAAATATATGCATCAACACAAAAAAAATTTTTTTTTTTTTTTTAATAATTAAAGATTTAAAACTTAATTGATTTATAGACTAAATTACTGTTATTCAAAAAAAGATTAAATGAAAGGTTTAAAATATTTTGGTTATATTGCCCATTGCTTACAAGTATTTTAAAAAGAAAAATGTTTCTGTCAGTACCTATAGTTCTGTTGGTACAGTACACCTATTAAAGTAGATGAAAATCCAGTCACTACATCAAAGTTTTTGACAAGTCTTTGTGCACAAGTTTTTGTATTTGTATTCTTAACAATTAAATTTGTATTTCTTATAAGGGAAAAAAAATTATACCTTATTTTATGCAATTCATTTCAGGTTTATAATAAAAGCAAAATTGATACCATATTGCTATATATTTTTTATGCATTAAAATTATGAAGAAAAAAAAACTCAGTTTCAAATTTTTAGATAAGAAATATATATAATTCCCCTCCTCCACAATAAATGATAAATAAAAGTCACTACCGTTTTTTCAATTGATTAACTACAATTTATTATTTGTTTTCTATTGATCTTTGTAATATTTTTATTCTTTTTGTAAACTCTGCATACAATTGCTACAGATAAAGTAAAAAGTTTTAATTTTTGTTTTATATGAAATATGCAAGTATAAAATATGAACATTATCATATTGATAAATTATCTAAGAAATTTATAATGTTGACACCTTAATAATTGTAAAATGTAGTATGGTTTGCAACAATTTGTCTAAGACACATCATTTTGTTCTAGTCACAGTTTCTTAATATCAATACAATGAGAATCATTGAAATAATTATTATAATAAGTTTAATTACTAAAGATTTTTAAAAAAATATACAGAGGAGAACCGATTATCCGGAATGATCGGGACCATCGCTATTCCGGATAACTGATTTTTCCGGTTTTCTGAATCGCTACAAAAAGCCGTTTTTTTATTGTTAAACCCAACTAAAAAAAAAAGTATTTGGAAATAATCTTAAAAAGAAGAAAAAACGATGAAGTAATACAGTAATGATTATTTCTAAAATGATGGTATGGTAAACATCTTTCAAAAAAGAAAGAAAAATCCTAAAATCTTATGANATAACGGGAATATTCATCGAATTTCGTTCCGGTTTTTTGGTTTTCTGATTTCCGGATAATGGGTTCTGTAGTGTATAAGAAAATGAAGAGTAATTGTCAAATCTTCAGAAAATTCTAAATTCAGCGTATACAAAAATAACAGAAAAAGGTTCCAAGCATGGAAAATTGTTACCTATTCTTATAACACCTTCAATGGAATTACAAATTTGATCTATAATTCATGTCTTTGGGAATGATTTGCTCTTTACTTTTAAAACACAATAATTTGAAAATATAATTTTGAAAAAATATACATTCAATTGAATTGTCTGCAGAAAAATTATAACAGAGACAATGACTATAACTATATTGATACTTATGAATGGAAAAAGCTGAAGTCACATCACTTCTTATATGAATGTTACTGGTAGGTCAAAGAAACTTTATAAGAAATTTTTTTATTTGTTACACTTAGAAAAAATATATACATAGAAGTGGCCTCCGTGGAGGTTTTACCTTTCGGTTTTGACTGATTCAGTGATATTCCCTACCAGTTTCCCTTCGAAACTTGATGCTGTTACTGATGTGGAAATCTTTTTAGCCTTTTTCGAGATTTTCCCACCCTCAAGATTTGCTGAGCATTGTGGTGCAGGTTCCAGAATGGAAATTTCCTCAGCCTTTCCAGTGATATTCCCTGTCAGTCTCTCTTCTGACACTTCCTGCACATCCTTAACACTCGGTGAGCATTGTGGAGTAGGTACTGGAACGGAATTCTTCTCAGAATTTTCACGAGTATGAATGCGTATGTGATTATTTAATACACTCTTAATTGAGAAGCTTTTATTACATATGCTACAAGTAAAAGGTTTTTCCCCAGTATGGATAAAGTTGTGATTATTTAACTGATTTTTTGCTATAAACATTTTATTACAAATATCACAAGAATAACGTTTTTCACCAGTATGGATAAAGGAATGAGTCACTAATTTAGATTTTTGAGAAAAACTCTTTCCACATACTGTACAAGAATGTGGTTTTTCACCAGTATGGACAAAATTATGTTTAGTTAAATCACTTTGTGTTGAAAAACTCTTATTACAAATTTTACAAGAAAAAGGCCTTTCTCCAGTATGAACAAAACCATGAGTTTTTAAACTACTTCTCTGGGAAAAACCCCTATTGCAAATATTACATGTATAAGGTTTTTCTCCTGTATGAACATAAATGTGTTTCTTTAAAACACTTTTTAGTGAAAATCTTTTATCACATATATGACAAGAATGTGGTTTTTCACCAGTATGAAGAAAACTATGAGACACTAAGTTACTCTTGAATGCAAAACTCCTGTTGCATATGTGACAAGAAAAAGGTTTTTCACCAGTATGAACATTCATGTGATTTATTAGATTGCTTTTTTTAGAAAATCTTTTGTTACATATGCTACAAGAAAACTTTTTTTCACCCGTATGAATAAGAGTGTGTGTAATCAAAATACTTTTGTTGGCATAGGTCTTATTGCATATGACACAGCGATTTTCATCAGAATTCAAAATATCATGGGTTGCAGAAGAATTTTGAAAATCTGAATCTGAAGAAATTTGAACTCGTTCACTACACATGGTTAATACGAGGCTTCAGTTCTTTCTTTTACATAAATAATAAAAAAATGCAGAAAATTGTTTCAAAAGCTACACCAGTATGGTAATTAAATATAAGAGCTATTGCAAGCTCTTCCAATCATTAAAATACAGTTTCTTTTTGCTTTCAACTTCTTGCTGATGTAGTTTACTTTATTTTTTTCTAAAAGCAAACTTCTTTTTGCTTTATTTTTTTCTTCTCCTTGTTTTTAAAATTAAAATAAGTAACAGAACTCCATTAGAAGATGATTTTAATGCGGTTTATTTTCTCACAGATATGTTCATAGAAAAACGATTGAATTCAAGCACAATAACAAAAATAATTTTATTGAATGATTTATGATAATATTAATGATTCCATATTCTGTCACTATCACTGAATTATTGTTTGAGTTGACTTAGTATTTAAATATAAGTGAAAAAATTTGCACTTTGTCGATGTCTTCAAACATTAATCAATAAACAGATTTATTAGATTACAAAAAACTACTATTTAGCACGGAAATAAGCTTTTATAAATAGATATACAATCGAACATTACAACTCAATACGTGAGCGATTATTCATGCACACACATCTGATAAGCCGATAAACCAAAACCATTGTTAATCAACTTCAGTAAATATCCCCGTAAATATGAAACAAACAATTTGTTCGTAAAATGTTAACGTAAGTAAGTTTATGAAAAACAAATAAAACCCAGTTGAAAAATTTTAGTGTGCTTTCATAAACTGCTTTTTAGAACAGAACCAAACAACCTGTACATCCGTTTCCAGCTGCCTGTTTTTGTTATTGCAAGAATTCTTTTATAACTTCCTTTTTTTAAATCAATTATACAAGTTAGAAGCAAACATTGAATCCTGGGCAGAATATCAAAACTGATATTTCTATTCAAAACAAAACCAGTTTTTACTCAGCTTTCCGAAATTATTTATATTTTACATTCGGATTTGAAGTTAAAAAACTGATGTTAAACTGTCGATTAGAAATGTCAAATCAGAGCTAGTTACTTTCTTTTGAACTCAAACAAGGCTTTTATGTTTAATTTAATTTAGTTAAATTATAGTGACCTTATAAGCTACCTCAATGTACGGTATGTAATAATAATCATTCTCTACGAAATAATTTATTGATTTTATTATCATTTAATTTCATAATTAACATAATATTTTATACAAAACGCAGAATGAGAAAGTGAATACCTGAATAACTTTCGATCTAATTCATTCGGTCAGATTTTTACATACTGAGATGCGATCTGAATGGTTCAAAGACCTAATTTGGCTTATAATAATTAGTGTCGACTATATTTAAATTTAGGGAAAAGATTTCCGTATTTTCCCTGCATGTAAAAAGGGAAAGCGACAAGTTTTTCCTCAAACCGGGCCATAGGACTCCGAAAAAAGAGTCACTTTAACTAGAAGGGTATAACTCTAAGCCATACCTAGGAAAACCTCTACAGTATTTTTCTAACTTTGTGAAAGTTAAAAAAACTTTGGCTCCTTGTTTAATTAACTGGTCGTGAATATCCATATTTTAAGAAATCAGTCACAACGTACTTTCTCTAAATGAACATAGTTTTTTTTATGGCCCTCAGATTATGGGGAAATACCCAATATCTGAAAAAATATTGATCTGGACAGTGATAAAAATTTTCGGCCTACTTAATGCAGAGTTCATTCTAGGCGGAGATTTGCACGGCGGTGCGTCCCGGTTGACCTTTAAATGAAAAATTTCCATCCGCATGCCCTTTGAACTCAATTACGCACTACGATATACTTAAAATAAGGCCTATTTTCAGTGAGCTTCTGTAAACCTATGTTGTTTTCTGATTGTTTTTCCACAGTAATTAATAGTTTTTTTAACCGTTTCCCTATGGTTTTTCAAATTTTGATATGTTTAATATGTTTTTATGACTTGCGCATTTTTAATTTGAAGTATCACTTTTTCTAAGTGTTTGATTTGTGAGGATTTCATCATAATTTCGCATAGTTTTTTCTGCCCTTTTTTGTTAGTCTCTCAATTTCCAATATTTTGAATATGATTTTATGAAATTCAATTTTCGATCATTTTATTATAATTTCAAGTCGTAAAATGATATTGAGCTGTTAGGGAATCCGGTGTCAATTCTACATATAATACAGTGGAAAGTCGCGTTTTCGGAATCAGTGGGATTTCCAGAAGTCCGGGTAATAGATTTTTCTATATAATAGACCCCAAGGTAAACAAAGCTTAAAACGCTCTGAATCTAAGAAGAAAGAAATGAATAAACCAGTGTTTTCACTACAGCGCGAGAACGCGAGAATCTCGCATATTTTTTTCTTTTCTCGCATTAAAAAATGATTACCGCGAGAAATTCGCGCATTCTATGAACCAATTTCAAAATTCGCGAATTTCTCGCATTTTGTAAAAAATTTCTCATTGCGCCAATTAGAATGAAATCCGTTTCACTTTTCTTCCTGGATCTTTCATTATTTTCAACATCTGCCCCATTATCTAGCTTCCCTGTTTACCAGTATTGTTCAGAATCTTTAAGAACTACAGAACACCATCCCTCCGAACCTCTTTCAGAACGCATTTCTCTGCAACCACGTGTTTACTGTAGGTAAGGTTTCTTCATGTAAGACGTTAAAATTTTTTGCGCATTAATGCAAGATGGACAAATACTTTGTAAAGGCAATATCTTCTACTCCGAAACGGACAAATGAAAATGAAACAAATGTGGGTAGAAACGATCAAAACGAAACAAATACGCATTTGAGTTACCTAATTAGAATAGCTGATGAAAAAGTAGATATAGAACATTTTCCATATGATGATGCAGCAAAAATATTCAATGCTTTAAAAATTAGAAGATATTAAAAATGTATTATAATTAAAGAAATGATTTTTTTCATGTCTCTTTACGTTTTTGTTTTTTAATTTTTAGAAATCTCACTTAACTTTTTGAAATCTCACCCTGTTTTTGAGAAAGGGTGAGAAATTCTCACCCATTTTTTCTCTGCGATGAAAACACTGAATAAACATTATTTTACAGGCAATAATGTTTTGGTATTAGAATGATATCTAATCAATCAAAAACAAAATATTAGGGAAAAAAAAATAATTATTGCTTAAAATATAGAAAGCAAAAAAAATTTGACAGTTATGAAAATATTAATTGCTCTCTCCACCATTTTGAACAAGAATGATTCAGACAAGAAGCCGAAATTACTGTCATTCATTGAGGTGGGTAGGTGGAGGAGAAAAATTTATTTCCTCCTTATTTGTATAGAAAAAATATGCTTAAAGAGGAGATCTTTCAAGTTGAGGATGGGGAAGGAACTGACAAATTCTTATTTTCTCTGATCATTGGCTATCAAACAAGTGTAAAGGCGCTGCATGCTGATAGGGCTCTCTTATTTTTTCTTGTGTAACTGAAAGAATCTGGTTAGTGGTTGTTAAAACAACGTTACGGAGGTGTATATTAATTTCGCCTGGTTTAAAAGGGGGAGAATTGTCAAATTCATATTTCAGTTGAAGGGAATCTTGAAATCTTTTTCATGTCAATTCTAAAGAAAGAAACTTGTCCTTTTAGTCCTATTCAAATTTTCCACTTTTACTACCCCTCCACATTAACATTCGCCGTGTTAACCTATTTCCACAGTATTTTTTTCCCCTAACACTCTAATAAAAAGGTTCCAGGAAATGCCTCTTTTACTACCCAGCTGCATGGGAAAGAACAGGGGAGGGGACTCAGTTGCGCACTTTGGAAAACAAATCTCCTTTTGTCCTGCATTGCAGAGGAGTAGCATCAGTAACGGTCACTCGACAGTCCTGGTAGATCTCCCTTTCCCGGCGATATAAGGGTTCAATGCATAAATCACTAGAAGCTAGAAAACGAAAAAACGTGTCAAGAGACCTCTTTTTTTTTTTTAAGAAAGGGGAAGATGAAGAGATGTTTGTTTATTTTGATTGTTAAAAGTGTCCTCGAAATTGACCCTTCCAGAAAAGGGACGTCTGAATACGAGAAGTTACACTGTACTAGATAATATAATATAGCCACATTTATTTATTAACCCCTTACCTGCCGAGTAAAATTTACTTGATTCACTCCCCAGTGCCACCATTTTTCACTCAAGTGCGCTTTGTTACGCGGTGTTTTGGTTGCGGAAAAAGATGCACGTTTTGCAATTTAAAAACAGTTTACTTTCACAAGAGAAGAAAAAGGAAAAAAAGAAAACACAAAACTTAAATTAAAGAATAAAAATACAATATAAAAGATATTAAAACTTAGCTGTTGTATGATAAATCCTGAAACATGGTTGGACACATAAACCAACATCACATTCATTGCACTGATAGCGGGATTCTCGACGAATATACACGGGAAATGAAAGCAAAAGAAGAATAAACCCGACCTTACTCAATTAGGAGCACACAAGCAATAAATATTGTGATATAACTTTTGCAACGCATCCCTTTAGCATTCCCCCTTCCCCTCCTCCGAAATTGGTAATACATACATTCATTGCAAACCCTTTCATTGGCGAACACTTTCAAGATCATTTTACTGCATGGTCAAGTCGGGGGTGTAGTTCTATTTATAGCAGCGCAATGCGAAGCATCGTACTTCGGGAAAGCGTATATATACACCAGCGGCAGTTAAGGGGTTAATACCTTCTTCTTTTTTTTTAAATTTAAGAAATGTTTTTTTGTCCTGGCATTATATTTAACCTATATTATTTTAATGTAAAAATTCCTAAAAAATTATTAATCTACATATACATCTATAGTTTATTGAATAATTTTTTTGAATAACAATATTTTTCTTTTTTCAGATTAATGTAAAAAATTCCTGTAAACAGAAAAGGAGATGCATGTTGTATCAAAACCTGTTGTGAAATAAGTTCGTTTTCTGCTCCCACTTTGATATTGCTAAGAGCAAATCAATGCAATGATGCATCGCTGTCTTATAAATGAAGTAGTTATCTCAAACAATATACTGCTTGCCTATATTATGGATACTGGTATTTAAAAATTCAATATCTTCTAATGTGTCCAGTGGTTTTCTTTTTTTTATTACTAATCAATGACAATCGATGATTATACATTATTCAAAGACAAGTGACAATACCTAAGTAAAGTTAAGTAATCTTCATTCCCTGAAATTTTTGTTGGCTTTATATATATTACACTTATGTGTCACTCATAGTTGCATTTGTATGATTATTAAGAATACATCTTGTTCCTGAAAGAAAAAAAAAGATATTCACAAAATTATATGTGAAACTTTTGTCCATTTCCATGACTGTTTAGAATTATATCTTATTCTGTTAGTCCTTAGACTATGTATTGACTTTATATATTTATTATGTTTTATTTTTTGTCTATAATTTGTTTTCTGTGAGATATTGATGCTGATTTTAAAATTGTAATGAATAATTTTACAGTAAGTAATCTATTTGGTATCTTTATGCATATTCAAAATTGACATGGAAAATTTTTTATAGTGGTTTACGTGTGTATTTTATGTATAAAGGTGTTTTAAAAACCAGTTTAGCTTGTTTCTACTCAGGAAAAACCAACTTTATTATAGAAACATGTCTACTAAAAAAAATACGTATATTAACGCAAAGACCCTAATACCTTCCATGAAGAATTATCCATGCATTGTTTGTAATGCTACATTTTCTAAGAAAAAGGATTTAGTTGCTCACAGACTTACCCATAATGATGGAAAACCTTACTTTTGTAACATATGTGATAAAGGATTTGCAAAAAAAAGTACTCTAAAAAATCATAGTTTTGTTCATTCAGGTGAAAAACCTTTTTCTTGTAATGTATGCAATAAGAGTTTTTCCTGGAAAACTAGTTTGATGGCTCATATCCTGGTACATACTGGAGAAAAACCTTTTTCTTGCAGTATATGTAACAATAGCTTTACTCGTAAAAGTAGTTTAATGGCTCACAAACTTGTTCATACTGGTGATAAACCTTTTACTTGTGCTACGTGCAATAAGAGTTTTTCAGCAAAAAGTGACTTAACTAAGCACACGTTTGTTCATACGGGTGTAAAACGTTTTATTTGCATTGTTTGCCAGAAAAGTTTTTCACACAGATGTGACTTAAATAGACATAAACTGGTTCACACTGGGGAAAAACCTTATTCTTGTAATATATGCGATAAAAAGTTTTCAGCTAGAAGTGCTGTTAATAACCACAAACTTACCCACACTGGAGAAAAGCCATATTCTTGTACTATGTGTGATAAAAGTTTTTCTCAAAATGGTTCATTATCTACCCATATAAAAATTGTTCATTTGGGAGAAAAGCCTTTTTTATGTACCATATGTAATAAAAATTTCTCATTGAAATATGACTTAACTAAACACAGCTTTGTTCATTTTGGTGAAAAGCCTTATTCTTGTAACATATGTGATAAGAGTTTCCCAGATAGAAGGCGTCTCATGATTCATAGTGTGGTTCATTCTGATGAAAAACCTTTTTCTTGTGAGATATGTGGTAAAAGTTTTTCTCTGAAGCACCATTTAACACGCCACAGAAATACTCAGCATGACAGTGAGGTAATAGCCTCTTCAACCATCCATGAAGCCATCTCTAAATTTCAAGATGCTGGTTTGCAAGTGTCTTCCAATGTAGAAAAAACTGACCAAGAAGAAGATGGTAGGGAGACTGTAGCATCTTAAACCATGTTTCCCAGTGATCCATTACTCTGTAGTTGACCCTCAATTTCACAATGCTTGTTATAAAAATCAGGGTTCAAAAGTTTTTCTTCCTTTTTAAATGGGAGATAAATCTGCCCCAGAAAAAGTGAGTTTTATCAGTTACAGAGAATAAAAAAAAAACTGCTTTTTCATTTGAAGCTACATGCTTAAAATAGGTTTCTGGATGATATTCAAATCATTGATGCTACATATCACATCTTTATACTTACTTATTTATGAAAAAATTAAAATTATTTTACTTTCTGTAAATGCACTATTGAAAAACTATGCATTAAATTTATTCATTTTTTTTTTTTATTCTTCAAATGACGTGAATATTTTTTTCTTCAAATGATTTACACTAAACTTTATTTATTAGGAGCTAGGCCTCAGTGTTGTAAATATTACTCTATAGACTTAGTATTTATAAACTTAATTTTTCTTAAATTTTTATTCAAATTAATATTAGACAAATATATATATTTACATCAGTGAATGGCTACGTATATACAGTTCACATTATATTGCAAATGACTGCATTTCCATTGGCATATCAGTGAAAACTTAAAATATTATATCATTCTATTACTGTGTGAATTTATATATATTACAGTATTGCAATAAGTATTTTAGTTAAAATAAGTTGTTAGTTAAAATAAGTTTTTATTTAAACTGCAAGGCTATTAATTTAATTAAAAACCTAGAATATAAAGTTGTTAGTATTTTAATAAAACAATGAAGATTTGATGTAAAACAGAAAACATTAAATTATAAGCAAAAACATGTGATTCTGTTGTGTCTGATGGATGTTAAAGAATAACTACCCTTTTTAACAAATCATAGTAGTACAAAAATTTAATCCTTTTAATTTTATTCCAAAACTATAGCAGTGTTTTGCTTAGCTTTAAAAATTTCATAAATATATTTCTGATTTTAAAAAGTAAAATTATTATTAAATTAAGCAATCTTTCATCACTTTTCATAGTTGGAATTCTAATCATAATTTAAAGTTTTCCTCTACTGAAATCATTCAGCACTGCTCTTCATCTACCAATTTAGTTCATCATTCCATGTATTGAAAATATATTTTAGTTAATGATCTCTCTAGTATGTTTCCAATGTTTTGAAATCTATTCTAATTTAAATTTTACACCTTCTACCCTGAGATTCTCATCCAACGACCACACCCTTGTTTTTTTAAACTCTCTTCTTTCAATATCTTGTTTTTCTTACCTTACTAGTTTAACAAATTTTTTTCGTATTGCAGCATGTTTGTCTTGCTACTTTTCTACTGTCATTTTGTGTTTAGACACTGAGGGAAGTTCTTGTTTGTTGAGCTGAAACTATAGAAAGTAGATTTCTGTACTTTTATTTGTGTTGTTTAGCTATATTCATACATAGCACAAAATGTACCTTATCCTCATAATGATAATATTTTATACTTCAAGCTTACCATAACTTTCTTTAATTTTGAAACTTGAATACTGCCTAAGAAATTCAACTAATATTTTTTTATTATTATTGTAGTTATTTATTTAATTATAGTTTCTCATGACAACTATGCTGTAAAAACATTGTAGCACAAATATGATCCATTGTGGTTATTTAAATCCCCCCCCCCTGTGTTTAGTTATTTCAAATATCATAAAGTTAGTTTTGGTTATGTTTACATGACTAGAGAATGATCAGTTTTGGCATCAGTTTCCTCAGTTTTTGTCATCATGCAAAAAATTTATCAGTTTCCTGATTCTTTATTAGGAATTTCTGTAAACAGAAATAAATTATAACTGAAGAAAATATTATTAATTACTTTCACTTGTTATTGTTTTCTGTGGTAATAATTCAATTTGTAATTTAGAAGAAGAAGCATTAAAAAAGAAGAATATGTGTTTTAATATTTTATTAATTGAAGGAAGATCATAATCTTTAAATTCAAGATTTATTATTTTAAAGTAATAATTATTGTTATTTATATTTAAAAAAATTTTTTTGAACATTTATATTATTGTTTTGTTATTGCGTTTAATCAAATATTTGAATTACTTTTGTTACATTATTTATTTTTACTGTATCTTGTGCCCATCATCTTTAGTTTGATATCTATTAATTTGTTATAAAATCAAACATATTATACTGATCATCTTGTGTAAATTATCTTGTTACTTTTCTAAATAAATATAAAAGCTTTTTTTGTTAGAGTTATTCTGGCAGATATGTTTTTTTTTTTACTCGACACACGCGGATCGTTGTGTAAGCTTTTAAATGTTACTATTGTGGGAAAAAATAAAAAATATTTCTATGCTTTAATGTTTTTAATTTACAAGATAGACAAATTTTTTAAATTTTCCAAAAGTAGAAAGGGAGGTTACTATTCAGTGCTTTACATAAACTGTAGACTAGATTTCTTATTATATAAACAAAGAAAATGATGAGTGAAAACAAAGAAATGATCAAGGGATGAAATTCTCTTTAGTCATAACTCGAGAAGTAGGATCTCTCTGTAGTAAAAAGTAGTGTTGGTATCGCAACTTCCCTTTTCATGAGGCAGAAAATCTCATGTTCATGAATTATAATTCACTCTGGCTACAAGGAGATTTGCCAAAATTCGTTTTATTGCTAACAACTTAATATGGCAGTACACTTAGAACTTAACCTTTATCGATACTGAGAACAATTAAGATGGAAGAATGTGTACATGACGGAACATTAACTAGCAACTTGAAAATTGCATATTAAATAACGAATCGATATTAACTATTCAACTGCTCCGAAACTACTATTTAGCTAGAAATTTAAACTTAGTGAAGCGACTTGCTCATTTTTAATCACTAAGTAATCGAAGCAAAAAATAATTCCTCTGCTAATAGTTTTCGCTAAACTAAATTGTGTGGCGACAAAAAATGCTTTATTTTAAGATAATTTAAAAATTAATGCCTGCTGGAATACCATTTCGATATCAGAATACAAAATTTGTTTCGTCTAATGATCGAATTTACAGGTTCAATCTTAATGGTTACTGGGGGGGGGGACCGCAAAAATGCTAATTAATTGTTGCAGATGATATTTAAAGTTATGAAATCAGGCACGAAAATGCACTTTCTATATAAACATATCTTTTTCTCGACGGATTTGGATTTTGACCCCCAAAATTTGAAAAATATGGCCCCTATAGTTTGCTCAAGAGAGCGGTCCAAGGTTTGGAGCTCTTAATGTTATACTTTTTGCTTATTTCGCCATATCTCAAAACTTTTTAAGTGAATTGAAGAACTTATGTACACAATTATGAAATTTGTTTCTCCAAAGATAATTCCATGCAAAATATGATGCCTTTTAATATTATAATTTAATAATAGTCGAAAAAAATTTTACTTCTTAGGTATACAATTTTTTACATAGTTTTAAAGAAATCGGTCGAATAGTTCCTCAGGAATCGAATTCTAATAATGCGACTTTTTCAAAATTCGATTTCTTAGAATTTTTTTGACTGATTTCTCTCAGATTTTGCCATTTAAAATGACATTCTTTGAATTGATGTAAAATATTGTACATCTAACAATTCGAAATTTTTTCGACTATTATTATTTATAATATTAAAACATATTAAATATTTACTAAAAGTTATATTTTACATGGAATTATCTTTGGATAACAAATATGTATTTAAATATCATCATAAATGTTTCATTTTACAAGTGATTCGACTACATCTTCTCCAGAGTCCAATAAAATACCACTTTCAGTTCCAAAGACCTAGAGCAGATAAATTTTGATGCTCCAACTCCGTTCCTATATAATAAGATAAAACAGCAGTTTTATTACATATCTTACTACATATATTCATGACATTCAAGATTGAATTTATAAAATTTACTTTTCGATTCAAAATCATATTTGTACGTTTTTTTTTATAAATCAATCTCAATATTTTTAATGATATCCAATATCAAATATAATAAAAAGTTGTATGAGAAAATGATTTTAATTTTGAATATACTTTTAATGCCTACTTGTATATAAATATGCATGCGTAAAAAACTTTCTTACAAATGGAAAATAAGAGAAAAAAGTTTTTTATGAAATGATAAACTTTTTTGTTCTTGTTTCTTAACATTTAAATGACAGCTCTTCAAACTTTACAAATTTTTATTATTCACTAATTTTTTGGGAGGGAAAAATTTATTTAACACAATAATATTTTTACTTAATAAGCTACATAAGCTAGCCACATTAGAAGCTCGTTTTTTATACAATACTTTCTCCAAATTTATTTTATATATAATCATTAGATTACTACATTATTATCGAATATTTCGGTCAGCTTTTATACTACAATTCTGTTATTTATATTATCAGCTTTTATACTAATATGCTTTTATTTTTATGTTAAGTGAGGAGTAAAAAAAAGAATTACTGTTGATAGCGGTTAGATTAAAAAATACCATAGCCTATTTGGATATTAAAGATGAACTTGGCAATAAAAACCAAATATTTATTTAAAAAAATATTTATTTATTATAATTATTTATATAATAAATACTTATTATAGTTTCAAATGTTACATACAGCAAAGTTTTTAAGTGGCAAAATTTTTGGTTTGAAGATTTGATAACAGAAAGTAACTTCTTTTCTCATCATTAAAGAGAATTTATTTTACTATTTTCAATTTCAAAAAAAAATTTTTTTTCTGTATTTTGTTTCGTTTTTCTTAATATAGAAAAAGTGAAAATATTTTAACGACATGTGAGTCACTTAAAAATGAAATTTTATTCACTACACTCTTTGAAGCAAAACAAGAAACTTTTATGCCCCGTACATCTCGCTAAAAGGCAGCATCATTAGATATAGTCCTTCTCATTTCAAACTTAAAGTGGTGCCTTTTTCTGTGTTCATGATTGCAATGCTCGCATCTGGGGAGAACACAGGTTTTATGTACTGACCCTTCCCCCTTCTCACAGTTGCATAGGAATGTACGACGATATTTTCCTCTTTCTTAATATTTTTCGTATTTAATTGTCTAAAATATTTTTTTTTAAACTTCCATGATGCCTTCTTTTAGAGCTATGTTCAATATAGTTTCTCTGCTAAAAAGTTTTAATCTATTTAAAAAACAAGAGAGAAACTAACGTATTGCCTTATTCTATAACTCTCCCCACACGGCTGCCATAGATAGAGAGTTCTGCTCTACGCCACCTGTAGCCAATTTTTCTTATCCACGGTTAATCAATCACTTCATGTCTTGAAAACTATAACATGAAAGCTATAAGCAGGAAAACTCTAATTCCAATAAGAATTTTATATCTGACTTCATCCTAACAAAAAATCTGTAAAAAAAAAAGTAAATTCTTTTTATTTTTTGATTTAGCAAATACCCACAAAGTAACGTGCCCACAGAAATAAGTGACTCGTAAGTCAAAGCAATCTTTATATGGTTGAGCTAAAAGTAGAAATTATATATCAGACAAAGCTTGAATGTCGTGTTTCCGTTATGGAAAAGGAATAGTTAATCATTTGAATAAATAAGCTTTGAAAATTGTAAAATGTTTGTGACTCGCTAGTACAGTGTAAGATATTCTTATATATTATATCCAAATAATAAGTTTTTGAAGATTAACTTTTTGAGTTTATTGTCATACAGTTCCCGGATTCTTTGTATGATTGTTTAGTTTCTTAATGTTATTGTTATTTAATTATAACTTATAAAATTTTTCTTGCAATGAAATGCACTCTTTTACTTTTAAATATTAAATTAGTTATGTTACAACAGAACTGATTCAAACAAATCCTGTTTATTCAAAGTATGCTCACCAGTAAAAATTTATGTAAGTTGTGACCTGTTAATTTTTTTAAATATTAAACTAGATTGAAATACTTTAGTTTAAATTACAAATTTTTTTTCTTACAATTAAGTTAATTCTAGGTGCTACTAATTGGGGCAATATCTGATTAGTATTTTTCTTTATGTAGCATTATCCCTTTATTCATTATCCCTTTATTCATTAAACTGTTACAGCCCAATGTGAGTATTTATGTTTAATTTTTGTAAAAATCAACAGATTGCAAATAAGATTGAACAGATAAAAAAGTATTGAAACACATCATTTATCTATTCAGTACTCTTCCGTTTTGGAGAAGAGTAAAAAAATTGCTCAACTATTATAAATGCTAGTGTTGTTTAATTTATTGTGGTAATGGGTACCTAATTTGATTATATTGATAATGTGGTAAGTGGTTGTTTAAGTCCCTTTCTGAAATGTAGAAACGAGTACTATTAAATTTTTATTTTCTTACTTTGGCATAAAAATTATGCTAAGAGTAATGCTTGGATAAAGTAGAAAAAAATTTATTGTTGTACTCATAAAATTCTTGAGTCATGTTTCTTCTTGAAACAAATTGTATTGTGCACATGCCAAGACCATGCATAGGTTTTGTGGGCCACAAGACAAATTTTGTGTCTAATAATCAGTAATATATTGTTGAACATGACAATTATTTATATATTTTTTTTATTATATGAAGTAATTTTTGAACTAATTATATATTAGTTAAAAAGACATTATATAAGTGTTATATTAGTTAAATATATATATTATATATTTAACTAATTTTAACATTATACCTAAATTTGTAATTTAAACCTTGCTCTCAGCAATCCTGTTGCCACACTACAATTGTTCGTATCTTCTTCTCCCCTGAGAACAGACTTGTGCATGGCTTAAAGTGCACATATCATCAATCAAATTAAATACAGTGAGAAGTAACCAATTGTGATTAACCGAATACTGAATATCTGGCCAAGAAAATCAGCTACCGGATAGCAACATTTTTTAAGAAGAAAATCATTCATAAATATTATTTACTATGTGGAAACAAGTTTAGTCATTATTAAAAAATAATCAAAGCTTAGCTTTATTATTGGTGTACCCCATACTAATAGAACATACAGGGAGAAAAACTTTAATAAAAATGTTTAAGATAATGATGATAATTAGATATTAAGATAATTAGAAATATTTAGGATGAGGAAAAAACTAACTAACAGACTATAAAAAAAGCAACCTAAAGTTGTAAAGTTGAAGAGAAAAAAAAGAGTGGAAAAAAATATCCCCTTAATTCTTAAAACAAAACTTTAATGCTAAAAATGAATCTATCAAAAATGCTTTTAAAAATGCAGCATTATCATTGAAATGTCGATAAAAAAAACCAAGATACAAAAGCAAAACAGAAAAATTAAAAATTGATCTTAATTTTCAAAAGAATTTTAAAGCTACTCATTTCAGTTTTCCATTACCATATTTTCAAGAAAAAGTGAAGATTAAAGTTTAATAGAAACCCTCTTAATTGCTGCATCATAATCAAATCGTCTTCTGAAAAAGAAAAAGCTGGATAGAAACCAAAACAAAAGTCGTTCTTAATTTTTAAACAAAGGATTTAACTCTAAAAATCTTAATTTAACTTTTTCAAGTTGGTGTTTTTTTTAGAAAAAAGTTACCATGAAAGAAAAATGTTCATTGGAAATGCTCTTTAAAAAATCAGTTTCCTCAGTTTTTTAAACATAAAGAGTTGAAAAAAAAAAGAATTGACTTGCCTGAATATAATTAAAAAAAAGAAAAAAATCAGTATTACAAAACTCATAGTTCAGTATAAAATAAACTAGAGTTTTAATTCCTCAAATTTTGCTTTTCCATGTGTCTTTCTGAGCATTAAGTTTTAGAACTTAAAAAATATATGTAAAACTTATTTCTAATTCTGTACTGTAAAAAATATGATTTTAGATTTTTCTTTGTTAAATCTATTAAAATTTCCCTTCAAAAAAGCTTTTCCAAGTAATAATTTGACAAATATTCAGGTCAAAAAGGTCCAAAATACTGGTCAAATTTTCTGTAGCCCTCTTTTATTCATATCATAATTTGATGATTGCTTTGAAAGCATTTTCTCATTCGGTTATGTTCAACATACTTACATGATAGTAATACTTACAAAGTCTTATAGCAGAATTTATTGTGCCTATCTGAAGCACTATCTTTATAAATGCAAATTTTACTCCAACTCTTATACAATCAGACAGTCTATTATTTTAAAAGTGAATCTTGTTTTCTGATGTAATTTTACCCTGCTATAGTTCTAAAATTATTGTATATTTCACAAAAAAACGTTTGTAAAGATTGTTTTAAAAGTATAAATGCTCTTAAATAAATGTATCAGGATTAAAACAGAAAACAACATTTTTTCGTGTTATTAAATTGAAGATTTAAAGTTCATGGATATCAAAATTAAGTTTCACTTTGGATTCAGTATGTTTTGCTGAACTCTACACAATTTCATCAGAAAAAAAAACTGAAAAAAACTCGATTAATCTTTGGTTTATTTGAAATATGAATGAGAGTGTAAAAATTAATTTATATAGTGGAAATTTAAAGTGTTCTTATCTATAGCAGACATGTATTTTTGTTCTGCACTTGACTCTTCTGAGTGTTGCCTTTGTCAAGTTAATAAGCAATCAAGTTAAGGCAATTTAGTTAAGTCTTGTTAGTAAATTTAGTTAAGTTTTGTCAAGTTAAGGCAATGCCCTTGCATGTGAATGATTATGAATTTGAAGCTGTTGATGAATTTAAATATCTTGGGACTACTGTAACCTGCAAATATGACATAAATACTGAAATCGATAGCTGTTTAGCAATGGCAAACAAGTGCTACTTTGGTTTAAAAAGCCAACTAAAAAGTAAATTTCTTAAACAAAAGACAAAAATTAACATATACAAATCACTCCTACGGCATGTGATCCTATCTGGTAATGAGTGCTGAATTCTTAATAAAAAAGAGGATAACAAATTGCTGATTTTTGAGAGAGGGATACTTAGAAGAATTTTTGGTGCAGTCTATGAGAATAACAATTGGCGCACCCTTTACAATCACGAGTTATATAAAAAGTACCAACAACCAGACATAGTTCATGTTACTAAGGCCAATCGCATTCCATGGCTACGACACCTTTATAGATCTGAAGACCAAAATCCCGCAAAAAGGAAAATTTTTTTAAACCAGAAGGTACAAGAAAAAGCGGTTGTCCACTGACTAGGTGGCTGGACACAGTTGAGAGGGACCTAAAGATAATAGGAATAACTGACTGGAAGGCCATGGCACAGAATAGATCAAGATGTCAAAAACTTATTGGGACGGTCTTGGCCTGTCATAGGCTGTAGTGCCCAAGAAGAAGTATTTTTGTTCAATTTAGTTATTTTAAGGAAATTGTTTTGTTTTTCATGAAAAAACTGCCATATAAAGGTAGAAACTTGCGAGAAAACTCGTTTATATCTTAAAATATGCTCACTAAGTTGTACCATTATATTATTTTGGTAATATTTTTAATTGTATAATATGTCTGTTGCATCTATATTTACCCCAATATTCTTCTTTAAAATATAAAATTTTAAAGAAGTTTTGTTGTTAGGGCTAAAATTATTATGTAGAGCTGTAAACAAATTAGTAAATTATTTTTCAGCTATTTCATTATAAAATATAGAGTAGTAGATACTCACTAAAGCTAACACATAAGTAAAAAAAAATATCCCTATCATACAATAGTTAGCTAAGCTTAACCATAAACCCACTTTATGCCAACTCAGAAAATAATTCATAATAAATAGAATTTTGAAATTTCTTAAATTTCAATGTTTTTTAGATGTCCCTCTACCAATTTAAACTAAAATTAATAGTTTTTGCCATTTTTTAATGATTTTGGAAGAAAGTTTGTCAGCATTATAAACTAACATATTGTATAAGTTGATTATAAACAGATAGTTTGTAAACATTAAATTTTTTATCAGCTTCTAAAACTGAATTAAAAAAGCTTGCCACAATCTCAGTAAATGTGTTTTAAAATATTAAACAAATTTTCTCAATTTAAAAGGAGAAGATAATATTTTTTAACACATACCAACTTTACCCTATCTGACCCTATGATGCATGTAGAAAATATTAATAATTATAATTATTTGATTTTACACACTGTTTTCCCTATAGGGAAACAGTGTTTAAAATCAACTAATTTGGTTAACTAGATTTTGGAATAAAATAGATTTCTGAAATAAATTTTTCTTTAGATAACTTTTAATTGCCACATTTGTTATCGTTTTTTTTTTTTTTTTTTTTTTTTTTTTTTTTTTTTTTTTTTTTTTTTTTTTTTTTTTTTNTTTTTTTTTTTTTAAGTAAAATATGTCAGTAGGATCACCACAGGTGCAATTGATAAACCATAATTAAGTAAAATAACAGAATACAAGTCACATGCCATTAATGTCAAAAATCAGTTTTTGACATTAAAGAGTCAACCCTGTAAGGATCAGAATTTGAAAGCAATTTATTTTATTATACTTTTTTAAAGCATTATTTCTGTGAAGAGCCGTTTTTTTAAAGACTTTTTACAAATAAGAATTTTGTTGGAGTTTTATTTTTATGGGAACTTTTTACATTAGGATTAGAAAGAGAGAGGTCAGTAACTTTTTAAACTTTTCTCAATTTTTTTGGAATCTACCTGATTATAGCTTTTACATTATATATATATATATATATATTTTTTAAAAATATGATTTTCTTGGCTCACATAATTTTTTCTTTCTTTTTAGATTAGAAACAAAAATCCTTGAACGCAACCTAAAAGTAGAAGATAAATAAATAGAATCTTCCAACAACCTTAACCTTCCTACTTGAGTCTTTATGCATAAACTTCAATCCTATGTCTAACTACTCACGCATTTAATTACCAATAAAATTTATCATGTGTAGTAACACTTTTGCTCATGCACCCACCACAGCTATCCACAATTCCAGTAGCACTGAAGACAAACCATATTCTTGTAACATATGCAATAAGACTTTTTCCTGCAAAAGTGTATTAATTACTCACTGTCTTGTGCATTCAGGTGATAAACCTTATTCTTGTAGCATATGTAATAAGAGCTTTTCAAAACAAAGTCATTTAACTTCTCATGGGTTTGTTCACACTAAAGAAAAGCCATATTCTTGTGATGTATGCAATAAAAGCTTTTCAAGTAAGAGTAATCTTATAACTCATAGCCTCGTCCATACAGGGGAGAAACCTTATATTTGTGATACATGTAATAAAGGTTTTTCACAGAAACGTAGTTTGGAAGCTCATATACGTATTCATACCGGGGAAAAACCTTATCCTTGTGACTTATGTAATAAAAGTTTTTCCCAAAAGAGTAGTTTAATGACTCACGGGCTTGTTCACAGTAATGAAAAACTTTATTCTTGTAGCATATGTAATAAGAGTTTTTCAAGAAACACTTCTTTAAATAAGCATACCCTTATCCACACTGGCGAAAAGCCTTATTCTTGTAGCATATGTAATAAAAATTTCTCACAAAGTAGTACTTTAAAAACTCATTACCTTATTCATACTGGGGAAAAAAGTTATAATTGTAGTATATGTAATAGAAGTTTTGCAAGAAAGAATGGTTTAAAGACTCACAGTGTTGTTCATACTAATAATAAACCTTTTTCTTGTAATATATGTAACAAGAAATTTTCTCGAAAAACTAATTTAGCTTCTCACTTTTTTGTTCACGCTGGTCGTGCTGTAATATCTACAGCAGCTGCAACAAACTAATCACTTTCATGTTTTCCTTCAGAATTATATTGTATAAGAGCAGTGGTCGGGTATACTACATTATTTTTGTATTTTATTGCACATATAGTTAACTACAACTACTTTTTTTTTTAAATATAGTGACCATTAACTACTCTACTCCACTATTTTTAAGAGACAAACTTTGTTGGAGAGTTTAATTTATGCCCATGTTTAAAATGGTGTTATGTAAAAAAATTTTTTTTTTATTTAAGCATGAGCAATTATTAGTATTCATCGGCCCAGTTTATTATTATTCTAAATTATTTCTTATGAATTTGTTAATTTAACCATAAACTTTTAATAATTTTTTCGCCAGCGAATATTTAATTTCAATGCTAATAAATGATCAAATATTTGTGATTTTTTAAAACTTTTAATACCCTTTTATTTCCTCCAAGAAAGAAAGTACATTGTAAGTTACACAGCAAAATGTTTTTTTTTCCATTGAAATAACAAAGTTTATAAGTGTACATTTGCATCCGAAGATACAGCTCTAGCAATAAATGACATATTATTCATAACAACTATTTTAAATATTAGTAATTTGTAATTCTTATGCTCAGACACAAGGGTATTTTATTTGCGTCCATTGACAGACCCGTAAAGATTTTTACTTATCAGATTTGAAATAATAGTTGCATTTGAAATTTGTTTATTTATTAGACTAACATTAAAAGTAGTTACCAGAAATCTCTACAGACTACTGTTCTTTTTGTGTTGCACTGCTCACTACACTACTTTTTTTAAAAGGTAGCACAGTACACTATAAACTATGAATAAGAGGTAGTACTTATCAGATTTGAAATAATAGTTGCATTTGAAATTTGTTTTTTTCTTAGAATAACATTAAAAGTAGTTACCAGAAATCTCTACACACTACTGTTCTTTTTGTGTTGCACTGCTCACTACACTACTCTTTTTAAAAGGTAGCACAGTACACTATAAACTACAAATAAGAGGTATCGACTTCATTAGTTTCGCTGCTTGTAGTATACTATTTCCGACCACTGCATAACCCTTTGACACCGATGTGTCACTGGTGTCGCTTTTATATATTTTTGTTTCTGATGCTCTAATTACAAGCAAAAATATATATTGGTATATTTTAAGTGTGAAAAACAGTATAGTAATTACTAAAAAGATTTGTTAAATTAATGTAATTATATTTGTTCTAAAATATAAAAATCCAAAATAAGTGGTTTAAAAATATTTTTTTTCATTCATATTCAAACATTTATCTATAATAAATTTTATAAATAAAATAATTTCATTGATGAACAACTGTTTTTCATAGATCTATGAAAAACAGTTGTTCATCAATCAATAACTGCATATAAGTACAAATTTGTAAAAAATATTGTTTGGAAGGGAGCTGTATTTGGAAGATTTTATCTTTAACGCATACAAAAACACCTGTGTTTCTTGCTGTATTTTATTACCATAAATTTCTAAAATGCTAAATATGATATTTTTCACTTATTTTGACCTAAATAATGGAGAAAGTATGCAAAATATGTTTAATAAAAATTCTGTGTCAATCTGTGTTTTATCATCTGCATAATTGTTCATGCGTATTTAAAAGCTGTAAAATTCTGGACTTATAAACAAATAACATCGAAAATTATTGAATTGAACTTTATTTCCCCTCTCAGTAATAGATGACCGTCCGCTTGTTGTGTATTTAGATTAAATGTTTAAAAATTCAAATATAAAAAAATGATGTTTTAAATTTTTATTGTTAATTTATTTACTGTTATGAATATTGTATGAAATTGCTCTTAGTATTATTAAATAAAGGTACAGTGAAACCTGTCAAATTAACCTCTATGCAATCTGGCCACTTGTCTATCTTGTATGTAAATAATTCTTACTTATCTGGAAATATTATTGAAAGTTGTTCTAAATCTTCATAAGTTGACTGAACTTTTATTTGTAAGTTTTGTATGCTATATTTATATATTAGAATTTCATTGAATTGGGAAAATAGTGTTAAAAGCTAGCCTAAACCTCTTTGATAGTGCAGTTGACTATATGAGAAAACTTTTAAGGGCTTTTGCAACAAATAGGTTTTTAAGTATATGTAATAAAATAAATTTTGAAATCAATAGTATATGTATGTTCTTGTGTACTGATATTTTAAGACATTATTTATAATAAATACCTTTCGTACATCACTAATAAAACTTGCATGCTTGTTTTTTTTTTATTTGTTTCCTTTTTTTTAACTAATTAGTTCAATATTTATATAAAAAATTACAGTCCCGCAGTGGACTCATCGTTAAGACACAGTTCCCAGCAGATCACCGAAGTCAAGCATCACTGGCTGCGGTCAGTGTGCGGGTGGGTGACCACTTGAATTAGCCTGCGTGGGGACCGAGGGTGTGCGGTTTCCTCCTCGTTAAACTGTTCTACCGTAAAGTGCTCGACTTCGTGTGCAGTTCGTCGGACTACCGAAGCGGGGGTACCATCCCCTCTGCAAAGGATCAAAATTGTGATGGCATGTTTTCGGATCATCCTCGAGGAAGCTTCCCAGTCCGTCGCCAATAGCTTATTGTGCAGCTCTAGTGCGACGAAAACAACATAAAAAATTACAATTCATTATAGTAATTGATATCATTTCTTAAGATACATGTGCAGAATTTTATTAATAGAATTTTAAAAGTGATCATAAATAAGTTGCATTTATCTTTATTTTGATCGACAATTTATGATAAATGTATGAATTTATTGGACAACATGGTTTATGAATTAATAGAGAGAAAAAGAAAAAAAAAAAGCTCGCCCCCTCTATGACCACTAAAGCAATGCATCTCAAATGGCCAACTATCACAGGTTTCCCTGTATGTCTTTTCCTCCTTTCAGTTAGTAGCACCTATTATTATTGAAATTGTCTGAGTTGACTTGAATTTGTCTGGTATATGTATGTTTCGGTGGGTAGGCAGAATTGGAGTTACACAGATTTTGGGGTAAAAGGAAGTCTTTGAAAACACGTCGACTCTGATTCTAGTTCTTGTTGGACAGTTAGAATTTTGTCTCATGACGAAAATAAAAAGACTTAAGAAAGAAGAAAGTCATCTATGACCTTTACTAAGAAGGAAATTATTCTCAGAACAATTGGAGTATTCAAATCAGGACAGTCAGAATACGGGCATAGGCATTGCAATTGAGTCTATATCATCTTTCAATGATGAATTAGATTTTGAGAAATATTTGGATTAAATGTTGAAAAGGCTGAGGCAAAGCGAATAAAAAATAAAGAAGCAAGAGCCTGTAGATATTATAATTTCATAAGTTGCCTCTGCCATTTACCTATCATTACTTATGGTTTCTGTTGTATGAAATTATATTCCGTTGTATGCAATACCGCCAAGAAAGATAGTCAGCTCCATATGTTCTTAGTAATCATCACAGTGTTCTGTACAGAAAAATGGTTTTCAAGAACTCCATGAATCAGTCACTTTTTTAAATTTTAGTCCAAGAGTCTTTTAAAAAGTACCTGCCACGAGAGAACCAGAAGTTGCACTCGTTAGTAAATCAAATCAGTTTCTCAAAATGAAAAATGTGATGACAGAAAGACCTATTAAAATTAAAAAATATGATTGAACACTTTTTTTTTTATATTTACAGGCTTTAGTTTTTTTTTTTTCTTTCTCTCCTTGTATTGCTTAACTGACGAAATGCTTAAAAATGGTGGAATATATATTTTTTGCATATGTATGTTTCTTTGTGCTTGCTCTTCTGCAGATTAAGGTTTTAGGGAGTCTCAACTACGGGCGTAAGAAGTTATTTTCCGTCCCGGACCGACAATAATATTCGTATAGTATTATGAATATGTTGTGTCTTGTGAATGAGGTTCCCAATTTTTTTCGGTTACGGAACCCTAATTAATTAAGCTGCTTCCGGAGGATCCCAACTTCATAATTAAAGCAAATTAAGACAATTGTGTACGTATTAACAATTAAAAGACTACTCTATTATCCTTAATAATCTTAAATTAGGTTTTATGTTCGACAATTGTATTCGCAATCTGTAAGAGTCTAGAGGAATCTAGTCTAGCTCAAAATTAGTTTTTGTATTGCTATACATATATAGAGAGAGAACTGTTATAAACGTTTAAAATGAATATTGGGGAAACATATTTCTTAATATTTATATTTCTTTCAAATTCAATTATTTTATTTTGATTTAAGAAGCGCAATGGGAAATATTATAGCAATATTTTTTAAATGCATGTCGTTATTATTTTTCATTATTGTTGTTAAAAAATTCATATATATATATATATTAAATTTTGATTTCTCTCTCTTTGGCATTCTTCTTTAAATATAATTTCATAGAGTGGGCAATTGAAATAATAAGGGTTTGATTGGATCTCTAAATGTAATTGCAGATTTCAAAAGCGTGAAGAAAAAAAAAATTATTTAAAGGTCTTAACTCTCTGAACCTGTTTAACCACGGAGCCCTAGGGTTCTGCGGAACACCATTTGGGAATCGCTGATCTAGATTATTTAAAATAATTTACTATGATTTAAATTTCTTTGTATGATATATTGCGTCTTCCACTTTTCATGAAAAATAAAGAAAATATTGCTGTGAAAAATATATCAAACAATGGGAATTGTTTAGGAAACATACTTCTTCATCATCTATAAAGAGGCGTGTATAGTTTGTCTATCAAAAGAACTTCTTTTGCCATAAAGTTTAAGGCCGTCTGCAGCTATGGAAACAAGAAATAGCACATTTCAAAGAGAGGAGCTTCTCTCTCCTGTAATTATAATTGTGCGTAAAAATTTTTTAAATTTGCCTGAAAAGTTTTCGAGATATGGTAAAATACGCAAAAAGTAAAATTAAGATTAAGGAGTCCAAACTTTAGAGCGCTCTCCTGAACAAACTATTGGGACCATATATTCCATAGTTTGCAGCAACTCCTTATATTTTGGGAGTAAGAAATCCGAAACCGTTGAAAAAAAATAAAGTATGTTTTAGTGTCTGGTTTCGTAACTTATAAAATTAATTAGCATCTTTGAGGTTATCCCCTTGAACCATTAAGATTGAGTCATAGAACGTGACGATCCAATTATTAGGTCAAAAATTATTCAGGGTGTTTTTTTTTCTTTGCGTACTGTTCAAATAACAATGTTCAACTCCGTAGCCTTGTAATTTTGAACCCAATCCAGAAGACAAGGGAACTCCTGGATTAAGAATTGGGTGAAGTTTGCTTTCGAGGGGATTTTTTGATTGAACTTACCCGCATTTACGTTAAATGTAGAGAAAAACCACGAAAACCTCCCACGGTTATTCTGATGGTAAGGGGACTCTAACCCGCGATTCCTCTACTTTTATGGATATTTTACGTCAGCACGGTTATCGGTGTGAGCCGGGTGCAGAATTCGTTTCGACCATCCATTGCTGATGGGATTCAAACCTGAGCCACCTCATTGGTAGGCGAGCTGAACGTTGATTCCAATAACTTTGCACTGAAAAGAAAAATACGGAGGCACGATAAGCATATGGTCAACAAAAGGCATATTCTTTTGATGTGTCCGCAGAATTTCTAAAAATAGTTGAAGTTTTCATTTCTCGCTGTTCTGTATTGATACTGGAATAATAATTTCTTCCTTAGAACCTTTTTTCGTTTTGCTCACTTAAACAGCAACAAAATGCATTATCATAAAAAAATAATATCGTAATAGTAGAAAGCTACTAATTTTTAAATTGTTAAAAACAAAAAAAAATTTTTTGTATCTCTAACATAAACATTTTGACAGTGAAATAGAAAACTGTCGTATTTGAGCAGGCGCACTTTTTTTGAGAGAAAGAACTTAATATGATGACTAAACAACAGATAGTTTTCAATAATATAGTGGTAGGTTGAGAATTTTGTTTTACAAAAATTTTTATTTTTTGAAATATTACGCTTTAAAAAAAATAAACATACAGGCAAAATTAGGTAACAAAACTTTTTATTATAATTAATAAAATATTATTAACAAGACAGATATATTTGGATAATACAAAAAACAGTTTTTTAATACATAATATGCAGCAGATAATAATTATATTTTATTTACTTTGTTGCTGGCAAATAGTTAAATGCAGGCAGCAATGCTTTTTTTTAAAGGTATGACTTTCTTTTTTCAGGGATCCATTTCAAACGAGATATGATAATTCAATATCCTAACTTACATAAACTTCAAAATAAAATTTCCTCATTGATATGATTTAAATTTAGTTATCCTTTGAAAAAAGCATACAGTAAGCAAAATTTTTTAATGACGTAATTTAGTAACTAGTAGCCTTAATCATCTTACTAGGGGAGCAACTAGTAAGACTTGAAAATTTTTATTGTAATAAACACCAAACGAGAATTTGGAAAATTGAAATTTTTAATAATTAACTTAAATAGTATATGGGATAATTTTTCACACAAGAGTGCTCCTATTGCTCAGTGGTTAGAGCAGAGGAATTCCACGCAAAATATATAGATTTAGTTTGACTCCAGTCCCAGCCTTTTAAATAACGATTCTGATATTTTCTTTCTATACAAGTTTTATGTAAATGGTTTTATAATTTCGAAAACTTGGAGCAGATATGAAAATTAGCTTTACGTACTCTTACGCTCCTAGAATGTTCAAGAACAGGGGTTTCCAACTTACATGAGGCCGGGGGCCGCAATTAAAAACACCAGTCAAATGGCGGGGGCAGCAACTTTATCAAAATTTTAAATAGGACTCTTTTATGTTTGAAGGAACATTAAATATTACTGTCAGATTTTTATCAAGTTGTACAAAACAAAAGTATTGAAATACGAATTAAAATAAAAAGTAGATTTTTACCCGAGAAGAATTTTTTTTTTTGCACCGTTGGTATGTTAAATTTTACAGAAACAAAGAAATTAGGTTTTTTTTTAACGAAAGAAAAGTATTTTTAATCCATACAGATTTTTTACGAAAATTGCCCTAAAAAATGACAACTAATATATTTTAGTTCACGGGCCACAAAAAAAGGCTTCGCAAGCCGGATGTGGCCCACGGGCCGCCAGTTGGTAACCACTGTTCAAGAATGCGACACTTTGTATAAGGCTGGGAAATCATTCAGCTGGGTTGTTGTAGGCGAAACTAAAACTTACAGCCGTGTCGTTGTGTTCGAAACTCATTAGCTTAATTTTAATAAGCATTAGAATTCTATTTCCTAAGTGAAAGAATTGGTGTTTATTTTATCTTCAATATGAAAACAGGGAAAAGTACGTCTTTTTATTATTAAAGATTCTGAGAAAAAAAATTTTGATATTTGCTATCGCCACCAAGTTTGGAATTCCAAAATCAATTGTTGGCCACATAGTAACGAAGAGGAAGGATGGGAAAAGTGGAGACGATTTTCCAAGATCAGGAGCCCCAAGAAAAACGATTCAAATTCAGGACGGGTTAGTCCGAAGAAAGTTGGTTGATGAACCAAACAAGTGCGGTAATCAGTATGCAAGGAAATAGTCACCGAACATGGACTCACTGTGAGTAAACGCACCATAAGACGTCGCCTGAATGCAGTTGAATTGTGTACACGGATTCCTGGAAAAACTCTCATTCGGACAAAGAATAATGTCGATCTGATTGAAATTTGCAATGGAGCACAAACAAGCAAGGACTACTAAGGATTGGAAGCTCCTTTGAAGTGATTAATTCAATTTGTTTGGAAGAGATGGCTGACGTTTTATTCGCTGCCCAAAAGGCACCAGAAAAGAACCCTGGTATCAGCGGCTAACACTGAAGCAGTTCAGAGTAATGGCCTGGGGAATTTTCCATCATAATACGTGATCTCCTCGTGCAAATCCATGGAAAATAAAATATGTTTATACATTTTTTTTAGAGGTTTACATGATACCTTACTTATGCTCATAAAAAGATACCTCGTGGACAGATGTTTTAGCAAAATAATGATCCTAAGTACATCTCTAAAATTGTAGCAAGTTGTTTTACAGCTTTGAAGGTTAAAACTTAGAACTGGCACAGTCAATCACATGACCCGAATTCAATAGAACACCTTTGGGAAGTTATCGAAAGAAAAGTCGGGGCACGGAAGCATTTTTAAAGTGCAGAACTTTTTCAGGGTTTTCAGTCGGAATGGGCGAAAATTCCTAACCTAAGTCCATTCAGAAGGCCTCATTAATTCCATGTTTAGATGGTGTGTTCCCGTCATCGCAGCGAAAGGATATGCAACGAAGTAGTACTAAAAACTTGAAATATTTTTTAAGCTTAAAATCATTCATTTCAATAGAAGCTTAGAAAAACTGAATTGTCAAAAAACTTTTGATCTCAATTCTTCATTTGGTGTTTGTTAAAATAAAAATTTTCAAGTCTAATATTAATTTCTCCTCTAAATAGTATGGCAAAATTTACAAATTACTAGTTTACATCATTAAGAAATTTCGCTCACAGAAAAAAATGGAACAGAAAAACATACAGTCTCAAAACTTTTCCTCTCTATTGTATGTTACCACTAAGCTCGAAAGTCATTGATGTGCTCATTACCAAACTAATCTGCAAACATTAGAATAATCCCCTTAAATGTGAAATCAAGATTCCCCACCCGGCAATTAACCTTGGTAAAGTGCGCATCTACGGTTTTCGTATAGTTAAAGTTCAGAAGTTTGTTTCTCTCAGATTATAAACTAATTCGTTGATTGCATTTATTGACTTGATTCTTTGGATAGTGAAAAATTAACAAACGACATTATGCTAATCCTCTAAATTACATTAATATTTCAAATCATTTGATTCTTTGTATGATAGTTTTTAATGATTCTATATACTAATTAATGTGTTGATTGTTGTAACTTTATTTGTTAGATAGCGATAGTAAATATATAATATTATGCTAATTCAAGCATGCAGAAACGTTGCTGTTCTTTCAGCAAAGATTTTCTTTTCACTTTAACGAGTGCTTGATTTGTAATGTGTAGATTACCTATTTTAGTTCGTAGATTACTTAGGTTATTTGAGAAATGAAGCGCTTTTTTTAAAACCTTTTTATAGACCATCTTAGTAAGATAATCTGTAGAATAACTCATTTCTACACTTTAGCGATAACACATTTAATTAAAACTTAACCTTACCTTATTTTTCTCTTTTTTTTAATATTTCAGAATATTATTTTTCACTTAAGGCTAGTTCTTCAATCAATTCATTTTCCTGTCTGTATGTAAATATAAATGATATTATTACGAATTAATTAGTTTTATTGTTTACGAATTATAACTAATTCTTTTAGATTATTGCAAAGTAAAATGAAGCATTCAATTATATAAAAAACTTATTTTGTATAATTAAAAAAAAAAATTATAAATTGTGTGTAGTGGACACTTACTCATTTCAGCAATCACTACATTTTCACTTTAAAAAAAAATGCATTTCAGGGGACTGTCAGACTGACTATACATTTAATTCCACTCTAAATATTTTGAGACACTCAATTTTAATTTTTCCATTCATTTTTTTAATTTTATTTTTTTATGATACACAGATTTATCTTACATATCTCTTGGTTTTATATTAAACTCCTTATGCAGAAATGTACACATGTTATGAGATAAGACAAATATATTATGTGGATGAGAATGGCCCTTAAAACCTTGACAGAGTCAATATAGCATCTAAAATAAATTGTTTCAGAAATAAATTCATTTTTCCTTATCAGAAGCCACTTTTTATGTTTCAAAATCAAGAGGCACATTCATTTTACCCTCGACTATACAGATACATAAATGCCGAAAATCTCAAAATTCGGAATCCGAACTTATCAGGAAAAGTGCAATGCCTAAATAAAAGCAAAAGTTTAAAGGAAGCAAATCAAAGGCAATTTTAACATATTGGAAGCATAACAATCATATTCGACAATTTAACTGGTTTTTTAGTGATTCAAATGCATGCCTTGCTCTTTCTAGCATTGTTTTTTTTTAAATAACTGCACTGTGATCTAAACATGCATGAAGATTTTTAACATATTTTATAAAGGCAGCTATCATAGAAAATCTCAAATGTGTGTTTTATATCAGTTGATTTAGACTTGAATAAATTAGATAGCATAGTTTTTTTGCTGCTTGACTATCATATAGCATAATTTTTTTCTTGACAAGATTTAATTTTTTATTTTATGTCAGAATCTGTCGATAGTGTGGACAAAACTTTCTCACTAGCATGAATATTACTGTGTCTAGTCAGGGTAACTCTCTGCGAAAATGTTTTATTACATACGCTACAAGAATAAGGTTTTTCACCAGTATGAACGCGATGGTGCTCAGTTAGAACTCTTTTAATGGAAAAACTCTTATTACATATAGTACAGGAATAAGGTTTCTCACCAGTATGAACATGACTGTGGAGTTTCAAATGATGTTTTTTTGAAAAACGCTTATTACATATATCACAAGAAAAAGGTTTCTCACCAGTATGAACACTACTGTGTTCAACTAGACATTTTTTAAAGGAGAAACTTTTATTACATATACTACAAGAATAAGGTTTCTCACTAGTATGAACACGATTGTGGCCACGTAAATGACATTTCTGTGAAAAGCGCATACTACATATTTTACAAGAAAAAGGTTTTTCGCCAGTATGAACACGATTGTGATCAGTTAAATATTTCTTATTGAAAAAACTCTTATTACATATATTACAAGTATAATTTTTCTCACCAGTATGAGTACGACTGTGGACTGTCAGATAATATTTCTTTGAAAAACGTCGATCACATACACTACAAGAATAAGGTTGCTCACCAGTATGAGCACGACTGTGATGAGTTAGAGATTGCTTATAGGAAAAACTCTTATTACATACATTGCAAGAGTAAGGTTTCTCCCCAGTATGAACACGTACATGTGCTATTAGATTAGACTTTGAAGAAAGAGTCTTATCACATATACTACAAGAATAACTTTTTGCAATGGTAGGAACATTACAGAGGTCAGGCAAATCTTTCTCAGTTGAAAGGTTCATTTTACATAAAATACACAATAAAGAAATTTCTCATACATGTACTTGCATATAATCTTATAAACAATTTTCTATGCAACAACATTTATCTTTGTCCTAATAAGTATGATATTAAAATTTTATTTTTATTTTCCCAGATATGCCAGAGATAAGTAGTTAAATAATTATAAAAAAATATCTAAGGTGTATATTATTGTAGGATATCATAAAGTATCATTAAAAAAATAAATAAATAATAATAATAAAAAAAACTGTTGATTCCTTTAAAATGCATAACGTCTATTGTTGCAAGCAAATGACAAAAGAAATTTCTTAAATGATCGGTATTTACACGTCAAAATAAAGGGATAAATGAACGTACGACAATATGCTCTCAACTGTTTAAGGCACAAATAAGGAGTTGATTATTAGACAATAAATTTGGTTTTTATTTATAATTTGCTTTTAGAACAGTGATGCAAGTTCCTTGATGAAGATCTAAAAGAGATAGAAATCATATAAGTTAAGATAAAAATAGAATAGATTAAGGAAAAATAATAGAATAGTTAAGAGATATTAATTTACATTTATTCAAAATTCCATTCACATTCTAATAGCTCTAATAGTCAAAATTCAACTGAACCTCTAAGCTGAATGAATATTGAAGTTTCAGGAACTCCCTGATGACTATACCAAGAATTTTCTCAATAATTTCCCAAAAGTCAGATACTCTCATTCAAAATTTTGACTTACTGGAACATTCAAATTTTGCTTGAAACTCTGCGGCAAATAACATCAATAAGTTTACTGTTACAAGCGGAATTTTTAATTGTACTATAATTACAAGGAGACATTTATTTTAACTTAAAATTTCTTAAGTTTGAGTGCTAAAATTTCAATGGAAGCTCTTTCTGATGACAACAATAGTATAAAAGGTTTCATGATTGCTACAATGCAGAATTACCCTCCAAATAGAATTGATAATTAATCAAATTTTTGACCTATTTCCGAAATCTGCATATTTTACTAGTGAAAAAAATTGAAACTAAGATTACATTGTCTAAAATAGCATATTCACGAAGCAGCAATGTCCAAAATTCTAGCCAGGCAATTGACCAAATAAGGTCCTTAAGCAATGGGCTCTCCAATGTTTTTCAATGTTGTAATTTGATTCATAACATGTATCTAGATGAGTGACAGTCATGGCTTGCTCAGAATGTACATAAAACACAGTTAAGTTAAAACAAACATATTAGCACAAAGGCTATTGTGTACAGTCAAAAGTTTTAAAAGTGACTCTGGAACACCAATTTCTACTCTAACATTACATTAACAGCCATCTTCATTGACGTTAGAGAAAAGAAAAAAATCACAAAATATAGATGAAAATTGGTAAAAAATCACAGCAAAAGAGTAATTTCAATAAATTCATTTGAACATATGGTATATCTTAAAAAATAAAATAAAACTTTTAACAGGGACATTTATGAATCAAAGTTTCTATAAATGCTACCCAATACCAATATTGCAACATATATCCAATACCTAGCGTTCATTCATTATATATGCAAAACAGCGTTTTTAAAAATCGAGCATATCATACAACGAATTTATTTTAACTTATTAAATAATAACTCTGAATGAGTTCTTTTTCCACATAAATAAAATACTTCAATTTCACTTACAAAGTGGATAATACTACTTACTTATTTATGACTAAATTACGATTCATTCTCAGTTAATTGTATTAAAAAAAAGGTTTCTTTAAAAGTACCTTTTTAACTCTTTTCCTATCATCTAGTAATACTAAGCACTTTAGGTACTTTCCTTTTAATTTTATACAAATATAAATCTCTCAACTATTTTAAGAACAATGTTTCTTAAAATATTAGCTCAAATCAATAAAAAAAATTGACAACAATGTAAGTAAACTATCATAACAATCAGTAAACTATCATAACAATAATCTTATCAAGAAAAAAAAGTTTGTTTTTATATCTTATTTTATTTCCGGCTGCCTATTTCTGTCGTATGTTTTGATTGTTTTACCTAGTTGAGCCAAAGAATTCTTCATTTTACTCTGTAGTTAACAAAGTAAAGATTACAAGCGAGCGAGTAGATCCTCTTTTATTTATATGATTATCATAATAAATTCGTAGATTAGTTATTTATTTTAAAAAATATACTATTCTTTAAACTACACATAGTTCTTGTAGTTGAAAGAACTGACAATTTGTATTTAATTTAGTTTTAAACGTAAGTATTTTTTGTGAATTTAAATATTAGGTACTGCAACTAATAATATCGAGAAAATATTGAAATATTTTTATATCGTGATCTGTCGCTTCAACTAAAATTGCCGAGACGGCAAATGGATTTTAAACTTGCGATTTTTATTTATTTTTGAACGAGCTGTGAGTTATACCCTTTGATTTGGTCCTCTGTGATTTTTTTTTTAGCATAAAGGGTATTTTGCTGAATAATGTTAAAAACCTTTTTAAAAATTCAGTGTCTTTTTTTTAAAATAACATTTAGGTCAGTTTTTTCTTCCTTTATTACGAATCCTTTTCTTATGTTATTTGTATTATGAAAGCTTTTTAATATTTTTTATGTTATGAATATTTTATATTTTTTACTGTCTTCAGCAACAGCTGATACAGTTTACTCAAATGAGTCATACCCTTGAATGTCAAAACTATTGATGAAATATTGAATTTGCTCCCTTCAAACATATAATGAAACTGACAAACCTACTGCCTTTGAAAATTTCTTTTGTCTTTTCTAATAGTTAGTTGCTATTTCTTATTTATATTAAGGTTTAGTTGTTTACTTTGAAAGTGTTCAACTGTTTTTACTAAGGTTTAGATAATGTCTATTTTTTTGTAAAAAAAGAAAAAAACTCCTTTGTCTTTTCTAAAGTTAAACTAATATTCATGTTGAAGACATCCATCATATTTTCAAACTATTGTCTCTTTCAAAAATGTGTGCTACTTTTTTTAAAGTTGGATTAATGTAGATTTTAAAAATGACCACTGTTTCTTTTTTAAGATTAAGTTATTGTACTTTTTAAGTTTTTAAAATGTAAATTTTGGAAATTTATTCATGAGTGATAAGTCAGATCACAAGTTAAGCTCTGTTGATTTATGAATATATATATATATATATATAAAAATTCTTTAGTAAAATTATGCACTGTGAGAAAAGATTACTATAAGCAGGTATATGATTGCACTTATAGAAGTGTTTCTCAACCTATTAATATAATTTGTGACCCAATTTTCAGTCACAATATTAAATGCTCCCTTCATGCAATTATTTTTACCAAAATTGTGCTGTAATCATATCATTAGTTACTAATTAATCTTACGTAATTGAATTTCGACCCTAATGCTGCCCTACGATCCTAATAACAAACATTAAAAATTAAATAGTCTAACATGGCTCAGAAAAAGAATGAACGAATTGTCTTCATTTTGTTTAATGGGCACATTTTCTCTTACCTGATAAGGAGTTTTTATTATTTCTATGAAATTTGAAGATTAATGTACAATTTAAAAATGTGTAAAATTTTGATGACTTATAGCATCAATTAATATTGAAATAATCCTTTGTTTATTAAACATTGTTTTCAATTGCAAATGATTTTTCTTGTAGATGAAACTGATTTTTGCGACATAAGCAGTAAATGTTCTTCACATGCATGTAAATTAGTACAACTGGTAAAAACCCTCATGTTGATGCCATGAGTGATCAAGACTTTTCACGCACAATTACACTAACCACCAATACATCTCCTCCAACTGGTAAAAAAACCTAATTTTTGTGACATGAGCAATGAAGGTTCACATACTAGTACATTAGATACCCACAATTTTTCTCATAACATGGAAAATTCTGATGTTTATGATATGAGTGGTGAGGATTTTTCTCTCACAAGTACATTAACTTCCAATGAAACTAGTGAAGAACCTGATTTTTATGATATATCTACATCTAATGAAGGTTTTTTGCACACTGGTATATTAACTACCAACAACTTTTCTCCTGCTAGTGAAAAACCTGATTTTTGTGACATGTCTAATGAAGATGTTTCAGAAATGACTGCGTTAACATCGAACAATAGCTCTCAAACTAGTGAAAAATCTTTTGCCTGTAACATATGTAATAAGAGTTTTTCACAACGATCTAATTTAGCTAAACACGTCGTTGTTCATACTGGTGAAAAGCCTTATCGTTGTAACCTATGTACTAAGAGTTATACTCAAAAGTCCAATTTAACTAAACATATGGTTGTTCATACAAATTATAAGCCTTATGCTTGTAATATTTGTAATAAAAGGTTTGCTATGAAATATAAATTAACTGCCCACAGTTTTCGTCATACTGGGGAAATGCAATATACTTGTACTATATGTAATGTAAGTTTTTCTCATAAGCATCATTTAACAGCTCATAATATTCTTCATTCTGATGTGAAACCCTTTTCTTGTAACATATGTAATAAGAGATTCTCACATAAATATCGATTAACTGCCCATAACTTAGTTCATACTGGTGAAAAACCTTTTACCTGCAATGTATGTAATGCAAGCTTTTCACAGAAAAGTATTCTTACAACTCATTGCCTTATTCACACTGGTGAAAAGCGTTTTTCTTGCAGCATATGTAATAAGAGTTTTACACAGAAAGCTAGTTTGATAACTCATAATTATGTTCATACTGGTGAAAAACCTTTTTCCTGTGCTGTATGCAATAAGAATTTTTCAAGAAAATATCAATTAACTATCCACAGACGTATACATACAGGTGAAAAACCCTATTCTTGCAATTTGTGTGGTAAAACTTTTTCTTCGAGGAGCCATCTTGTTACCCACACCCTTGTTCATACGGGTGAAAAGCCATTTTCTTGTGAGATATGTAATAAAAGATTTTCAAGAAAATATGATTTAACTATCCATAGTGCTGTCCATGCTGGTGAAACATGAAGCAAATTTTTTTAGAGAATGTACTATAGTTTATAGATTCACAGTCTTCATACTGGTGAAAAGCGTTGTTGTTTTTTAAATAATATATGAATTAAAAATGAACTTGTAGCCATATTCATACTTGTAAAAAATATTAATTTACCACATTGAATAAGATTTTTTTATTATAAGAAATTGCATATGCATTTGTATTCATCGTATAAAATAATTTTTAATTGAATAATTTTAATTGATTAAGTTTAGTAAAATTATTTTTTTGTATTTTATTTGTTACATTTATTACAAATCACCTAATTAAGCATTATCTCATTTGTTCTGATGAAAAAACTTTCTTAGATGTAATGAACATTTTTTAAAAATTAATAATTGTATTTATGTATGCAGCTAAAAGATCATTCTTGTAAATTTTAGAGAGTCTAATTAAGCTTGCAAATTATCTCTAGTGTAAATTTTGCCACACAACAGTCAAAAAATTGTTCCGTACCATGCTTCAATTCTAAAAACCTGTTCCTCAGTCTGAACTAAAGTAAGCATTCTTGAGCAATTATTGTTTAAAAAATCTGTAACAGTTCATTATAGGTGTGCTCAAAACTGCTAGAAAACAGACATATTAATGCTCCAAATCTTTTCCAATTCGACATATCTTAGCCTGCAGACAGAATTTTGCTTTGAACAACAAATATTTAAAAGAATAATTTTATATATTAATATCAACAGTTTTTTTTTTTTCAATTGTTAAAATTCTTTGAAAAATTACGAATGCATTAAAATGTGGACACTGTTAAAAATGATCTAGCTGGAAAGTTGAAAAATTTCATAATTTTGCCCTTTATTTACTACTAATTGGGTTATTCATGGATATTCAAATAAATTTTATAAAAAAAAAAATTGCTCAGTTGTTTTAGCTGTAAAATNCTGAAAAATTACCCATGCATTAAAATGTGGACACTGTTAAAAATGATCCAGCTGGAAAGTTGAAAAATTTCATAATTTTGCCCTTTATTTACTACTAATTGGGTTATTCATGGATATTCAAAGTTTATTAAATTTTGTAAAAAAAATTGCTCAGTTGTTTTAGCTATAAAACGGTTTTTAGGAATTTTTCCCCTTAGCATTAAAATCTTTCAAGGTAACCAAATGAAATACCTAATTTCAATAAAAATCAAAATATTTTTTTAGAAAATTGTCATATTGGCATAAAAAAATTTGAGAGTATACATAAATTCAATTTAAGTTTTAAAATAATTGTATTACAACCTATCTAAAGAATATTGTGTCTTTTTACAGATAACTGTTTTTGTTATGTTATTTTCTATTATATTGTTAAATAATACCTTAGTTTTTGTTCAACATCTAATCAGAGAATGTTTTTAATTTATAATTTATTAGACTAATTATTTTTTGAACTAAAACTAACTGAAATATAAAATTTTAGTACACTTGTATTTGATATCCTATAATAATCATATTCAGGAAATATTCTCTCCGAAAATATATATAAGCAGATCTTGAACACAATATCCATTTATTAATAAAAACCAAATAAAAACATATAATTTCAAATATGATTCTGACATAATTCACAGTAAAATGAATATTAGCAGTGCAAGGATCAATTTGAAATTTATTCTAATTTTATTAGCTATAATAGATTAACTATTAGGGACAAAATTGTTAAAAAAATTTAATCTTTAGTAAATAACACCAACAAATCTGTGGTTTTTAGAAAAAGTTATCTTAAAATCTTACTATTTAGTAGCATTGTGATTTTTTAATAATTTTTACCACCCCAATTCTATATAATGGAACCTCTTCTTCAATTACTTCTGGTGCCATAATTTCTCTGTGTTCCTGAAATGTTATTATTATATTATGTTATGAGAAATTATACAGATTTATGCATGATACTTTTATTCGGAAAATGAACCATATGGAAATTAATAGAATTGTTAGCTACACTGTGTATTTAGGGGTTTAAAAAATCTATTAAATGTTAAATTTTTGAAAGTATTTTAAATTTTTATGGATAAAAATGCTTTAAAATAAAAAAATCTCAAATTTTTGCACTTGATTATGCAGTTTGTTTATGTTTAATTATGCAAAATACAACTACAATTATTTATTATGCTTAATTAGGAATAAAAAATAAATTCGGCATAATTTTTTTTTATTTCAATCAATGTAATTTTATATGCCGAAGTTTAAAATAAATTAGTTCAATAATTCCAGATAAATTTATATCCAGATGAATTTATTAATCCTATAATTATCTATATATGTTCTATAAAAATGTTCTTTTAGTTTAATTCCTTTTAATAATAATGGTTCATTGCTTTTTAATCAATTTGAATTTTATTTTTTAAAGTAATAAAAATTTTCCTGTATTTTTTAAATAAACACTTTTGTATTGATTTCCAAAAAGAAGTATTTGTAAATCAAAAATCAAATGAAAATTAACATTGACATATACTTCAATTCAAACCTAAAATGTTTTTTAAGAGCATATTTATAATTGTTGCAAAAAATGCACATTAAATAATATAAAGAAATTTCAAAATGTTTTTTAGATACAAATGACAATGGACTAAAGAAAATTTAACATAAAATATAAATCAATATAAAATCGATCAAGTTGCCAAAGTGTTTGTGTCGGCGATGTGCTCTGTCAGTGATGTGGGTGTCGGAACACAGCTCCTTCTGTTTTTTAATGCATGTAAAATGAAGTAGAGATATTAAAAAGTAAATAAATAAAATCGAAGCTAAAAATATAGTTTATTATTTATAAAAATAAATTAAGTATAAGCAGAAAGACACTGTAAGCATTGAGAAAATACAATATATTTGTATCTCTCAAATCAAACTCATCGTGATGAAGCAGCACTGTAAACGTAACTAGAGTGATGGTGGCTGTTGTTTAACATTCCATGAAGAATGGGAATAACTTTAACAGCAGATATATCTGCGAGAATATTCTGAAAGGAATTCAAGCAATTAACAATTGCATTAACTATATAAGGAATTTAAACAACTTATGAATTTATATAGGAAGTTTTGCTTAAAAATATAAATTGTATGATTATCACTAATACTTACTGCAAATGTAAAAGACTGTCTACTGAACATCTTATATTTATAAATTTCTACCACTTATCAATAAAGGAGATACAAGCTATTATGATGTAACATATGACAGAATGGCTAAATACAGTTTTGTTGTGAGCACCTTTAAAATATATTCTTTATGAAGCAACAAATTCTTTAAAAAAAAAAAGGACTAAAAGACATGCATTCATATCGTGGGTTTCAAGTTATATTCAAATGAGAATAAGAACAAGAAAAGGATTAAATAATCTAAAATCAGTTTTTTTAAAGATAAAATGATAGGCAATATACAATACAGGAGCACAAGATAAATAAATTGGTTTTTGATTCTTTCATTGCTCTTATCTGACTTTTAATAATGATCGGTCAGAGTTAGGAAACACTTTCATTTTTAATCCTTAAGGTGTGACCCCTAATGTGCTTAGTTTTTTTTAATTTTTAAAAGAGTTTTAAAAATATTGATTTAGGGTTGTCATTGCAGAACATTCTACATAGTTTTATTACAAAGGCTAGGTTATTTTGCACATAGATAATTAAGCTTCAAATGCAATGAAGGAAAATAAAGACTAAGAAACGTTTGATTTTAATAGTTTCAGTGGCAGGTCACAAAATTACTGCTATTTTTATATAGGTGAGAAAAGCAGCAATTTGGAAAGTATCCCAATAGTTTTTTTTAATAGATAGGTCAAGAATTTGACTTTATAATGTTATTTTTACTTTTCAGTACATTTTAAGAAATAGAAGAGAAAATCTAAATAATTTTACATACAATCAATAAATTATTCATATCCTAAAATAACATTGAGAAAAAAATGCTTTCAAATCATTTAAATAAAGATCAAAAGCTTTTTAAATTATAAGGCATAAACATTTTACATCACATAAAATTGCTCACATTTGTGAGCTTAAATATGTATGTGTATTGAATGAAGAAAGCTCAATGATTCTTAAGACAAAATAAAACTTATTTTAAGATAAAAAATTAATACACACCAGAGTAAAATAAATATTCATAATTACTTAGTCTAAGTGTAATTTTGTAATCTTTTACATATTCATTTATGGTAAATCATTGACAAGCTTTGATTATATTATAAATGATCTTGATTTTAAAAATTTAATGTGTTCAGATGAAAAAAGAAAAGGAGTTTCTTTTTTGATTTAAAAAAAAAATATTTGAAAAGGAACATTTGTAACAAATTATAGTTGCTTAAATTTTGCTAAGAACAGATAAAATAACAACTATCACTTTTAAAAATATTTATAACAAATCAAACTATAATTAAGCTTAGTTATTATATACAGTTGCATAGCCGTTGGAGTATATCCCTTGTTATATGTGTTCAAAATAGCGACTTCGCTTGTGAAGTGTAAGGACGTAAACACTTTCCTTCTTTAACCTTTTCTAATAATTTCTTTTTTTGAAAAAAATTTTCTTTAAAATAACAAAACATAAATAAAATGAAAAATCAATACGTAAATGAATTGTAAAATATGATGTACTTCATCGGTTAAAAAATATTAGCTGATGATAAAACAATTACCTCCACTGTTGCTTGATTCTCAGCTTGTAATAAAATAGACTTCCTTAGAGACATTATACCAACAGCTAAAACTAAAATTATAAAAATATTAGAAGTTTAAGAATATTACTATAAGTCTGAATTTTTTCCAAGAAAAATATATTAGATAGAGGATGTACAATTGCTTATAAACTTATTAAAAAATACTTAATTTGACAATGTTTAAAAAAATGTTATTTTGTTACATTTAAATTTTTTTAACTATTCCCACAATTAGTGCATTTTTTGGGGCATAAAGTGACTCTTTAAGACCATAATTACAATTAAAGATGAAGGGTGAGAGTGGATTTATAAGGGACATTCAGAATTGAAAATTTCTATTCTCGAAACAAATTGAAGTTGGTGCTTAGTTTGAAAAAATTATATTTTCTGTTAGATAAAATGTCACGATTAAAACACAATCAAAACTTCAATATAAGACACATAAAACTCTTTAAAACCCATCGAACATCTTTTTAGTTGCTGCTATTGATTTTAGAAATTTGAATTGTTTCACCTTCAGATGATCCACTTGCATCATTGTGATAATTTAAAATTTTGTTTTTCAGCATGAGTGAAACTAAGGATTGGCTTTTACGCATTGCAAAATCGATTAATTCAAATCAAAAATAGAAATTTATAAATGGGTACAAAAATTTTTTTTACAATAAAAGCCCTAACAACTTAAAACTAGGAATAATGATCATTATTTTTATAAAAATCAGATTACAACTAATTGGCATTAATATTTTAAGGTTTTTAAAAATATTTCAATACTGCAATGCATTAAAAAAATAATGGTTTAACCCAAACAGAAATTAAAGTACAACTTTGTTGTTTTACCATACAGAAATATATGTTTCTCTGCATGTTATTCAATGGAGTGTTTGATTGGGAAATTTTATATAATAAATATAACTACAGGTTTTGAAAATCATAAAATTTCGGAACCCGTGTGACCCTTCCATGGAACTGCTTGCATTTGAGAACCACTTTTTTAAATTTCAAAACTTTTCAAATAAAAATAATTTTCATAAATAAATAACAATCTCTTTGCAAAACTCTTTAAAAAATAACTTAGAGAACTTCAAAAAGGAAATGAATAAAAATATATAAAAGACTAAATATAAGTTACTCATTCTCTTTCAAGATACACATTGCAAATGAGAAGGGAAATAATTTAAAAGATGTTGGGAAAACAAAATTAATTTGATTTTCCAACATCTTTTTGGGGAACTAGTAAATTTATGAAAGATTAGACAACATGATACTTCTCTACGCAGCAGTTTACATGATAAATAAAATATGTGGAAATTTAACTGAACTAATTTCTATTTATATTGATTTGATGATTTAAATCTCAACATAATAAATTTTAATTATTATTAGACATATTGTTTGGACAAGTATATGTGTGCACGAGTTAAATTTTCTTAATTGAAAAATATAGTTTACACTCATTTTAAAATAAACAAACATTTCACCAACATATAAATTTTTAAATTAAAGTAGTTTATATATTTTCCAAATTTCTTAATAAGGAAATTAAAAATAATTGGCAAGTTTGAAACTGATTGAGAAAGCATAGTAGATATAAATGTAATTTTAAAAACTGCAGTAGGCAAGAAGTTAAAAGTAAATGAAGAGAATACATAAACATTTTTAATTGCATGGAAACGAAACTTTAAACATCATTAATTAAAAAAAGTATAGTTTCAAAAATAGATTATTTCAAAATTTCTGTCTAAACGAAAAAAAAAAAGACATTATATTTTTCTTACATGTTATGTTTAACACAACAAGGCATTTAAAAAACTGCAATATTTTAAAAGTTTATTAAAATGATCTGACAAAGCTTGTAAGCAAAAATAATTGTATGTAATGCTTAAAAAATATCATATGGCATTTTAAAATTACACAGTATATATAAATTTTAAAACAAACTAAAAAAAAATAGGAATTTAATTTTTAAAATAATTAAAACAAAAGAAGTGGATTGTTGATTTTTATTCTGTAAATTCTTTACACTTTAAGAAAAAGTAGAAATATTTAGGAATTTCAATAGATACATATATGCGCGTAGTATACTAGAAGAAAGACACCAAACTATTGCTATTGAATTATCAATACAATCTTCTATAGGTTATAAGCTTAAGATTTCTTTTTTGTTTTCTCTGATAAAAAAAAAGAAGATAGATTTTATTTAGGGAGAAAAAAAACTTAAGTAAGGAAACAAAATCTTTTAATTTCTTTTTTACAAATAAACATTAGTAAGTTAATAGAAAGACAAAACACAATTAAAACTATGATAAAATTATAAAAAGGCAAATTTTCAATATTCTGATAAGAAATAATAGTGTATCAGTTATAATGATTTCAAAAGAATTACTATACGCACCAACAATTATTTCAGTTGAATCATAAGCCAACATACAATCCCACAACTGCAAAATCTGGTCAGTAGCAAGACACCCCGAAAAAGCCTTAATAATCCATTTTACAGCTATTTTCAAACTGTTACAAAAAAAGAAATTTCTAAATCATATCAGCTCTGAGAAGTTTGCTTAGTCATAAATATTTAAATAGAATAAAACAGTAAAGAATTTATTTTTTTAAAAAAACTTGTTTTGTTCATTCATATGAATGATACAAATTTGTTTGAATAGTAAATTATGAAATAATATAACAACATTCATAATTGTTTTGGGAATTTAATAAGTTAAATAAAAATGGAAATGTGATTAATGATTGATATCGATTCCAAGCCTATTATAAAGAAATATTTCCTATAAGTTTTAACATTTCAAAAATTTTAGAGAGAATATAAAGCTGCATATTTATTGGTGACAATGTACAAGCTAGAACTGCGCACAGGCTGCCAATACTTTCAGGACAAGTCTGTGCCTGTGAATCTGAAACTACATATACTTCAAGCTGCCACCAGGAACAAGAACCCTGGTTCTGCACAATGATAGCTCACTGCCTTAACCACAGTGCTATCAAGGCTGCTTGACAAAGTTGGTAAACAGAAAAAGGAATCACCCTTCCTTTTATGAAGAGATTCATTGCAACTGTCACAGTAAGATAAGAAATTTATGAGACTTCTGAAAGATTCCTTTGAATAGGTTGGTTACAATCAAACATTTCACTTTTTTATAAAAGTTTGAAGACTAAAGTCATTATGCATTTTACAAACAAACACATTTTAAAAAACACACTAGCAAATTATCATCACAGAAAAATAGTCATTTGAAAAGTATTTTATTTCATATTTTCACTCCCCCCCAAAGAAAGACAGATAGTTTATTCTCTTTACAACTAAAATCTTTCATATATATTTTGAATCAGTTTAATTGTGAATGTTCTTTCCAAAGCGCTAAGCTTATTTGCCCCCCGGAAATAAAAAGTAATAATATTTCGACGATAGTAGGTAGTTATATTGAAATCTTATTCAATTGAAATCAAGGAAAAAATTAACTATAACTGATTTTCTTTGAAACTTTTTAAAACATCAAAGCTTTCAAACTTGTTATAAAAAAAAATATAGCTTGCATACCAATATTTTGCTTTGAAAATTATGTAGGAATTACAAGTTAAATACAGAAAAAATTATTTTTGTCACCGAGTTCTAAGGTTTTACTGAAGTTTAAATAAATTCACACAGAGTCACAAAATTGAGAACAACATTTTGCTTTTGTACAGTTTTGGTGACAAATTTTATACTTCAAAATTGTTTACATATTTTGAGCATCTGTAAGATATAGTTCTATTTATTTAAATTTAAATTTTATGTAAAATAATAATAAAGGAAAAAGTTATAATATTGCCACTATTCTAAATAATAGTGGTTTTTAAAAATATTTAATTTAATGTTTCTAGTATATTTCTGTTCTGACTCCTTTTTTCACTTATGATTTATTTTGGATAGTAATTAAGTCAGTCTTAACACAACGTCAAATATATGCTTATTAACTTACAAAATTGGATATCAATTGATAAAAATAAAAATTTCATGTTCTTTAAATAGGCAAGTAACTATTATGAATAGATAAATTTTTGAAAGCATTAATCATAGCCTTTATCTTAACATGTTTGAAATATAAAAAATTCTTAGATAATGCAGGTGCATATAAATTTTTGACATTTATCCTACATTTTAATATAGTCGTTTAAATCAGATTAAAGTATGAAAACAGTAAAAAATCAACTTACGGATAAATGTCATGAACAGAGAAATGGTAAGCCAATTGAGGTTCCACCTCATCAAGCAAAGTTTCAAAGGACAGCGCAAGTGACAAAACACCCTAAGAAAAAGGACAACTCGGATAAAAAAAAAAATATATATATGTAAAAAAGTATTATGTGTTTAGTATTGGTTAGAAGCACATTGAATATTAACCTGAGGGTGAGAGGAGAGGTTATGCAGCCGAAAGAAATACCGCACATAAAGTTCACGGAATATGTGGTAAAGGGTTATGGGATCTTCATAGATATAACAAAGAGGAGCAACTGGGAAAGAGAGTTAGATGATGAGTGAAGCAGTATAGAACAGTTTACTTTAAGCATAAGATTTTCTTAAAAATTAATATATTAGCAGGCATATAAAAAAGTTCAATATGAATATTGCAACAAATCTTTAGTTACAGAATAAGAAGGTAAATTAAAAATAAGGAATATGTTACTAGCAAAGACTGAAATGCATTGTATACAATGCCAAATTTTGTCTGGCAAAATATGTAATGAAAAACATTTCACATATTGCCTATTTATTGTAATCAATACCTAACTGACAAAGTATCCAATGATGATTATTTCACACTTTTATTTAGCAAGTTATCTTGCTATTTAACATGAAGGTTCATATTTCATTTTATAATATTTAATAGAAAGGTATTAATTTTTAATAATCACCATGTTTTCATTAATAATAACAGGAATGATCATGATAATAACTTGGCAGGGATGTGTGAGCTATTTTCCAGTATACACTAACACAGTATACCATACACAAAGTTAAGCTGGTTAAAGTAAAATCAGTATTTCATGCAGAAATTGATTTATTGAAAAGAAAAATATTAATTTTGACTGGATATCAAAACTTTTTTTTTTTAAATAGAAAGCAAAGACAAACTAATGTGCTGCTTTTTTTCTGTTCACATCTGCCAATTTTTCTATCATATTTCTGTCTATACATCTATTATATTTTACGTGAAGAACATTTTCCATTGAGTACAAAGTATATCATATTTCTCATAATTTACACTTTGCCTAAAGATGCAAGCTCATTATATACAATGCCAGTATTTTGTACATTGCTGGTAACATATATATAGAAAACATACAGAATTCCAATAACAGATAAATTATTTATAACTGTAATTACAAAATAACATTTTAAATTATCAATATTACTATATTACCACTAGAAAATTTGTGAATCTGCTTAAGTATATTTGGTTTTTAAAATGTCGACAATTAAAGTGTAAAACAAAACACTTTGTAACTAAAGATCAATAAATTTTAAATTTACAATACAATTAATAAAATAATACAAACTAAACAAACAAATAAAATTTATTTTTATCTTACCATACATGGAAAATCCATGAAAGGGAATCACACCATTAGGAGGATAGACAACATTAGTGTGTGTACCTCGCAAGTTTCCTTTCACTGGATTAGCCGAGCTAATTTCAAAATGTGATTGAACAGATGTGTCTCGAGAAAACACAAGGAGTATCTACAAGCAATAAGAGAGCATTAGGATCATAAAAAATTAAGTTTTAAAATACAGTGAGTTTAGTAAAAAGAGTCTTCAACAATTAGCAATAAAAGGATGAACTTGAAGCTATATTGATTGTAAAAGCTCTACAAAATTTTGAAATTAGTAACAAAGCTACATTACATTACAAAAGTTGCTGATAGAAGTTAATTGAACTTAACATTGAATTTGGTTTGAAAACTGCCTCTTGTCATAAGGCTGAGATCAAACCTGTGACAGTGTGTGAGTGAAAAATACACACATTTCCATTTAATGCATAGCTTTCTTCAGTACATAATTTGTATTTATGTTCAATTTGCCGTTATAGCAATTTTTAAAAATTAACTTAGGTAATATCACCTTAAATATATTATTTGTTTACTCCCTTAATCATCGATTGTTTCAGAGGTATTTAATTTTGAAATCAGGTACTTGTTATACAATCATATAATTCTGCATAAGTATTTTTTAATTACAATTAAATGTTCGCATTAATTTGAAATAAGTTGCACATTTGGGATTATTTATAACGAATTGTACAAACTTATTATCTATTTTTGAATAGCTTCTTGATATAAATAATCAATGATATAATCTTTTTTAAACTATAATTTACATGATTTGAAATATGGTGATTATTAAACCTTTACTAATGGTTATAATATGAACATCAATGAATCTAAGAAACAAATACTCCAATGAAAAGTGAAGCAAAAGCATATTTAAAAATTTCTTGAGATTCATAGAAAAGATGGAAGATAGGTTGACATATTTTGAGCACTAAGAACAAGAGTCTCTTGGTAAAAAAAACATTCACATTTTATCCCAGGTTTTGGGCATCGAAAACATGTTGACTTTTTTCCCATCAGAGAAAAAAATAATAACTTTCAATAATCATTGAATCTATTAAACCTTATTAGTTCTCGGTCAGCATGTTTCACTTTTTTTCTCATTAGTCTTATTACACTTTTTTGTGGATTTTGCAGACTGAAAATCATGTAACTTTTAAACTAACTTTTATTTACATTGGGCTAACTAATATCAAAGGTAATTCTAGTCAACTAAAGTTACCTTTTTATGTCTAGTTTTAATATGTTGTAAAATATAATTTAATAACTAAGATGATTTTTTTATATCAAACTACACTCACAATATTTTATAACATTTTCACTTATTAAGATGATTACAAAATGTTGATGATTAAAATTAGACTGAAACTCTAACATACAAAATGAGCAAAAATGCACAGAATTTATTAAATTTTAAATATTTTTATCTAGACAACAAACTATGAGTAAATAAAATAGATGCAATGTTTTTAAATAAATGTTTTACTTGATACAAGAGGTCTTCAAACACAAAGTATTGATCATCGTTAGAGGCTGTCAAGTGTATGTCCTAAAATATAGTATTGTAAAATAAAAATAAAATTATATTTAAAAAATTAAGAAAAATAATGCAATAAATTACAAGAAATTTTACTAATATACATATAGTTCACATTACTTTCTAAGTAAATGCTTTGCTACATTACTTGTTTTATTTTACTATTTTTAAAAATCCTAGTCTTTGAATAAATAGAAAATTTTGGCATTAATATTTCCAATACGAAATATAATGGTCTGTTGTTATTGCACTTTTTCAAGAAAATATTTCTTATTCTAATTTAGAAATTATAATTATGGAATTAAAAATTAAACTCATTAATGGAGATGAAAATCACAAGTAATAAACTTAGAACTTTTTGTGTAGTTAAAAAATAAGGCTGTTTTGAACGTTTTCTAAAAATTAAAAAAATTGTATATTAATTGAAAAAAAAAATACATTTAAAAAAATTATAATTATAACATTAATATGTCAATCAATTTTCCCATCAGATTTAAATTAAAGTTAATCATTTTACAATTCACTAAAATAGTGTCAAATATTTTAACAATTCCAGAGTGCTCATATTCTCGACCGGCAGAGGTAAAAACTGTTAAATGAATTTTGAAAAATGATTTATCCAAGGAATTCTTGAATGTGGCTCATTCATTATTTTAACTCTTTCTTTTTGAAAGAAAAGCCCACTTTGAAAACATTTAATAAATATTTCCTTCATTCAAAATCATTTCAAATCTTCTTCATGAAAATGTTTTCTTTCATTAAAATTTTTAAAGCCACTTTTGACAGAAAAAGGCAGAGATTAATAAAACTTTTTGAGAGCGAAAGTTTTTTTTATTTATTATTTTTAACTACTTTATACTATATGTATGTTAAACATGCAGAAATCACGACTCTGGAGGTTGAATCTACATTATTGCAACAATGCATTATATAATTTAACACACACCTTTTCAAAATTGCATCAATAATAATCACTACTTTTATACATTTTGAAAAATTGTTAGTAACAGTTCCTAAACATTAAAAAGTTGCAGTATCAAAAATACATAACCAGCTACATACCTTAAAAATTAATTTATCAATCAATAGATCATGCTGAAATACGCAAGACTTCAAATGCTTGAAGTTAAGTTTATGCTGGAAATAGATAAATAATATTACCTAAATGAAGTGATAGCTACTATCTAGAGAAAAAGTTGAATTTATATATGCTACACATTAAATTATTCATAAAAAATTATAAAACGGTAAAATTTTTAATCACAACTTGGTTTGCAAGTGTTTTACAAAAAGAGTAAAAGTTAGAAGAAATTTTAACTTGATAATGTGATAAGTGAGCAATGTTTAACAATATATGCGTCCTGTTCAGTGTTCCTCTTAGCAATAATAAAATAGGGCTTCTTTTAAAGCCAATAAAATAGACATACATTACAGAGAAAGAAAAGGTAACATCCACTCATTAAGTAGAGCTAAATTTTAATTTTGTTATTGATATCTCTTAATACACTCAGCACTCCATGTCATTACCCGGGCCATTGAATAGAGTGCAGACAACTAGAGTTTGTTTGATCATGAGTGCAAAAAATACCAGCAATATTTACTCATAATTAAAAAATGCTAGAATAATTTGGACAAAACTAAGCTGTATATTAATAAGAATATTAACGCAGAAAACAAAAATATTCATTCCTCTGTTGCCGTGATCAAGAAAATAGACAAAAGCATCAGTATTATCTGATGCTCAACATTTACCTTAATTTGGAAACTAACAGAATATTTAATAATAGCGTAAATATATTTTTTATGTTAATATATGTTTAGACAACTGCAAAATGTAAGCAAATATGTAATTTAGAAAATAAGAAATGAATACAACAAATTGTTCTTTTCTTTTAATGTTAATCACATAAAAGCATCATTTAAAATAATATATTAAGGATAAAAAATACATTTAAAATAATAATTTCGCTCTCTGCAACCATTCTTAACAATTAACACATGTTGGGATACTCAAAAATATACCATACAAGAAATATTTTTGAGAACCAATAGAATTTCACGAAAAGAGTGATTAAAATTTTCCAACAATAAAATTATGACAGCATGTTTAATTAATTGAAACCTTTGTAAAGAAATTTACAAATATTGTAAACGCATTCGTCTAACTTAATGAAAGCATACCGGTCTTCATGCTGATTTTTGAACGAAGCTGCAATATACACTTGTGATCATTAATGTAAAGAAATCGCTATTTCGATAAATTTTAACTATAGATAAAGACTACCCAGGATAAGAAACTAGGTGGCTTTGTAACTCATTCTTCATTCAAAGGTTATTCGAGATGCTTTACGTTTAATGTATGGTAATATCAAAAGAAATAATGGTTTACAAATTTAGTTCAATGGCTAAAAAATTTTGGGTTTAGTACAAAAATGCATAGGCTGTATAATGCAATATCAGAATTTCTTATAATAAAATATGGAACATATAAGCTTCTGCATTTTATTTCTTTTTCATGGGAAAATTTAATTTTATAAAAGTGTATTTTGAATAACATATATGTTTCTAGAGCCACACTATAGAAGCAAGGTAAAATTTTAAAGAAAATATTTTCATATTTTGAAGAATGGCACACCAGTTAAAATCAAAGTTAATTTAAATTGTACATTTATTACATTTTATGCTTTTGTTTTGAGATAAAATAAGACACAATTATACATACAGCACCAGATATGTCTACACCCAAAATGAGTGACCACAGAGCAGCTCTTAAAGTATCAGGGCATCCTTTTTTGCAATATTCACGAGCAACTGCAACATGATTTGCTTCAAGAACTAAAATGAATGGAGCTGCTGCTTTAATAATTGTTAGAGATCCTCATAACAAAAAATTTAAAAATACAGTTAACTCTAAAAGCCATATCAGAGATAGCAATAATAATATTTCATGGTCTCAGTGTATTCCCTCATACCATCTCTAATGCTAATCTCTCCTTAATACCATAATTTTCTGTACAGCAATTTATTCATAAACAAATCTTAATGTTGTTTCCTTTTAGTGCAACACTATGTCTATGGTCAAAAACATGAAAGAACACGTTTTTAAAATTTATTATTTTTCGCCAATTTCTCGTATTTATTGACAAGTAAATACGAAAAACTAGCACCCACCATCTTCAGTAACTTAACAACAGTTACTACCGTTTCTTTAACACTTTTAAGAGCTGAACTCTACCGACAACATTTATTTCCCTGCTAAATGGTTAATGGGTCAATGCAATTGCTGTCCAGCCTGATGGCCATGCTCATCGATCATGGGGAGGTAGATACTTCACTGTCATCAGCCTGGCGTTTGACCAGTTATCTGTCGTGGATTGGTATTGCTGCCATGTGGTTTTGTGTTTGGATTCACTTACATGCCTTTTTTGCATAATTTGTGATGCTCATAATCATCACAGACTCAAAGCTTTGTAACAGCGAGTCCGTTGAGGCTTTGTGTTCTTGTGCCGGCAGACCATGTTGAGAGTCTTCAAGTGTATACATATAGGTCTCTGGCCTGGATTGCATTAAATAAATTGTTCCAAATAAAAACTTATGTTATGATGTTTCCAGATTCTTAGTTTATATATAAGTCTTATAATGCGCTCCTAAGAATCTTAAGAATGATGGTTTAATGGAACAAAAAAAACATGCTGCTTATTAGTTTTAATTTATAAATAATTTTCCTTAATATTAAGTCAAAGAAATAATTGTAAAATTGCAACAATAGTTCAGAATGCTCAAAATCATTGATAAAAGGAAATCATCAGAGGAGGCAATAAAATAATCACATTTAATAAACACAATCTAACATTAAAAATTTTGATTCATATCAATTGGACACATTATCAAAATAAAGTTTTTATTTTTATTTACGGTCCTTGATTACTTAAATGATGTTCTTTTCCTTATTTATCAGATAGAGTTACATTTTTCTGGCAATTGGCAGTTATGCCAGACTTACTGGTTGAATCCATGAAAATTTTTATGAATGTATTTATAGATTATTAATCTAAGTTTAATTCCTCTAAAATTAAAAGAATTGATGTGAATGATAAGATATTCGTGTTGACTACAAACAATTAATTTTTTTCTTTTTAATAAATATATAGCCGACATTTTTATATGAAAGATGCCATTTTATTAGTCATCATCTTTCAAAAGTGTAAAAAAGAGTATTAATATTGAGAAAATGGTTACAAAAGAAATAAGGCTAATAAAAATATAAATAATGTGCAACAACTGAATTTTTGCATACTAAAGCACTATGATAAAAATAAAATCAAAATGGCATTTTTTTAAAAATCAGAATTAACTTATATGCTAAAAGAACACTTCGAAATACATTATTAATAATAATTAACTTGTAGCTTACCACGCTTTCCTAGAGCAACTCTATCTTTCAAACATTTCTTGGAATAATCAGAATTTGAAAAAGGCAAAATGTTAAGACCTAGATGATCAATATTACCTGATAACTCTTCAAATTGCAAACGCTAAAATGTTAAAATTTCATTAAAAAAATTTATTATAATTATAAGTATGCATATAATATATTAAAAGAAGTGCAATATTTTAATGTTACGTTCAAAATTACAAGGCTACAGTGTTTAACATTGTATAAAAAATAAATAATAACAAAAAAAAACAACAACCATATATCAAATAAACAAAATTGGCTGTTCTACTTTAGTGATTTGGAGGATCTATTGAATAATTTAGCTAAAAAATATTCATCAAGTTTTTTGATTAAATATAATAAAATTTAGAACTGAGAGTAAATTTTAACTGATAATTTATTAGACAAAACCTGAAATTATTTTAAACATTTGTAGAAAGACGTATTTTAAAATTATTACTTTAAAATGATAACTAATACTAATAGAAAATAATTTTAGCAGATAAGAGAACAATGCTACATTGATGAATTGGTGATTAGAATTTTTTTTTTGGTGTAACAAGTTTTTGATAGTGAGGTTGAGTACTGATCAAGAGATGGAGTTAGTATCTAAATGTTAGATACAGTTGTTTGCTTACTGAAAGTTTTGAACACCCTTCTATTCTATCTGTAATCTTAGGGTTCTTCTTGAGGCTCCTCAAAGAGCACTCCTGATTATTTACTCAAACTTCTAGTTTCATCTGATGCCCTGTTTGTTTTCCTTTCACTTTTTAGGTTTATTTCCCTTAAGCGTCCAGGGAAAAGGCTTGCTTGGATGCAATATAAATGGAAATCTGAACCTAGAATGATGGCCCTTGGATTTAATCTCTGCATCTCTTGGTCTTGGAAAACAGAATTGACTTAATTGCAATAAAGATTAAACTTTTGTGGAGATACCTTTGGAGAGTTTTTGAGTTCTGACCAAATGAATTTTAATAACTATACCAGTAATTGTTAGTTCTTTACACTATATTCATCCACGGCTCTGTATTGTAACGACACCAATAAAGGTTAATTGCTTAGTTTTATAGATTTTATCTTATTTCAGTCATATGATCGGTTTCATATAGGTTATTATGAGTATTTGTTTGGAACTATAATTTCTATTGAAATTCAACTGCTCCTTTGATAATTGCTTAGTTCACTTAAAATCCACAACACAATAGAGTACTTATAATTTAAAGTTTGAGTGAACAATAGTATAATTGACTTACTAATTGGTAAAAACTTTTTACATTCAAAGGAACTTTTATAAGGCCCCAATATGTAGATGGTCTAAAAAGAAATGTTCTATTAGCATAAAAATAATTTTTTTAAAAGTATTTTAAATGAACATAATCAGCATTGATTGTTAAATTTATCATATTCAATAGCAAAATTCTACAAACAGAATTTGAATAACTAATGCAATTAACAGTTCACATAAATTAAAAACTTTACCCTGGATCTGGAGTATTGGCAGATACATTTGGACACTTTACATTTGTTAAAACCTCTAGAAAATCTTTAGGAGAATACACAGGACGAAATCTGCTTAAATCTGAAATGTAAAATTTTGTAGTTTAAATATCCATAAGGAAGTAAAATGTAGTTCATGTTAAGAAATATAATTCTATATATATATTTGTAAAATATACAGGTAATGGAAAATATATAGAAATCTTTAAAATGTATAAACCCAAAAAATAGTTTACAAAACAAAATACATAGTTTAAATTAAATAATATTTCTTCTGCTTAAAAGGCATTGTGATAATTATTTTTTATTTATTGGACAATAAATAAATGTAGAGCAGGAAATGGCATACAAGGAAAATTACCATCAAAACCCTCGATATATATAGAGGATTAAAATTAAAAGATTAAGGGAAATTTTAAGTAAATTTTATAAACTGTGCATGAAGCTAAGTACACAGAAACCTTAATATAAATAAAGACAAGTATAGTCCAAGTAGTAAAAACAAGTACAAGTGCTTTATACAATAATAATGAATAAAAACAAGTGAAGCCCTCAGAAATTTATTAAATAATGGTTTAAAAAGAAAAAAATAAGCTTAAAAATTGGTAAAATTTTGTTTTTGTAAAAAAATCAAATTAAAAAATAAGTAACCACAAAAAAAATATTACGATAGATGTAATAAGAAAGTCCAAACACATAATTATATTTTAGTTTACAAGGGAATATTTGTTGTATAATATGTATAGATAAAATTCTTGTAAAAATAAAATAACTCACAAAATATACATTATTGGTAGCAATTAACAATACAGTGAAACCTCAACGAAAGACAACCTCTGCGTAGCTACCACCTCTATTTACAGCAACTTTTGGGAGGCATGGAATTTTTCCCATGGACTTTGTGTTGAATAAAAACTTTAAGAGAGACCATACAAACTCTCCCAGCTACCGGGCAAACCTCAGCACCAAATGTGGAAAAGATCAAATAAGAAAACACGGAAAATTATCAAAATAACGAATAAGTAGATTCAAATATATTCAAAATATTGTGAGTGGTTCTTGTTTAGAAAGTTCTTTTTGACAATCTCTGAAAGTAATCGACAACCTCATTTTGCAGTCAGAGTGCACTAAAGAGAATGCGATCAAAATTTAATTTTAAAATTGAATGTTAAATAAGAGAAGAAGTAAAAAAAAAAAAAAAAAAACTAAGCATGTTTAAAAATGTATCTTCTCACTTTTTAAAGCTAATTTTTCTGATATGAAATTAAATGCAAACTTAAACAAAAAACATAATTGCTTATTTATTTAAAATAGTTCTATCATTTATAGTTGGTAAATTTGTTTTCACTCATAATTAGGAGCATTTTTATTCGTGCTAAGTTTTATTCGTCTCTCCAGTCGGCTTTCATGATGTCAACACAAGTGGTATTTCTGCACTAAGAAAATGATATTGACTAAAATTAAAATTGTTTGCCAAAAATCATGTACCTTCGATAACATTTTAAAGTCAATGGAAGTAACTCCTAATAACGACCAACCTCCATTAACAGACTGATTTTATATGATTTTACTTTCTCTTTTACTTTTACAGACCTCAATAATGACTTATTATGAATTGGGTGCTCTGGGTTTGTATTTAAAAATTGGATTATTTGTGAGCGATATTAAATTCAAGATGCAATTTTTATATAACTCTCATAGAGAATATGAAACAAAATCTATATTACTTGAATTAATAACACTAGGAAAAACAGCCTCTATATAATAACACATTCATCTGATTTTCCGACTTCATACTAAATAGAGTGCCTAAGTAATATATAAAGGTTTAACAAAATAAATCAAGTATTGTCACTGGCAAATTTTAATCGTCTAAATAGCAATTTCCCTTCAAGTAAAATAAAAAGTCAACATATTTAAAAATCATGTAAAGAGAAAAAAAAATTACCCATGTCTTCTGACCCAAGTTCGGACCACTTAGCTTCAAACTCAATCTGTTCAGAAACTGGACGCTACAGGATAAAAAAATATTTATAGTTAAAAAATCTACTCTATATATTACTGTAATAAAACACATGTTACTCCAAAAACCAACTTAAAAGTTACATGTTACTTAATACTTTAATATGGTTAAATATCAAATACAGAAAAGTAATTTTAAAATCGTAATCCAAAATTGATAGCAAATGAAAATATTCAAAAAACAATTTTACCTTTCGAGAAAAGACCATGCTTAGCTCATTGGACATATTATTAAGGCTTTTAGTAATCCTATGCTCCCAATTTTCCTGAAAATAAAATAAAACATGCATGTATAGAGTGAATAAACAAAACTTGATGCTGAGTTGAATAATGAGATTACAAAGAAGAAAATAGTAAAAATTAATAATTGTCGCATAAAAAGTGAGAAATAAAAACAACAATTTTTTAAGAACCTTCAAAGAATTAATTTGATTCTGCATGACATGAACATGAGAAGTGAAAAATTTAAATGGAGTATACTGCAAAAGCATAATTTAGAAGAAGCGCTATAAGAAAAATTATTAATAAGATGGCAAAAATGCAAATTGACTTTCTCCCCACCCTCTCCCTCAATGACAAGAAGAATTAACAAGAAAGATTTTGCCTGGTCTTGAGTGAGAGACAAACTTTGCTTTTGTGCAAGGAAAACTATACACTGATAAAACTATATAGGGTATAACTATTTAAATAACATGATTCCAATAGTAATTTCCTACTTCAATCGACTCAGCTGTAGAGAGTTTTACGAAATAAAATCATTAGATATATTTAACTTTGATGACTAACTTGGGCATCCTTACAAATTTACATTTTGGTTATTTGGCAGTCATAATAAATACTTAAATGACATTTCAATGACTAATATAAAAAATTTCAATTGAAACTAAACTATACTCTTTCTTAACTTTAACTCATAATATTGAGAGATTTTAGATTTTCAAAGTTCTAAATATATTTTTTATCCTACTTATTTGATTTCAAAAATATCCTATGATAAAAAAATCTAAATAAATAAACGTCAAATATAAATTTTGCTATGGAAAAATTATAAGATGAACTTATTTTCTTCGTGAATGTAAGTTTCTAATCACAAATCTGCAGTTTTTTTAAATACATGGTGTATATCCAACATACTTAAAAATAACTCAAGCAATGCAGAGTTAGACAGAGAAGATAGAGAAATGGTCAAATAGATAGAGAATGGTCATAGGTAGATAGGTTAGATAGAAAAATGGTCATGTTCCAAAATCCTTATGAAGTTCTAATATTATTTTTCGAAAAAAAATTCTGCTTTAGTTGGCTGACACTGACACATATGTATAAATTCAAATATTGAAGGGTTATGTAATAAGTACCAAATATACTAAGGTATAAAATATTATATAGATATATTTGGTAATTATTAAAACTGCACCAATACTAAGCAGTTTTAATACAGATACTTTGAAATTAAGAGTTGTACGGCCCCTCGAAAGTGCTATACACAGAAGAAAATTACTTGATAGTGGTAAATATTGACTATAATGAGTATACCGTGAGCAATAGCACCATGCCAAGTCATGCTGAATACATTTCATCTTTATTCTAATAGCATGCAATTTTTTAAAACATATAATTGCTTATTTAATACTTTTTTTTGAAAGATATTATGATGTAAACATTATGAGTTAAATAGCATTTTCTAAACATAAAAAGTTACTTCAATAAAGAAATAATTAATTTGAAAAATGCAACATTCCAATGAAGCGATTATTAAAATAAAAATAACTAAATAAGAGAACTAAAATAAAAATATTACTAAATAGGAATGAAACATTTATTGTATCGGTATATATTAGTTATTTATGAATAAATAGTTAATTATTGTGATAAAAAGAAAAAGCCATACTTGTGCTTTCTTGATATATTCAAGTGGTTCTTTCTTTTGAGGCACCTTAGAACGCAGACTAGGATTTTTTACAATATGTTGATAAACTAAATTACGCAATTTTTGTTTATAACCTGTAATAAAAGTAAATACAGATATAAAAACACTTATTTTTCATAAAAATTCTGATGTAACATTTGATTTAGAGAGCTAATTCAAAATAAATATTTTTTTTAGAACTTATCAGCCTGGTATTTTGTATAAATAATCTCCATACAGATAAGCCAGGTAATTACAGTGTCCACTTGATAAGAATTATAAATTTCTTACTAGGATCAGTTATGTAAGAACTTTGTTTGCCCATCTTTGGTCAAGCGTTTTTCAGAATGACTTCGTTCAGTCAAAGCAAAAAATTTTATAATTGTACATCTTCAAAAATATCTGTTTGATTACTTTATCTTCTGTATTTTTTTTGTTGTACCAAATATTTTATTGCAGTGTGCTACAGTATTTCACTTCAATAAGAGATAACAGTAATGGATTTAAACAGACAAACTTAAATTTTGTAAATAAATGCAACATTATATTTATTATCCTGTCATTTTATTTCAGTGAAAGGTATTGCTATCTAATCTTCTAACTATCAACCTGTTAATCTACAAAATTTTTTAGAATGAAGAATAGTTTTCTTTTTCAAAGTTACTTAGCAAATAAGAACCTTCTATAGATTTTTAAATTTGATTCAACACATTATGATTCAATTTAACAAATTCTAACTTATTAATAGTAACAATAAAAAAAGACCGTTTCTTTTTAAATGTAATGTTTGCAGACTATTTAAAGTAGACTTAATAAAACAACTCAAGTATCTTAGTTATGTACCTGAATCTAAAATAAGTTTTCTCATATGATCTTCTAAAACATCACTGGATATTTCAGGATCCAAAATAAGTTCCTGTGAATCAAAAAAACATGCTAATTAATTTCTTAAAAGAATAATAAAAAGTTATGACAAAAGACCTAAATAAGAATAAAAATTTACCATAAAAAGGAAATTATTTAAATATGTAAGAATTTGATAACAAAACTGACCATAGAAGTCTCAGTGTAATTTACAAAACATATAATTTTGCAAAAATAAGTTAGTGATAACCAAAATTAAAAAATCCAAACTGCCAGTATCTAACTTAAATCTTTATCGATTAAAGGATTTGTTTTTACACATTTGAAAATTATGTGGCGCTAGAAAATTCTTGGCATTTGGCAACATGAAGTCATTTTTCTAAACTCCCAAAAACATAAAAAAAAATCATGAAAAGCAATCTGAAAAGTAAATCTATAAAATTTTCGATAATATGGTTATTTTTTAATATATTTGGAACTGCAATAAAATAAAAAGTTAATGAAAAAATTTAATGCAAGCACATTGCTTTTGACAATTCATTAAGAATATTTTGCAAGGATTAAAATACTAAAACAGTCAACTAGATGAATAAGAGCTGTCTGAAATTTTATTGAAAAAATAATCAAAAATATAGTAAAATAAGAAAATATTTTCAGAAATCGTCATTACAAATAAAAAGCATTAATGCCTGGTAAATTTCTATACATATTTTCCCCATATGTTCAAAAACAATTCTGCTATTGTAAAATTTTAGGCTTAAAATTGTATCAAATTTAAAAATCCCTAAAAATCACTGTCCAATATCAACTTGAATTTAATAGAAACATACATTTAACAGTAATAGTACTGAAATTTATCTTCATTATGAGAATATTTTCGACTGGAAAAAAGTTTCACAGAGAAAAAGATGTTTCATAAAAAAAATAAAGGTCTATTAGAATAAATTTAGAATAATGTTTAAAATTAATTTTCGGGATCCTGGCATGCTTTCAGCCAGGTATGGGGTGGGAAAGTGAATTCTTCTACTATGTCATAACAGCAAACCACAGGTGGCTTCCATTGCAAACCGAAATGCGTTATTAACTCCAGGTTTATTGTTTTTACGGGGATACAACAACACAATTTCAAAAGGCTGGGAGGGGGGAGGAGAATTTTAGAACTTTAAGCTTTTTTATAAGCATTTTGAGAAACTACCGTTTTTCCTTAAGTTGAATTTGTGAAGGTACCGCTAAACGATAGTAAATTCACCACGGACAGACCCCTGTATTGAAATTACTTTTTGGTCAAATGTCCAAATCTTGACTTAATTAAAGTTTGTATACACGGTTGTTAAACCGTTTCTACAACACATTCATGCAAAATAGGGCTCCAAAATTCTATTGATATAACACATTCATAAAACATTTGAAAATTTTGATTCAGCACATATTTTTTTACGCTTACAGAACTGGGCAAGCAACGGAGAGAGAAAGAGAAAATAGACTATATTTTATGAGACATAAGTGTTGCTGAATTTAATTACAAAATTTTCAAAACTCTTACTTTACATTTGCTTTAAATTTTTTATGAAAATCAACAATATCAGTGCAGGTGTTTTTTTATCTGTAAAGTTTGAATAAAATTCATTTTATCTTAACATTCCTGTTCACTGTTTTGTCTGTCTAGAGAATGAGGATGATCCTTGTGTTCTCTTAGATGTACAGTTAAATAGCTTAAATTAAAGCAAACATGAAAGTGCAGTCTAGTTCATTGTTTCTTTTCTCCTCCTTTTTGTGGTTTCTTTTTTCAGTGTTTCTATAAAGGTATAAAAAGTTTTATACCTTTATAGAAACAACTTGTAAGCAACTTTTTAGACCTATTGCTTTCCGATTTTTTTTTTAGAAATTGCATAATGGCCCACCACCACTTCATTTCTATTTATGTTTTTTAATTTCCAGATCAATCGGCTTCTGTTATGCTTTTTTAAGGATTTCTGCATTACAAATTTTATGAAATCACTTGATATGCAAGATTCTTCTTAAACAGTTGTTAATAAGTTTTTTCATGTTTTTTTATAGCAGCGCCATGTTTCAGATCCATATAGTAAGACAGATTTAATGATAGTATTGAAAATTCTAATTTTTGTTAAACTTATTATGTTTTCGTTTTTCCAGAATTTATTAAGAACTGCTTTGTTAAATATATTTAGTATATCAGTTTTTCCCTTGCTGTTAATTATATTTCTAAGATACATATAACTGCTTATACCTCCTATAGTTTATTATTTTCCAATAAGACATTTAATTGTTTAAGATTAATTTTCAAAATTTTAGTTTTATTTTAGTTTATAATAAACCCACTTTCTTTGCCTCTATGTTTAAAATGTTTGCATATCTTGAAGGGTATTGATCAGTAAACATAAGTCATCTGCAACATCAAAATCAGAAAGATATTCAGCAAGGTTCCATTTTACACCCTTTTTACTCTCTGATAATCTCTTCATAATACAGTCAATAGCAATTAAAAAGATTGTTGCAGAAAGTATACAACCCTGTCTAACGATGGAATCAACCTTGAATTCTGATTGTTGGCCAGCATAGATAACTTGTACATTGTAATTTTTATATATATTCTTCAATGTTTACTAAATATTCTGGAATTTTATAGTACTGCAACAGCTTCCAGAGTGTTTGTTCAATGTTGCCATGCAAATTTTTATTCAGTCAGTAATAAACTTTACATTTAACAACAGAAATAATTTATAATAGGAAAAAAGATATACCTGAAGACTCATTAAGAGCTTTCGATAAACATCTGTCTTCTCGATTTCTGAAGCTATAAAGTTAGTTGATGTTTGAGGCCAATATGCATTTGCCATTTCTAATAGCAAACCTGAAAACATAAAATAATGATGAGTAGAAGAATGAACATATTTTATCTTGACTTTATAAAAATATTAAAATTATGTGTACAAGCTGTTAAACTAGCTGAAATAATAAAGCAAGTACTTCCTTACATACAGTAGAGATTATGTTTACAAGCTGTTAAACTGGCTGAAATAATAAAGCAAGTACTTCCTTACATACAGTAGAGATCTTGCACCGAATAATTATGTAAATTTATTTTTTAAGAAGTCAATACATTTTCCTTATTTTCATTTTATATAATACAAACTTTATAGAAAAGGATTAGTTTAGATATAAATTCTAATACTATATATAGGTGAATTTTCTATTTTATAGATTTATAATTTATTTCAAATAGTACTTCAAAAATCTTAACAGGGTACGTAAAAAAAAAAAAAAATTATGATGAATCCCCTAAAATGCACAATTTTCCATTATGAAATAAGTCTTGTAGGCTAGACTTTAAAAAAAAAAGAAAAAAGAATTTTTATTTCTCTTCTTATTAAACATCAGAAGAAGAGCGTCTTGGTTACTAGAACCAAATTTTTAATTTTCCTTACAAAATCTGTTACAACTTATTAATATTTTCCCCTTGAAATTCTTTAAACTCATTGAATATTTTGATGGATTTCCTTATGGCGACATGATCATTTCATATTATTTCTTGATATTTTAAAACAATGCTAAGTTTTGTAATGTTATCTTAAACGTGTTAAAGTTTTCAGGAATACATACTTATTTTGTCAAATTTTTAGAGGAGACTTATTGTAAGACATCATCAAGATGAATTAGAACATTATAAGAGACACAATACTTTTGTGGTTATTTTAAGAAAATATCAAGTTATTATGGTATACCATAAAATGCCTGACTTGAGAGAGCACTGTAGCTTCACACAAATACTGATTGTCAATGAATACCAAAAAAGTGCCCCTTTCCCTACAACACAATTTCTAAGTTCTTGTTTTAAGAATTTCTCTATGAATTTGCTTCTAAAAAATAGTTATTCTGATTCTTAGAATAGAAGATTAGTGTTATTCTGTAAATGAGCAATGAGTAGGAGGAAAAAAAAATTAATCAATCAGAGTAACTGAATTGAAGATTGCTAACAAAAATGCAGGTGTTTGTAAAGTCCAGTGGGAAGAGAGAGAGAAGCAAATTCTCTCAATTTGACCCTGCTACATGCAAGTCAAAGTCGTGTTGAATGGTACATATGCTCACCAGTAAGAAAGAAAAGTAGGGGGGGGAGGGGAGATGGGAGAATTGAATGTGTAAGATTGAGTAAAAGGAATAGAGGGGTACTGTTAGAAGTTACTTAACTGGAGAAAAAAATGCTAATAGAAAGGGGGAAGAATTGGGTAGAAGAGATATGGATTAGAGCCTGTCTCCTAAAAGATGATCTCAAACTCATTTAAGCGTTGTGGTATTTCTAACACATTAAATGAAAGAGAAGATGTACTTTTTCGTTCCTGATTAGCAGGAGTTAATGTCGGATCTATAGACAATGATATTACTGATGAATTGAATGAAGAGTGCATTGACCTTATTTTGGACAATGACTCTAATACTTCTTATGATGGATTTTTGGATTCTGATTAATGTAAATAAATCTTTCTTTTAATGAATTATTTTATCGTCCATATTTATTTTTTCCACTGAAATTTATTTTTTCACCCATTTGTATACGCTAGATTTGTACCGAAACTTAAAAATAGAGATTGCTGTTGAAGTTCAGGTGATTTCTTTAAAAAGACGCTTTGCATTTCCTTCAGTACCGTTTATTTGCACCCCTCTTTATTGCGGCAAATTTTGATAAAATTAGGAGGGCTTTATCGGTATTTTACGGTAGACATTTGGATTATAATTCTTTGATGAATTAATTAGTAAGCGAATTTTTTCTAGTATATTTTAAATAGAGACAAGTTTATAATGAAAAGTACTAAAAAATATGCCAATTCTGAGTCCCAAGGACTTATAGTTTCTAAAGTCAAGTGGAATTTCTACTAATTTTTACTAAATTTTATTTTAACTAATTTTTATTCTCACTATCTCCCATTTAAAATACTAATACACCAACATATTTGAATGCAAAAATGTTAGTTAAAAATCTGAATAGCAACTTGAATACCTGCTTACTGTCCTTTCCTTTATAAATTATTTATCCACTAAATTTTTGATAATATTATAAAATGAACAAAAATAAATTATTCTTTAATTATATAATACTGCAATTTTTAACTTTATTTATAACTAAATAAATAAACAGAAAGTCAATGCTCTACCAAACAGAGACCATGCACATAATGCAAAAATATATTGAATACCAATTGATGTAACAGTGAATTATTTAATATTCCACATGACCATAAAATAAGGAGAAAGCGGTGATTAAATAAAAAATACAACGTTGTTCAAAAATTTATTATTACATTTACAAAAAGATAGATCTCTATTAAAAGAGTAATCATCCTCTGAATAGGATATTTAGTTCAATCAAAAGGCATCACGAATAAATAACTAGCATACTAGTAAAACTTTATTATAGTATAAATTACGTAACAAGAAGGAGAATAAAGTTTTTAAGAATTAATTAAACCCTTGAGGAAATTAAACAGAAAAAAAATTATTGATACAAAATAAACAGAAAACTTACTGAAACGAAACGAGTCGAGAGGGTACTGACACACCGGTGAACTTAATAGAAGTGATCAGAATTAGCTTATAGCTTTGATTAATTTATAGCTATTTAAAAATAGTACAAACAAGTTTCAAATATAATGTGCTGTTAGCTTATAGCTTTTACTGCAAGTTTTAAATAAAATAAAAATTTTACTACTCAAAGAAAGCTATAAGCAAAACATGCTTTAAATGAATAACTTGTCACGGCTTCCATTAAACAAAAAAGAAATTTAAAAATCTTGTATTGTTTGTAAATTTACTTTTTTAGATGCAAATCGTATTTACAAATTCAATTATTTTTTAAAAAAATAGCTACTAAGTGAAGAAATATTCATTTACGTGATATTCGCTTTGGTGAGTATTATAGACTCGTTAATAAGCTCACACTTAGTTCTTTTTTTTCATTTTGTTGAAAGTCACTAATTAATTCTGAACATTTTGCTGTAGGATGTAGTGAAACTTTAATTTAAATTTTAAGTTTAATCTTAACTTGATTTTTATATTGATATAATTCATCAAGAAGTTTCTTAAGATTAAAATCTGACTGGAAATAATGTATTAGTTGCCATTTGCTTAAAGGATGCCAATTAAGACTTATCTTATTCATATGATGCACTGCCATAAGTGCAAGGTGTTTCTTTCATTAATTTAATGCCATTATTGTGGTCTATGATATTGAGCATTCAAGTTTTAATAAAGTTGTGCCCTCAATGGATCAATTACTACTGTCATATAATCATTATTATTTTTTTTATCGGTTCTTTATTATGTAAGAAATACTTATTAGTTACTGTATCATAAAAAGGGACCTCTATTGAAAAATGAATGTAAGTTTTAATGAAATTTGAATAACTTTCAGCACTTTAGTAAGCCTGTATAGTGCAAAAAAGGGGGCATAAGCCCAGGTATACGCCAAAGTGGTCATTCAATGAATGTCTGAAAATGCAAAAAACTGTTAAATCTATAATTATTTTATTTCGTAATTTAATTTGTTAACTGATAAATATTTATATATATGATTTTGAAATAAGTTTTATAGTCAAGTTTTAGTCCAAGAATTTACCAGACGGGGCTGTAACAAACCATAGATTTGAATCCCAAGTAATGGTCAATTTAAAACACCTCTGAGATTTTTTATTTTTTCATCTTTTATATTTATTTCTAATTCATTTTAAATGATTTATTACTAAAATAAGTCTGCCGGCAATAACTTAAAAATTTCTGTGTTTAAATAATACATCAGTAAATGAACAGTAAACAAAGTAAAGAAATTTACATTTTTGGTTGAAAAAATGCTTTGCATTCTCAATAATTCAAAAATCAATTTGATTTAATGAAAAGTTAAATGGGGGAAAACAGAAATGCTGGATATAGTTATGGCGGCAAAAAAAAAAAAAAAGATTAAATTTTGTAAAAATACAAAATCTAATTTATATTGCAGTTCTGCATACTGGCATCAATCCAATTAAATGCGAAAGTCAATGACACATAATTTTTTTTAGTAAAAAAGAAAGTTGATAGCAGTATAGACCTAGCTAGCAGTTAATGGTAATAATAATAATAGTAAAATATTTTCTTCTGTCATTCAGCCAGCTATTTGAAAAAATATATAAATAGGAGCAAAGTCCAATTGAAAAAGTGTATCGATTTACCTATTAATAGGTCGACTTTTGTTTTTTAATGCAGCTTTGATAGACAAAAGCGTAAAGAAATTCGTCCAAAGGCAAAATATTTTTTCAATCAACCTCCAACCTCAATCAACCTCCTTAAAAAAAATATATCAGAAACAAAAGCTGATTCACGAAAGAAAAATTGCAATCTAATCATCTGAAGTATCTGTTGACAGGCCAACTAGAGTATTCCTCCATAACTTTGAAGAGGTGGACTGCTCCTCCCCTGCTTGTTACACATCTGCTACCAGAGAGAAAGCTTGCATATAAAATTTAAAGTATTTTTTACATTTGAGATATTTCCATATCGTTATCTATTCACCCCTATTACCAAGATGTTTAAGAAATTTTAAACTTACAAAAATTTAAAAAAAAAATATGTAGAGGTTAGTGAAGGAGTTATTATGAGTTATACTCTTCAAGTTACTCTGCTACTGTGAATTTTTCTGGCCACATGCTAGGAATATAGGAATTTTTTTACTTTAGAATGATTTCTGCATTCATTTANCCGGGTTTTTTCAAATAAAACCCAATTTTCCTCGGGTTTTTTCAATAAAACCCAGGCGGGTTGGGTTTTTTCAAAAATCCCCGGGTTTTTTCAAACCCTGCATGCTAGGAATATAGGAATTTTTTTACTTTAGAATGATTTCTGCATTCATTTAAAAAATGAATTATAGTAATAATTTAAATTTTATTTATAATCTTTTTTGCTTATTCCAATTACTACACACATTTAGGGTATTTAATTGAAAAGTTTGTCCCTGGCATCCACACTTACACCACTGATAGTTACCTATTGACTACAAATTTCAGCATTATTTTTAATGGCATTTTTATTCCTATTAGGTCTTTAATCAAGTTTTAGATTGACTATGGCGGCAAATATGAACCGAGGATATCCTGTACCTCCTCAGGGTCATGTTCAGGGTCCTACAGGCCCTCCACCCGGTCCAGCTCCAGTACCACCACAAGGGCCTCCTGCTATGCCAAATCAGCCAGGAATTCCTCCTACTGTCCCACCAGGCCCAGGAAATCCTCCAATGCAGCCTAATCCAATGGGTCCTATGCCACAACATGGTCCGGGTATGAGGCCTCCAGAGAGACCAATGGGTTTACAGCATGCAGGACCCCCACCTAGTCGTCAATATGGATCTCCAACTCCTGTATATCAGGTAGGGTATTTGAAGGTTTTCATTTAGTTGATTGTTCAAAAGAAGTCAAGTGTTGTTCTTTAAATATTAACATTTAATAAGCTTATGACTGTCAGAAAACTTTTTTTTTAAACATGATTAAGTTTCTAAAGCCAATGTTGTTCTAACTTTTTAATTTGTTTAAAAATATGATTAAAAAACTAAATGTTTACAAATTTTACTCATGTTTTTTATTTGATACCTTCTCTGTGTACTTTAACTGGGAAGGGGATGTGAAGCATTAAATAAGAAAAATTAATTCAACTTTTATAAACATATTCTCATAATCTTAGTAAAATTTTCTATATCCACAACTCATTCACCATTAACGTAAAGTAACATTGGAAAAGTAAGTTTGTTTGAAGTAATTCAGTTGTAAACTTTTACTCTTCACTATGTATATTTTTATATATTTAATTCTTTTATTATTTTCTTTTTATATTTAGTAATTAATTTGTTTTAATGTTAGAAAATGAATTTTTAAAACCTTGAAACCAATCTTTTTAAGATTAAATCAATAGTTTTACAATTACTAATAATAATGGAGAAAAACTTATGTGATAAAGCTGAAGTTGAAAGCATTGAAAGGTTTTTAAAATGTTCATCAGTTCATTGCACAATGTTTGTTTTTAACAAAGTTCATTACAGACCAGCAAGAAAGAAGTAATAATATATATTCCTAAGCCGAAAAAAAGGGGCAAGCTAAATACGGAACAAAAACTTGAATCACCCTAGGGGAAATGCGTTATTTTTGACATGATATAGATTAAAAAGATATTAAGGGGCATTTTAATTGATAAAATAAAGTTTTTTGTTACTGTTTTATTTTTCGTTCCATATCATTTTAATACCTGTTTCTTAACCAATATCATTACTTTTACAATATAGTTATAATTTTTTTTAAAGAAGCAATTTTTTTATTTTTAAAAGTGATATTATTTTGCATTTTATTAAAAATTGTCTTTCAAAAGCAAGCATTAAATGATAAATTAACATTGGATTTTTGTTCCTAGTTTTGTAATTAATTTTCTCATAAATGTATTACTGTATTTTTCATTTGTTCATTATGATTTTATTGATTAATCTTATTTTTACCTTTTTTTTTAAACCTTTTCCAGAGTAGCATAGATTTCTTCCTTTAATTTTAAATATCTTTTAGAATCATTTTCAGCCACAGCCACAAAGACCAGGATACCCACCTGGCCCAATGCAAAACTCTCCTGCACCCCCATCACAGGAAATGCATGGTCGAGTTGGGCAAGGTATGGGTCCACCCACTCAAACGTATCCTGCAAGGGCACCGCAAGGTCCAATGGGTCCAATGCCTATGGAGTCAAGAAAAAGACCTGCTCCTGACCGCTCTGATAGCAGATCACAAGGACCTACTTCCGCTAAAAGGTTGTTGCTTGCAATAGTTCTTATGCTATAATTATTATAATAGTTCTTATGCTATAATGCTACTTATATAATTCTTATGTTACTTAGTCGTTCTAGTTAAATGACAAAAATTTTCCCGATTTTTCTGGAAACCGGATAAAAGGTTTTATACTGTACAACTAACTATACTCCTTTTTAATTATAGATTAAAAAATTTCCATGTTTTAGCCATTTTCACATTACGCTTAAAAATTTGTATTTCTACATCATTTTTTTCATTCATTTTTTACTTTTTTATATTTACGTGAAGTATTTTTTATTTATTGTCCTTCTGTTCACTGAGTGTAATGCGTTTCCCCTTCATAAATCAAAGACCCCATACCTTTTCCTCTACTCAACTGCAATGTTAACTGGAAATTCTGCATTTTGCCTCAATCATTGTAGTTCAAAATGGCTGGAAATCCAGCAAAATTTTCCCCAGTTTTCTGGTTTTCCTATTATTATAATTATTAATATTTTTGGCATACACAATATCAAACATGTAATTTTATGATTAATCAATACTGTTTAAACATCCCTTTAGAACAGTGTTTCCCAAAGTGTGGTATGCATACCCCCAGGGGTACGGGAACAGCTTAGCGGGGGTACGTGTTCTTATGCGAAATATCTTGCAACAAACGAAAATTTCCAAAAAAATTTATTTAAAAACAAAACTACCCATTAAAATGTATGATTACGTATTTTTCTGGCTATTTTTTGCAGAGTTAACAGTAAATAATCAGTGGTGTTAACAGCCAGTTGTGATTTTTTACTTTTGAGCAATTTTTTATAGTAAAAAATACATTCATTTTTTTTATTAGTGGCACACAGCGTTACAAAAAATTTAGAAAGGGTACACAAAAGTTATAAGTTTGGGAAACACTGCTTTAGAAAAATACGTCTTATTTCAAAACTTAGGTAATAGTATATAACGGTAATGCTATTTAACCAGAAGTTTTTAAGTTTGTGTTTGTTGATTTTGTAATCTTTAATGTGGTGTTAATCAAGTGAGGGTATTGAAAAAAAAAATACGTGGAAAAAGTGATCTGAGAAATTTTAGCATGAAAGTCTGGAAAGCTTGAAAAATTCAAGAAAATTCCATTCAGAACTTTTCTGGATATCTTATTTTTTATGAAATATGTAGTCTAGCAGTCATTTCTTAAATCACACATTCAGTTAATTATGTTATTTATTTTTCTGTATCATTTTTGTAAATTATGAGTTAATAATAAGAATAAATTAATTATAATTAATATTTTTTTTATTGAGTGCAATGAGTTTTATTCAATTGCATTTTGGTAAAAATCTTCTAGTTATCTAGCATTAAATGTTAATCCATTCATGAATTAAAACTATAAAAAAATTTAATATGCATTTTTGTATTTAAATTTTCTTTTTTCTTCTTCCTTTTCTCTTTTTTTTTTGCTCTTTATTATTAACACAGTAATGCTTGTTGAAGTAAAATTTTTAACTGATGAAATTTCTTTTGATTTTAGTGGTGGTCCTCCATCCTCTTCTAATCCCAGCAGTGCATCAGGTCCTGCATCAGGTGGCAGTACTAGCAGTTCAAGCAAAAAGAAGAAAAAATTGGCAGAAAAGATTTTACCTCAGAAAGTCAGGGATCTAGTTCCTGAATCTCAAGCTTATATGGACCTCTTAACATTTGAAAGAAAATTGGATTCTACTATCATGAGAAAAAGGCTTGACATTCAAGAGGCTCTAAAAAGACCCATGAAGGTATGATAGTCTTTTAACACTTGACGTATGTTAGTAATTTTTGGCAGCTTTCTTAGTTTCTATTAATTCTTTATTGTGTATGTATTTGTTCAAAATTTAAGAGATATTTAAACTATCAATGTTAAGATATTGACTAACGTCCATGATAAACTCATATTTCGAGTGGGGAATGAACTTATGTTCAATGAAACATTTGTATTTCTGTAATGGGTTCTAAAATTCTGACTGTGATGCCACAATTGGCATTACATATTTATTTTCTATCCTTTTAAAGTATCTTTCATTACTTAAACTTTTTTTATTAATACATTACAAAAAATTACATTTAAAATAAATCAAAGACTTAATCTTTTAAAACGAGCATTAAATATTTATTCTTCTCTTACAGATCAATGTAACAGATACTTTTTATTTCATTACTAATGCAGACTTATTAATTCACTGTCGCCTCTGATCAAAAACAAAAATCTATTTATAATTTTTTATTCTAAATTTCTAACCTCTAAATGTTTCGGTTGCATGGTTGTAATAATTCTCATAAATTTGTTGGCGACTCGTGATCACCAAGGTATTCTTTTAAACCCAATATTGATATGCTAGTTGGCTCTGCTTTGGCTATGTTATATTTTGATAAATCGCCAATTTTGGATCTCCTACCCATAATTTCTGTGTCCGTTGGGAACGTATTCACTTTTAATTTCAAAATTTGTGGCGACTGGGAGTGCTCCTGTCCCAGCCGACCTAACGGTTTTAAAAAATGCAATCGTAACGGAATGCTAAAGAAACTTCTTAATGTAGAAGTTATATTTTCTGGATCCCTTTAAGGGATTTATTTTTGATAATTTGTTATTTTGATGGCCATTCTCTATAATCTTCACAAATTATTGTTTAATAAATTGGATTTTTAAACGATTTATATATTGTTTCCTGGACATAATCATTTTTAGTATTTTCATAATCAAGATGTATTTTTGTAAGGCCAAGTAAAAATCCACTATACAAATATTTGCGGCCACTGATGGAGAACAACCTCTGCCATACTGACTTTTATTAATTTTTGTTAAGAAGAGAAGAAAACCTTTTACAATAAAACCTTCCCTCAAAAACCACACATTACAGCAATATTTAATCTTAAATACGCTTTACAATTGACTTTTTAATTGATCTGTTACTTAGTATATTTGTGCAACAATTTCCATGTTAAAATCCATTATCCTTATTGAATAACGTGCAAGACAATCAGTTATCTCCACAAAAAAATAACTTGAACTTGTGTAATTATTCACATGCGGTATTTTAGCATAGTTTTCATAATTTTGTTTTTCTCCAAACGTTTTGACCATTGGTAAATTTGTATGAAATTTTCCTTGCTGTTTCTTCTCATAGAAGGACTGCTTTGAGATAAAATGACCCAGAAAAGACATTTTTTGTTTTTGTTGAAGGAAAACCATCAACTTTAAGTCTCTAGTTAATGCTCAGATAGTTAATTAAAGTTCAATTTTTTAAAGATTTTTCAAAATGTACTAATATACATATATTTAATTTCTTTTGTAGCTCTAGAAATATTTTATTTTGAATTGTGATATGTGTAATAATGTGTTTATTTATAAGTGTAATATTTTTTGAGGTGCTAAATTTGTGATTCTTTTATTCTAGCAAAAGCGTAAACTGCGTATTTTCATCTCTAATACATTCTATCCTGGAAAACCTGAAAGTGAATCTGGAGAGGAGCCAACAGTTCCATCTTGGGAATTGAGAGTAGAGGGTCGACTCTTGGATGATGTTTGTTTCTTTTTATCTTTAGCTGTGTTTTATAAGTTGTAAAATTTTAAACATAATGATTACTGAGATATTGTTTTTTATATATTTAAGTAATGTTCATTTTATGCAAAACAAAAATTAATCCCTTTTTGATGAGCTTATTCTAATAAATTTTAATCTGATCAAGGTGCGCAGCGTTTTTAAAAAGTGCTTAAAGGTGCTTATTTTGGATTTACGTTTTTTAAAAGCCCTTAAAGGTGCTTTTTTTATTCGGTGTTTGTAAAAAGTGCTTAATTTTCTATCTTTTAAAAAGAGATTTTTTCTTTTCTGTATTGATTGTTATTCTAAAAATTCACAATTTTCTGTGCATTATTTATCAGAGACTAGTTATATCATCATGATTATATCAAGTTTTGAAAATGTTATTGAATTTTATTGATTTTATGTTTATAAATTAAGTACTTTAAACGATAGAATTTTTTTATTATTACTGCTCAGATCCTAATTATGATTTGTTTTGGAAGGTGATTAAAATTTTTTTTTGAGAGCTCGAAAAGTACTTAAAAGGTGCTTATTTTTTGATTGAAAAACTGGTCTGATGTTTGTAATCTGATAAGTAAATGACTTTTTTGATATTTTTATTGTCATAAATATTTTATTACATTTGTTTTACAAAATTGTTTAACGCCTAGTTTAGTAAAATTCTGTGCAGTAATTTACAATAAGAAAATACTATGAAAAAGGCACTGTTTTTTTGTTTAAGGTACATAATAGTTAATATTCATTGTCATTATTTAGGTCAGGCAGTGTTGTGTTTGAGGACTGCCTTAAATATATGAACATGATTGTGATATGATGATTTAATGCTGTTGAATTTAAGAAATATGCTGTCTTATTGTTTGTTATTGTTAACACTTAGAAAAATCAATCGAAAGTATTAAAAATTAAGTTAAAATGCCATGTTTTAAAAAGGTTTCGACCTGTTAGAACAAAAAATTTTGTCTTTCTCCTGTGATAAAATAAATAAGAATTTTTTTTACATATGTTGACTATGGCATTTTTTTAAAGAAAAAAAAAATCATTGATCATAATCATTAAAAATTAAGATAATTTGCCATGTTTTAAGGAGGTTTTGAGCTGTTAGAGCAAATGTTTGGTCTTCCTATAATAAAATAATAATGTAGAATTTTTTATATATATATTGAATATGGCATTTTTTTTAAAGTAATGTGATAAGTGTTCAGTGTATTCTTGGTATTCAGTGCAGGGTTCCCACAGGTCAGGGAGAACAGGGAAAACTGGAATTGTCAGGGATTTTTATTTTAACTCCAAAAATCAGGGAATAGTCAGGGAAAGTTGCAATTTTCTTACAAAAACCTGGAAAATTCCTTCATTATACCTGGAAAAAAACAGTTTTAAAATTGTTAGTAACAATACTCAGTTATTGAGATTCGAGTTAAATAATTCTAACATCTGTTACAGTTATTTGTTGAAAAAATTTTACATTTTAGACCTACTGAAATGCTTCCTTCCTCATATAATGATATTTATTTTACACAAAAAATCTAATACTTGGCATAGCAAATAAAAGAATTCGAATTTTCTGATGAAAAATTTCGCAGTATAGATAAAATATGGTATGGATTTTCATTGAAATACCTGGAAATACTGGCAATACCTGGAAAAGTCAGGGAATTTTTTTCTGAAATTGAGTGGGAACCCTGTCAGTGTTTTTCACATTTGTTGGGGAAAACAAGAACCTATATCAGTTCTATAAACAAAAACCTTGTGTTGAAGACCGAATAACTGTCATTTTTTTTTTTTTTGATGCTGAGGAAGGTTCTTGTTTATAAAACTGAAACTATAATGTGTCTTTGTACTATTACTCAAGTTTTTTCCACATTATTTAGCTTTTTCCAATGTTAGTTTTATTCCACTTCATCTAATTATCATTGAAATTGTTATACTTCTTCAGTTGCACATTTTGTTGAATATTCTATTAAAAGTTAATGTCTGTTTTAGCCCAATGCACCCAAAGCTGATCAGAGTAAAGTGAAAAGGAAATTTTCTTCCTTTTTCAAGAGTTTAGTGATTGAACTAGATAAAGATCTCTATGGTCCAGATAACCATTTGGTGGAAGTAAGTACATTATATTGACTATGATAATATTTGTTATAAATATAGCTCATATTGATTACTGAATGACATTATATTTTTAAATTTGAAAAATATTACCCAGCCAAGTAAATATCAATCACCAGTTTGTTTATTTAGGGAAATTAAATAAAGATGATTGAATAAATATTTGGCATAGTGGAGATTGATTAATGTTCATGACACAAAGCATTAGAATTTATATTATTTATTTCGCAAACACTAAAGGCATTAAATTATAAAGAATGTGTAAATGCGATAGCACAGCGTGTCATACTACAGAGACATGTGTGCATGTTAATTTTTCTGGCAAATGAAAATAAGAGTTGAAGTTTCTCTTCGTGATCGGTGTGGTTATGATCGCATTGAGTTGCAACAACATTTTCTCCTTCTACCCCCATGCCTCTTTTTAAATCTAATATAATACCATTATCATTGACCCGAAAACCCATGTTGGGCCTTAGTCTTTATTAGAATATTTCTCCATAACTTTCTCTATGTCTCTATGTGTGTCTTGTCAATTCAATTTCTGAAATAGAATACAGTATTAAAACAATTATTTTTTTTTACTTAACGTTTTACCTTTCTGAATGATCTGTTTCATTAATAGAACTATTATTTTACCTTTTTTTTTTACTCTTAAGAACTGTCCTAAGTATAATTTTCTTTTTAATTGTCTCTAGATATTCAAACATGAAAAATCTATTTTTGTCAAAAATGTAACATTTGGTTTCAAAAGTTAAGGGCCTAAAAACAATATAATTTGATTCAAAAAAATTATTCTCCCTCATCTGAATTGCAATATTAATTATTAGCTCACACCCACTGTTTTGACTTCTCCAATAACATTTCTACAATAATTCAAGTAGGCTGTTATTTGATAAAATTATTTATTAAGTTGAAGAGTGAAAAGTTGGTGATAGTTCATATTTAACAAAACAATTACAAATCTTTATTCCATGATGTCCACTTATTGAACTAGTCATATTGAGTAAAGTTAATATTTTAAATGAGCCTTATGTGGTGCTGCTATGAAAACCTTTTATACTAACCGTAAATACTTCTAATGATCTTCCGTTAATGTGCATATTAGTCGTATAACTTTTTTATTAATATTCTAGATAGAAAATTTCAATTTAATTTATCTGAATTTGATTTAAAATCCTGAAATTGTTTTCTTTTTTGTGTAGTGGCATAGAACACCTACTACAACTGAGACAGACGGTTTTCAAGTAAAGAGACCGGGCGACAAGAATGTCAGATGCACGATTCTTCTACTTTTGGATTATCAAGTATGTTAATTTTTTTTTGTGTGTGGGGAGTATACATTAAGTTGAAGAATAGTGTACGAGGTGAACACAAGATTAAATATATTTTAAATAATTAGCATCAAAAATTTGAAAAAGTGGCATGTTGATAATGTAAATTATAGGAGTTTAGAAATGAGAGTTTTAGTTATAAGTGTTATAAGTTATAAGAAGTTATAAGTTGTTAGTCATAAGAGTTTCAGAATTTTCATAATTAATTGTAAAAGTTTTCAACAAATTTAATTAGTTACGAATGTTGCTGTAGTTGCAATAAAGAGTTCTCATTAGAAATGCTCCCAAATATAGAAATTTCATTTCATCTGTTGAATGTAGAAAAAAGTCAGTATTCCCTGGGATATTGTGTGTTTCTGACTGAGTAGCTTCATTGGATAGATCACAGTCCTGAAACCATTGGATAGATCACAGTCCCAAAATGCAGTAACTAATTTTAAAAATAAATAAATTAAAAAAAAATCAAAATTTTATAACTTTTATTAATTAGACTTCTTTTAGTAGTATTTCATTACCCTTTCATTGCTTTCAAAAGGACTAAAGATCAATGTTATTTAAGTATGAAATCAGCTATTCTTTTGCTGATGAAACTAATTGATAACTGAGTAAACTGATTCATACCAATTTTCTCAACAAAATTAACTATGGTTATTTTATAAAATAGCCATTTGTAATTTTGCCATTAAGAAACAAAAAGATACAGTTGTGATACTTTTTATCTTTATTCTTAGGTATGCCACTCTTATGTACGCAACATAGATTTCCATCTCGTTAAATAAAACATATTTCTTTTAATGTTATATTTTTAATTTTATACTATTTTAAGTCAAAGTAAAAAAATGATATTTTTTATCTAAAACTCTTAAAAAATATGAAGTAACTTGAAATCTTTTAATTCAAAACAAATTTATCATCAGTCATACCAGAAAAAAGTAGGAAGCCTGCGAGAGTTAATCTTGTGTGATAAACCAATTTGAAGCTCAAATTATTAAGGAAGCATTGAATTTGTTTTTGCCAAATTGGTGCTTGATTATTAAGATCAACTTAAACATGTGATCAATTTAAAAGATTTCACTGTACTGGGTATGTAATATACATCTTATTGAAAATAAAACTTTTTTTCTTTTTGCATTGCTACATTTTTAACAAAATCTTATCTAAGGAAAAAAAGTAAATATAAATGATTTATGTTTAAAGAATTTACTGTGAATTATTGATGTTGGGTCTTTTAATTATACCTCTTTTATTTATTAAGCTCTTTTCTACTTTTATACATTTAATTTTATACTTTCTGTGATTAATACTTTTTGTTATAACATATATACAAATTAATGTTTCATTCTTGCAGTGATGCAAATTTTCCATTATTTAAAATTTCTTCTGTTTTGCAGCCTCTTCAATTTAAGCTTGATCCTAGATTAGCTCGTCTTTTGGGTATCCATACTCAAACTCGACCCATCATCATTGGAGCATTGTGGCAGTATATTAAGACTCACAAACTACAGGATGCTCATGAGAGAGAATACATTAATTGTGACAAATATTTGGAGCAGGTAATTAATTTTTTCTCTAGTCTCAACTTGAAGTGTATGGAGCAAAATTTATAATATTGTGTTAAGGAGCTGTAGCTCTTTGATTTTTAGCTATTGTGATTGACAATAATTAAAACAAATTTAAATTTTGAAGATAATTTAAAATAATTGTTATTATTATTTTAAATAATATTTATTTGCTGCAGAAGTTTTTTTGTACTTAATTTTAAATAATACGCAATACTCTTCACAAACTATGATGAATCTTAGCAGCTTTTTAATTTTTTTTAACCGTCACAGTGCAAGCTTCTCTATTAACACAAATGGTGAAGGGGGTATTACAGGTGACTAAAATGCAACTATGGCAACTTTTTTTGACTGAAAAGGCTAAAAAAGCAACTATTTTGAGGTGAAGGAGACTATTGGGAGACTTTTCTGTACTCTTAGCGAAGTTTTTTTTCTTTTTTTATTCTTCTTCTTCTTTTTTTTTTTCCTTTTAAAGCATAAATTGGGTAGAAAATCTGCACCCCACAAGATAGTTTCTGAACACACGGAACATTATTTTTTCTTAAAAAGTAAATAGTGTTGAAAATTTTGAATCGCAAATTTGAGTCTTCGCTTTTTAATTCGTTAAATCTGCACAGATTCCATTGTATCTCTATTTTATTTCTTGATCGTCTTTTCAATGTTTATTGCTACAAATTCGGCATGATTAAAAAAAAAAAAATTAATATGATATTACGATGCTTGAATTTCGAATTTGAGTAATCACTTTTCCTGTATAAATATTAACGTTTATATAAAAATCATCATATTTGCCACCAACTTGACTGAATGGATCATGGTATACGACAATTAAGTCATTAACAAAATTTTGGTCATATTTTTAATGAATTTTTGTTCTTATTTAGGCAACTATTTTCCTAGTTTTAGGCTACTATTTTCATGCTTTAAGCTACTAAAAGCAACTATTTTGTTCATTTTTTTCTGTGACAACATTCAAATATTGTATCAACAGCATTCAAACAATGGTATCATTAAAATATTACGGATACTGATATTTTCTACTATATAATGATAAAATTATTATAAATCAATTTTTGACCCTAAACAATTTAATTGAGACATAATTTTTCTCTCAAAGTAAATAAAAATTTACACTATTCATATTTTGTAAAATGATACTAAATAAACATTCAAACGGCAAATTGGGGTCCGTTATTAATATCGTTGCAATTCTCTACTTTTATTTCCTCAAGAAAACGAAATATTGTTAAGCTTTTTAATATCTATCAGTAATTGTTTTTTTAAAAATTATTATTATTGTTATTAATATTCTAAAAATATATCATGCTTAACTTTAAAAAGAAAATGATGAGGAGAAATTAAAAGATAAAAGTTGAAAACTATTTATTGTACAAGTATTTCATTATATATATCGTACAAGTTCTCATAAAAAACAAAGCTCTACATTTTGAATTAATTTTTAAAGCTGGAGGATTTAATGTTTTGATAAAGGACTATAGATTATTTTTAAATTAAAGTATCACACTTTACTCACTATGGCCTGTTAAGGCTCTCAATTATTATGAGACTTGGACAATATCAAATGTGAAGGGACAAAAAATAAAATGTCGCCATTAAGGCCTAAGGTTGCTTTTTTTTTTCATCATAAAACTTTTAATTTTTCTTCTTCTTAAAATAAAGGTTATCGAAGAGATTTGAATGTTTTAAAATTGCAAATGTTCTATTTATTATAAGTAAAGAAAAAGATATTGTTCAGATTGTTCAGAAATGTTACAACTCTCTTAATTTTTCACCATTCGGCTAATGAGAACAATTTTACAAGCTTTTCCAATTTATTTTTGACATTTGAATTTAATATAAATGAATTTTTAGATTTATTTTAGCTTACATTTCATAAAGTAATTAGTGTATAAAGGAATTTAATCATTTATCTGTTGAGAAGTTATATGTTTCTTATACTGTAGGCTGTAAAGTGATGGCTGCACCATTTTTTCCTAACTGCTCTAGTTCATCTTTTCTGCTCCTGTCTCATCCAGAATTTTTTGAACAAATTCCAGTCCTGTTTAAATTTATCAGGATGAACTTCACCAAACTTTTTCATATTGGACATTTTTTACAAAAATATTATCAATTCTGAACCAAAAAAAATTTATTTTTTTACAAAAGTGTAAAAGTGGTATTTTTGCAAAGTTTGTAACTTTAATTAAATTATATAAATATGTTTTTTTTAAATATAATTTTTTAAACTCAATTGCGTCATTGCACAGATTAACAAATTATTCAGGTGTAGGTGAAAGGTGGGCTAGCTTGGACATCTGGAATAACTTTTTATTTATGGCCTCCTCTATGAGATATTATAGATTAGTAGCATTAATATACACTCCCATGTGCAGTTGCATAATCAAACTGCAAATACTTTAATAGAAATTTATTAAAGGTTTTTAATGTGCAAAAGTAACTTTTAAATTTTCTTCTTACTCTTTTATTAACATATTTATTTTCAGAATTTCAACAAAAGGTGACAATATGCTATAAATTATACATTTGTTTACCTATTTGGATATGAACTTTTGTTCTGTATACTTTCAATTAACCAGCATTAGGGATAAACAAACACATATCTTCGAGGGGTTAGTATAGACACATGGCATTTGGGCTATGGTGAACGTATTCACTCTGATCCTATTCAGTTTCTGATGGAAGAAATATTAATTGGTTAGAAATGTAATACACTTGCTGTTATTTATTTTCTAAATTAGAATGATTTTGTAGAACAACATACCTTTACAATTAGTGGTTTCAATATCAAGTTAAACATTTAGTACCAAACCTTTATATTAATTTACTAGTTAAAGGTTATAAGAAAATTTAAAGGAGATGTTTAATCAAGTTTGTTAAACAAATATGATTAAGTATAGAAAATTCAATATAGAATATGAAAATTGTTTTGTGCATGAATTTATGGCATCCACATTTCAAAATCCTACATGCTTCTAATTTAATTTGTTTAACTGTAAAATAGATTGCCACAATAAATTAAACAGAGTGGCTGTTAACAATAACTTTCCTTTTTCAGATATTCCAATGTTCCAGAATGAAGTTTGCTGAAATTCCGCAAAGACTTCATCAACTCTTGCATCCAGCTGATCCCATTGTAATTAATCACGTCATTAGGTATTAATTTCATTTATCATAATGTATTATTTTTTAATTTAATCTGTATTTATTTTTGTTTTCTCTTACAATAATTTGTATTTTGATTTCATAGCCCAATATTACCATGATTTAATAATTGATGTTCTTAATTTGAATGTTTGGCGGAGAGAATATTTTTCTAACTTAATTTCATCTATGTTTACAAATTTTTCATTTAGCTCAGAAAAATACGCAAGTAATCCCTTTTTGTATGCCTAGTTTTAAAATATCTCTATGAATTAAATTTATAAGGTTTTTTATATTTAAGAAAACAAGACTTATTTTTAAAAAATCCATAAGGCAAAAAGATATTATTATAATATGGGCGGTTAATTTTTAATTATATTAATTAAATAGCTTCTCTTTCAAATAAAGCAAAAAAGAAATGTGGTAATTCCTGCATTAAATTTTATAATAATTCTGCATTAGTTTTGCTTTAATAATAATGGCAGTTAAAAGTGAAATTTTTATGTTTAAGTCTACTAAATATATTACAAAATTTAATATTTTTCAATATTTTGTTCTTTAGTGTTGAAGGGCCTGATACTAAGAAAACAGCTTGTTATGACATTGATGTTGAAGTGGTAAATATAGTTTTAAGCATCTATTAAATTTTCATATTGTGAGATACAGTGAAACTTATGTAAGTTGACCACTTGCAGAGCATTGCTTTATTTAATAGCCTTATTAATAATTTAGGCAGGTGGTCAACTTATAGCTTTAAATATGTTGAAACCGTTTGAAAAGATTGATTAAGAAAGTTCTTATTTTAGTCTCTTTTTTTTAACAATGGAGCATTGATTTTTTTTAGCCAAGTTATTTTAAAGTTATCTGTAGATAATTTAATTATTACTATTTTTTTAAGTGGAAGAAAGTTTCTATTGTATTTGTAAATAATGAACTGTTAATGATCTCAGTTCCTTAACAATGCCTCTATTTAAACAGTATAATAAAATGTTAAAAATAAAAAGTTTAAGGTCTGAAAAGTTTTTGGATTTTGTCAATTGGAAGCTTACCAATAAGATTGGCACAATCTGTAATTCTGGGCTCATTCTAAAAGCCTTTTTTTTTTCTTTTTAATTAAAAGCAGAATTCTTAAAATATTTTTTCTTTTAAACACGGAAGAAAACTAGGAAAAAAAGCATGCTTTTCAAAAGAAATATATTTAATTGTTTATGTAGAAATGATAAATAGGGGTGAAGTACCCTCATTCAAGGTTGTGTAGAAAATTTTTTTTTATTGAGGGGCAATTCCACGAAAGTGTAAACTTTTAAGTGAAATTTTTTTTATGAATTGCATATTTTAATTTTAAAAATATGTTCAAAAATAGCCAAAGTCTACATATTACTGTTTAATTTTTGATAATTTTAAGTTTTTTGAATCTGGCAGCATTCTAAAGCATGGGTGCAAGTCTTCCGTCCCCAGGACGGATTTCCGTCTTTCGAAAATGTCCGCGGACGGGAGTAAGACGGAAACAAGACTGACTCGAAGACGGAAATCGGAATTTTTTTTTTCTGTCCTTAAAAATATTTTTTAGGTCTACGTTATTGGTCTACTTTCTTATGTTTATTTTATCAAAAGACAGATGAATGAATATTTTTTGTACAGTATTTAAACTTGATGTATTATGGTAAAGCTTTCTTAGATAGTTTGCATATGTCGAGGGGGTATTGTGTATGTTAGGTATTTCAGTCAAAAAAATTTCCGTCTTGGCCTTTTTTCCAACTTGCACCCATGTTCTAAAGTAATCACATGGCTGACAAGTGAATTCTTCCCATTTGTGCTCAAATTGTTTTCTTGAAAAATACTTATAAAATAAAAGAAATGTATCTTTCTTTTGCAATAGTTTGATAAAAATATGCATATAGTACAAAATTTAAACATTTAAACCATAGCCTTTAAGTCATTTTAAGTTTAATATATTAAATAAAAGTAACTTTTTTTTGTGTCATTCCGTCACATGTTTTAGTATATTTTTTTAAATAGCAACTGCGTTTTTGAATGAAAACTGTGGTGAGGTTTT